TAATCACAAAAAGTGCCTTAATTGAATAAAAATTTTAAATTACAATTTTAACCAAATTAAGCTAAATACTTATATACAATACAATAAAATAGAAAAGAAGAAATTTGAAATTACAGATCAGAGTTTAAAATTTAAAGAAAAAATGTGAAATACATTCACAGGCAAAGAATTCCGCCCAATTGTAATACAACTTCATTTGTATATATTTGTATATATTAATCAAAGTTTCACGCTTTTTAACGTTTAATAATTGAGTCTTTGTCTAAAAAAGTAAAAAAAAAATGTAAATTGCTAAGGAACATGAAAAACAAGAAAAGTCGGACAGATAAAATTTGCTTTAATTTTGTTTTAGATTTTTAATTAACATTTCAATATCACGTATTTCCACCTCTTGCCTTAATTACATCTCGAAGACGCCTCCGCATACTTTCTACCAGCCACGAAATGTCTCTATGCTGGAAGTTAGCCCATTCTTCACGAAGAGTCCTTTCAAGACCGTGGAGTTTATCAGGATGTACGTGCTCTTATTCGTCTTTTGAGGTTATACCATAAATGTTCGATAGGGTTCAAGTCTGGAGAACTTGCTGGCCGGGCTAAAACCCTGATGTTATGCTGTTGAAGGTACGTCTGTTCAGTGCGAGTGACATGTGGACGGGCATTATCGTGCATTAGAATAGGATTGTCGCTGATTTCATCGAGGATAGGCAACGCATGATGTTCTCAAATTTCATCCATATAGTGATTGGCGGACAAAGACCCTCCACGAACTCTGTGCGACTCTCCATTGAAATTCCCGCCCACACCATCACTGAGCTGCGTTGAAAAGGTCGGCTTTGAGAAAAATCCAAGCTTCGTACCTTTAATTTCGCCTTGTCTGAACTCTTTCACGCCCATGTGGAGAACGTAAAGCAAATCTACACTCATCTGTAAAAAGTACAGCAGACCAATCGTTTAAAGACCAATGGCTGTGTTCTCAAGTAAATGGTAGCAACTCTGTGTGTTCTGGTCAATTCTGTTTACGAGGAGTACCACCAGTGGAATAAGACAAAGGATACATATTCGTAAAATAAATCTTCTTAGTCAAGAAAGAAATGTGGAATTTATATTGGTTAATCGTGAGCTTATTAAGAATGCACCAAAATCGTAGAAATCAGATGTCCTTCTGCAATACAATAAAATCATCAGATGTCGAAACCCCTTTACAAATCTTGATATCATCGGCTAATAAAGAAAACTTACAAAATTTAACGGAGTTGACTACATAGTTGAAGAAGATATTGAACAAAATAGGTCCAGAATGGGAGCCTTGCGGAACACCAGATCCAGTTTGAACCTCATTTGACAAGGAACTATCAAAGCTGGCACGAAATGATCTTCCTACGAGAAAAGAAAGAAGTCAACTCAAAAGCGGCTCACCAACACCGGCCATACGCAATTTGTGACCCAACAAAAATAGCCCACTAAGTCAAAAGCTTTCGATAAATCCGTGAAAACGGAATGGGCTTCGTGACCTCTTTCAAAAGCATTGAGTATATAGTCCTTAGAAAGACACAGATTGGCGGTAGTGGATCGAAATTTCTTCATTTCATAGAGATTCATAGAGAGAACATTCCTAAAGGCTTCTGACCAAACTTAGCATCAATTAAATCAATAACCTTAGCGATACTAGGACGCTTGGTGATAAGCCTATAATTAAATAAATCCGGTTTAGAACCCTGCTTAAGAACTGAGGTGACGTAAGATCACGGCTAGTTATCAAAGTTTGATCATGATTGACATAAATTTTAGCTTCTTGACTTCAGTCCTTTCGTTATTACAACTTATGTATTTGTACTATCGAATCAATAACTTGATTTTTTCAAACTATGAAAATAACACACATACACACACACATATACCCTTTTTAAAAGTAGATTTCGAATAAATAGACTATTAGGAATAGACCACATGTCCGAGCTAATCATTAAGTTTTTTTAATCGGTTTTATAGGCCTGAGGAAGGCATCAAATACAGCCGAAAGCTCAACATCAGAAAACAAGTTGGTTTTTTACCTTCATAGCCTTAGCTTTTTATTTCGAACAAACATTACACCGTGTAAATAAGTCCTTTTTTTTAAATGTGTACCTACGTTAAGTTTTTCCCCTTGGCAGCCCTTATTTCGTGCGAGAAAACTTTTGAACAATTTTGTTTTCTCCAAAATGTTTTTATATAGAAGCCAATTAGGAATTTTTAAACAGGCTGGGTTTTCATTTTCGTGTGCATTAATTAAGGATCGGAACGTTATTTACATAAGATTAGTCTGTTTTTCTATCTTTCTCTCTCTCTCTCTCTCTCTCTCTCTCTCTCTCTCTCTCTCTCTCTTGCTATTTTACGTAAGGATGACTCGGAAATGGTCTTTTAATGGCACTACATCCGCCAAAACATTGTAAAATCTGTTAATATGGATTTTCCAATAGAGCGCATAATTATAGGGAAAAATTCCATTAGGGATGTGGAACAGTATAGAAAATGTCAACAATGAATCACTAATCAGCCAACTGATAGATTTTCATATTGTTAACGCTTTTTGACTAAATTTTAAATTTAAGCGTAAATGCCATCTGTGTAGAAAAGTTCGAATATAGTTATTTATATTTTTTCTATAAAAAATTGATTAAAGAATGAAAAAGATCATAAATTTTTTTAATCATAATGTTCGTTAATATGTTAATTGTAAAGTTTCTCTTGACCAAATAACTGGATCATTGTCAAGCAAAGCAGTCAATGCACTTCTGACGTCAACTAATCGTCTAACTAGATATTGCGTAATGAGGATCGGAGCAAATATTATAACGCGTCATCAAGAGTACAAGGTGCAGTCACGAATCCCCTATTTTTCTCCCTATTCATAAACGAATTAAACGTGAAGATAGCAGCGGTGGGATTTAGGCGGGGATCCTAAAAATAAAATTCCTACTTTTTGCTTATGACACAGTCATTTTAGCATCAAATCCTCAAGCTTTTCAACTTCTTTGAATCGTTGACCTCCATGGAGTGAGCGGAATTGTTCTTTGATAAACATTCTATCACGAAGCGAGTACAATTATTTAGGAATAACACTGACACCCCTATTTCATACAAGAAGCAGTTTGATGGGAAAAAGCCATAGCAAGACAAGATGTAAATGCAATTTGAAATAAATTATTTGAGACGAGTTTAATTCCTTTATTTTATTTTTTACCTGCCATACACACACGCGCGCGCGCGCACGCACGTTCGGCTGCTCGTGTTACAAACTTTGCCAGTAGATTATACATTCAAAATGGAAGAAAAAAGTCCTAATTAACTATGGTCCGAATTTCAACAGTTTCGGAGTTATTTCACTTTTTCTGATTTTTTAAGATTTCACGACCTTGCTTCGAAAATACACTGCGGAAGGTGGAGAGCATTTAGAATCAAAAATAAAAAACTTTAAATAAATTCATTCAAAGTTTCTTAAGTTTTTTATTTTTTATTATTATTAATCTTTCCGCCTTACCAATCCTTCAACCACGGTATTTTCTTTTCCTTCATCAATTTCTTCATCTTTGAAAAAAGTAATTAAAAAAGCAATTGCACCACTAAAAAGGATATTAAATGGAGTACGTTTTCTGAAATTTGCTGGTCTCTAGATTTGGAAATAGTTTAGAATCACCAAATTAAGTTTTTCAACTTTGAAAAAAAAAATTTCAAGGTTCTCGCTACTAAAACCTTTTTCACTAACGTTTACAAGTTTAATATTGATAACATCAAATTCACTAATTTCGTGGTCCGCTTGACCAATTAATATATTACAATTAATTAAGGTTTTTAGTTGAGATAAAAAAGTCAATGGCACGAGCGGGATTCGCCGCTGCTCTACCACTTGAGCTATCGTGACCTCGATCCACTCGGACACTAACTTCCCATCTCAACCCCACCTTGATGACAATTTCATTTGTCGTCGAGAATCCAATCCGATTACACGACATTTGAAAAATGGCAAAAAGGAGGGAAAACTCAAATGGTGGGGTTGAGATAGGAAGTTGGTGTCCTAGTGGATCGAGGTCACGATAGCTCAAGTGGTAGAGCAGCGGCGTATCTAATCGAAGATCGTGGGTTCGAATCCCGCTCGTGCCATTGACTTTTTTAACTCAACTAAAAACCTTAATTAATTGTAATTGATCACATCTTATTAAAAAATTAATGTACTTTTCAATGGTCTCAACGTTTGTTCAAAACCTTTTAGTTTTGGAGTTATCATTGTTTATTTGAATCAAAGTCGTGAAATCTTAAAAATTCAGAAAAAGTGAAATAACTCCAAAACTGCTGAGATTCGGACCATAGTTACTCAGGAGTTTATGGGTTCCATTTTGAATGTAGAATCTACTGAAAAAGTTTGTAACACGAATAGCCGAACACCCTGTATATATACTTGATTTTATCCTTCATAATAAAATTTTATTTACATAGATTTAAGTATATATTAAAGATGATGAGAATACCAGGTCACATATGACCATAAATCCTAGCCCTATATGCAATGAGAAAGAACATGTCATGGATCAGAAATCATAGATCTAACGAACTGTTGTAAACCCACAATAAATACGTACGTTCTTTTTAAAAATCTCCCTGCAGCAGTGAACAAAAGAAACAAAGGCTTTATAAATGTCTATCGACAATAATTCACTTTATAAATAGCAGAATGTTGAATCTCTCTATGTAAAGGATGCCTAAAATTTCATCATGCACGATTTAGTCTGAGGGCATAGTTTTGAATTTGAGCATTAAGTCTTACAGGAACTGAAGTTTAACGAAGTTGAAAATGTAAAAAGCCTCTATGTTTTGATTAAGTGAATGAAGATTAAGTAAATTAATTTCCTGTAGCAATAAAATTTGAGTAGTGAATAAAGCAGTGTTATATGTATTTTTAATCGAATTAGTATGTTTATGGATACGTTATTTTTATGAATAAACCCAATTGTATCGTGTGATTTCAGGTATGAAAGGAGGAAGGTGCCCGATACCCAGGGGTAGGGTGATGGGCGGCTCAAGCGTGCTCAACTTCATGGTCTACACCCGGGGCGACAAGAGGGACTACGACCATTGGGCAGAACTCGGCAATACCGGCTGGTCGTGGGATGACGTCGAACCTTATTTCATGAAAAGCGAAGACGTTCACATCAACGACAACTGGATCGACAAGGTCCACCATAGGAACGGGGGCTACCTCAGCGTCGACACCGCTCCCTATAAGTCACCCTTGGTCACCGGCTTCGTCAAGGCAGGCGCTGAACTCGGCTACAAAGTCCGAGACTACAACTCGGGAAACATAGAGGGATTCTCTTACGTCCAGGTTTGAACTATTTAAATCATCCAATAGTGTAAATAGAAAATAATAGTTGCACATGTAGTTAATAATCACTCACTTTTAACTCCTTATTTCTTAGCACCTATGACTAAAGTAACCATAGCTTGTTCATACGTAAATCCAAGAAGTATCTAACTTGGAAAGAACAGCTTGTCCTGTAGTTTTGATTCCTCTAACCAAAGTTTACCTAAAAGTAGTGAAGATATTTTTGTCTTAAGTATCCCAAACATCAACTATGCATCTCTTTTCTCACATTTTCAAAATTCCTTTCAGCTGAAGGAAGAAAGAAGATAACTTTTTTTGTTTTAGCATTAAACTCTGAATTTGAAAAAAAATCAGTATAATATTCTTAATACAATCATCCCCCGGTTATGTGTACGTTCGCGTGTGGTTATGTGTGATTTGCGTAAAATTAAAATCGTGCTAAGCAGGTTTCCTTTTTTACATTATTTTAATTTTGTTGTTGATAAATTTAGAGGTGTTTCTTGAGGAACAATCAGTTCTTCCTTTTCCGGTTCTCCTTGGAAGTTCAAGAAGTTCTTTGTTTGTCAAAGGGTCCACGCTGGATTCAACTAATTCGTTGATGTCTTGTTCTTCTACGGATGCTTGCTTACCTATATTGGCTAGATGTGTTATTTCATTTACTTACTTGGAAAAAATATTTTCTTAATTTATGTCTACTTCCGGCCATTCCAATGAAGATATTTTCAATGGATTTCATTATCTTCTTCGATTTCCACTATTCTTGCATTGACAGCTTATTCAGTACTTGTTTCAAGAATAACTTGGCCAAATGTGCTTTAGTTGTTAAATTCAAAATGTAATCATAACATTTACAATGATACGTTTGGATAGATTATTAGTAGTAATTGTTAATATGTTTTATTGACAAAAAAAACTTGTTATAGTAAATTCGCGTTATACGGGGTTCGTGCTAAATGCTAAACGGGGATTGACTATATAATAATACTGTGTGTACCAGTCAATATTTGTTTGTAAGATCGTCATTCCTGTATTTTGCCCCAGCTAAAAAAATAATAAATAAAAATAAAATAATCAATTATAAATGACAAAGTAATGACAGAAAGCTCAAATAACTATGATAATACATGGTTTAATCTTCAAAAGTGAGGTTTTCCACTATCTACTTGGTAATCTACGAGTCTATGAATCACATGTGGTAGTTTTATACGTCTTTTAGTATAACACCAAACTTGGGCCAAAAATCAGATAAATACTATAATAACACGGAAGTTGGATTCACTGAACTGAGACCTCAAGTTAATCGCTGGTTTGAATTTGTCTTACAAACGTCACTCAAATAAATCTTTACATTTTGAAGTTTGATTTACGTTGAAATATTTTGATCGAAAGACGTTAGCTTTTTTTAGGACGGCTAACGTGGCCGTGTTACCCTATGCTCGATCAACCCGAATTGTAACACTTTATGTATTCATAATGTATCGAATTTTAAAATTAATAATGAAATGTAAATGTTTTTATTATTTGGTGAAACGTTAACTTTCAAATGCCTGTGAATATCACTAATTATTTTGTCAATATATTTTTAACACAATTTATACCTAAAAAGCCAAAAAATTATTGTTTCTCGTATTGCGATTATTGTCTATAATTATATTTATACTATGTTGTTCTAAATTATGTTGAATAATTCGAGACCTTTTTTTTTTTTTACAAAGCTTATTTAAAAAATAATAGCTTCACCGTACATACCGAAACGTACTCAAAATCTAATTCAATTACCCTCGGTTCATTTTCAGTCACCTCGAGTTAAGAGAGAGAAAAATGCTATTGGACTTAGCTGACACAAGATAAGCCAAGTGCATTTTTCTTTACAAATAAACAACGCTATGACTAATATTGTTTATAATATAATATGTATAACTTATGCTAAATTTCATGTTAGTCCTCATTTTCTTAATTCTAATCTTTCATCTGCGTACATATGCATGTATGTAAATATTCAGTTTTTCATAGTTTCACTGATTTCCAGCACTCGTTTAATTAAAACTCGAAAATTATAATAGTGCACAGTGGAAAAGGAACTTCTCACGGCATGCTTCAACTTCTACTTCTGCTTCTACATTAGGAACATATCTCATACAAGGTTCCTTCGAAACAATAAACCCAGTGACGGGAGCATGTTCTAACAAACGAATTTCGGTGGAATGGTTCCAAATGACTTTTCTCCGTGTTTTAACGATATTCTTGTTCATTTTGTTTCAGTCTACAGTCAAGAACGGCGCTAGGATGAGCACGTCTCAAGCCTATCTCCATCCGGTTCACAATAGGAAAAATCTTCATGTTGTGAAACGGGCGATGGTAACGAAAGTACTGATAGAAAACGGAAAAGCGGTTGGAGTAATTTATAACAAGGGTAAAAAGAAGTATACGGTGAGAGTTTCTAAGGAGGTCATTCTTTCTGCTGGAGCTATAAACAGCCCGCAGCTTCTTATGCTCTCAGGTATCGGTCCGGCGTCTCACCTGAAGGAAAAAGGGATCCCGGTGGTTAAGAATCTCCCCGTCGGATATAATTTGCAAGACCATCCAGTAATTGGCTATGTCATTTTTACGGTTGATAAAGCTGTCGGCTTAAACGAAAACGTCGTTACGGACCTTGGCGTTATATCGAACTTCTTGAGGCAACAAAAAGGACAAATGACGATAACAGGAGGTTTGGAGGGCTTGGCCTTTGTCGATGTTTTCAACGGACCTCGGAACCAGCAATTTCCGAATTTGGAAATACAGTTTTGCATATCTTCTCCTCTCTCTATACAGTTTTTAAATGCCAATTTTGGCGTCAACAGGGAGAACTTCCAAATCTATAAATCAAATGGCAGCGTGTACTCTTACTTGATGTTCATGAACGTCATGAGGCCAAAGAGCAGGGGTAGGGTTTGGCTAGCGAGTAAAAATCCTAAGATGAAGCCCAAGATTGATTTGGGATTTTTAAACCACCCGGATGATGTCAAAGTCTTAGTCAAAGGAGTGGAGTTGGCCAAAAATCTTAGCAATACTGGAGCCATGCAACAATTTGGATCTAAGCTGTATGACAAACCGATACCTCCTTGTGCTCATTTAGGCCGCGATAATGACAGATATTGGGAGTGCCATGCTAGGCATCTTACGGTAACGAACTACCACCAAAGTGGAACAACAAAAATGGGTCCGATCGGAGATCCGACATCTGTTGTTGACCCCAGACTGAGAGTGATTGGTATTAAAGGCTTACGGGTCATAGATGCATCGATCATTCCTGTTCTTATGTCAGCACACACGAATGCCCCTGTGATTATGATTGCTGAAAAAGGTGCAGATATGATTAAACAGGATTGGGGACAGTAAACATTAAACTAACCTCTTCCTGTCCTTCAAAGGCTGTGTTTTATTTATTTTTGACTATTGATATAAGGCAAAAATACTACATTAGTGATGTGAATACCGGTTCAAAACACAATTATAACATTGTGTACATACATAATATGGCATAAATTTTGGTTTTCCAGATTCAAGGAAAAATATGTTCAAAAAATTTGAATGTTTGTAAAAACAAACATTATTATATCTGATTTGTCATAAAAGCATTATTAATCAGTTGCAAGATAAAACAATAGCTTATTGTGATATAATGAATTTATATTTATGAATAGCATGTAAAGTAGCATAAAAAATACAAATAACAAATCGACAATCCTTCTTAATACCAAACAATAATTTATTTGAATAAATTTGCTCATCAAAAAAAAGCCTGGTATGAGTTTGTTGTTTTCAATGTACTTAATGTCTTCATAAATAATTATAAGAAGCAGAAGGATTGACTAAAAAGGCAGTTAACAATTTATTACTTAATTTGAAAATCATTATGAGTAGGGCATTGTAATTGTAAATAGTTTTCTTTGCTTCCTAAAATTTAAAAAAAGATTTACATTGCCTCTGGGCTTTGATAAATAATAAGTAACATTTTACTGTGATAGAATGGGAAAAAATTGGTTTAGATATATTTTTTATATGAAACCATTTGTAATGTTAAATTATTTGACTATTTACATTATATATTTTGCTCTTACTTCCTACATCAGTATAGTAAAGTAGAAAATCAAGTGCTATCAGCTTTAAAAGTGTTCTAATTTATTTCATTGAATGTATATGAAACGGACATTTGACTTCATAAAGTGGTTATATGCTTTAAAGTTTAAAACACATACTGTGAAAAGGTTCAAATTTTTAATGTTAATATTTTTCACTTTAGTATACTTTATATCTTTACCACCGGAAACTTGAACGAAAAATGTAATTAATTATGTAACTATGTAGTATAGATTTCATTCTCAAATAGAGAGATTAATGTAAATAAAGTGTCATTAAGTAAATTAAGAAAATTTTGATTTATTATCCCTGAATTCTTGCAGAATCATTCTTACATTCATTATTTTTTTGATGTTAGGTTTTGTTTACTTCTACAACACTTTCTTTGTCTCTTAGTAATATATCTTATTGACTTGTCTTATTTCTGTTTCAGTCAACAGTAAAAGATGGTGCTAGAGTTAGCACTTCACAAGCTTATCTTCACCCGATCCGCAAACGGAAGAATCTTCATGTGGTAAAACGTGCCATGGTTACAAAAATTATTATGGAAGGCAAAAAGGCTGTGGGTGTCGTTTATAACAAGGGTAAAAATAAGTATTCAGTGAGAGTTTCCAAAGAAGTCATCCTTTCAGCAGGAGCTATTAACAGCCCACAATTGCTTATGTTATCCGGTATTGGCCCACAAAAACATCTACAAGAGAAGAAAATCCCAGTTGTCGCCAATCTTCCAGTCGGATATAATTTGCAAGACCACCCGGTAATTGGTTATGTTATTTTTACAGTGGACAAACCTGTAGGAATAAATGAAGAAACCATAACTGATATTAATGTTATATCCAAATATTTACGCACTCAGAGAGGTCAACTGACTGCATCTGGTGGGCTAGAAGGTGTGGCATTTGTTGATGTCTTTAATGGGCCAAAAAATCAACAATTTCCAAATCTTGAAATAGAATTTTGCATAGCATCTCCTATTTCTATGCAACTCTTAAATGCAAACTTTGGCATTAATAATGAAAATTACCAAATTTATAAATCAGATGGTAGAGTATTTTCATATTTAATGTTTATGAATGTAATGAGACCTAAAAGTAGAGGCAGGCTATGGCTTGCTAGTAAAAACCCAAAGATAAAGCCCAAAATCGACTTGGGATTCCTAAGCCACCCAGATGACGTCAAAGTCCTTGTTAAAGGAGTGGAGCTTGCTAAAAATATAAGTCAGACACGTGCAATGAGACAATTTGGACCTCAGCTCTATGACAAGCCCATACCGCCTTGTGCTCATTTGGGTCGCGATACTGACAAGTATTGGGAATGCCATGCAAGACATTTGACAATAACTAACTATCACCAAAGTGGAACTGCCAAAATGGGACCAATCGGTGATCCTACATCGGTTGTTGATCCAAGGCTGAGGGTCATAGGTGTCAAAGGTTTACGGGTCATTGATGCATCTATCATTCCTGTTCTTATGTCAGCACACACAAATGCTCCTGTGATCATGATAGCAGAAAAGGGGGCTGATATGATCAAACAAGATTGGGGTGTTTTAGATAGTTAAAATCAGATTTTACTCATCTTAAATATAACACTATTTCTTTCTACCTCTTAATATCTAGTTTTCTGATAAAACAATTTTTGCAAGTGAAGTAAGTTTTGATCACATCAGTCTTATTTAAATTTTTTATAAAAAAAGTTTTTAAAAAAACTTGTTTAAACTTTTGTACATTTAGTGAGTTTAGAGAATATTTTAGTAATGATAGAAGAAATAATGAAACAATTACATATTATTATTTAATTTCCAAACTATTATAATGTGGCATTTGTAAATAATGCCAAATTAATTGTCACATTTGAAAAGACAATAAAAAGAGAACTTTGTTTTATATTTTTCTTTGTAACAGTTTAAAATGAAAAACTGTAACAAAAGGAGTTAACAAATTTGTACAAACTTAATATATGCATAATGTAAAATAAGTAATAATAAATTAATAAACTTATGAAACTATTTAATAAGTAATTTATTAATTAAGTATGTAAGTAAATAAAATAAATAATTGTTAATATTTCTACAAAGAAAATATTATATTCCAAACTGATTAAATTAATTGTTGCATTATTTTGTAAATAATGTTGGTGTTAATTTTCCCTTTTAATTCAACAAAAAGTGATTTGCTATATTTTTTTATTATTGTAACAATTTAGTACAAACAAATTGTATTTTTAGTCAATTTAATTTTGAATACTGTGTTCAAAGATGGCAAAAGATTTATTCAATAAAACCAGTGAACAAATTATGTTTAACTTGGATTTATATTTAGTCATGTGAACATTGTGTTGTTAACAATGTGGTAAATATGTAAATAAAAATATTAAATATAAGGGTTTTTTTAAATCACTACTGTCCCATTTATTAAAATATTCAATGCAATTTTCCAGAATATGATGTAGTTTCTATGCACATTTTATAAACATTTAATAAATTTTAAACTAATTTTAAACAATTATTCAATTGTTATGTGTGCATAATAATGCCCAAAATAAAGTTAATGTTGTAATAGTAAATTTTTAAATAAATAGACATTATTCAATGTAATTTTAATCTGGGGTTATCCATTCTCATATTAATAAATTTAATACAAAAAGAAAGTTAAAAATAATTTTTTAAATTAAAGTTTAAGTAACTAAACTTTTAAACTAATAAATATGCTGAAAATAATTATTTTGCAAGAAAACCCAGCATGAAAACAAACATTTTTCAGGTTGAAACTTTTTTTGCATCGCTATTAGACGATTTATTTATAATGTATACAACTATTTATAATGTAAATAAAAGTATACGAATATTTATAAAGAATACTGTGATATTTTTTCTTTAATTTTCCCATTTGTATGCTCAGTCTGCATAAAGACTGCCCTTCAGCAGATAATTTGCATTCTTTTAGAACTGGTTTTGGCCAAATGCCTCTATGATCATCTTACTTAAATATTTATAGTTATTCAGATATCGTGAGATGCGGTTAAATATTAATATAATTATTCTTCTGGATATACTTTTTTCAATTATCATGATAAAATAACTTAATAAAAGCTATTAATATAATGAAACAAACAACAAAATTTTTTATTACCCCCATAATTTATCAGAAAGAAAACTTATTGCTTTGTGGGGAAATTCTTACAAAAAAGTATTGAATTTACATTGGAATATTAAAATCATAATGTTGTCCCTACAATAAATGTAATTAATTGTTTCTCTTGTTTGACAACTCGTTGCTGATTTTTTTATAATTGAACTGAAATGTAGTTAAAATATCCCCACAGAACTTCTTACATTCAGTTTATTAAATCAAAATAAATTTATGAAAATATTAACAAGATCAAATACAACCATTAAGCTGGATTTCCATCACCATGCATCAAAGTGTTTCACATTGTTTGTTACTTGTCACGAGTAAAAGAATGAACAAGGGGGACTGCATTCAACTTATCCCAATGTATCACAGCTACTAATTTTTATGGGATGCTAAAGATAAAACTCATCATAAAAAGAACAAAAGAATGCGGATGTAAATTTGTTAATGTTAGTATGTACTTCATTTTCTTCTAATGTGCATTTTATTTAGACTTTTACAGTGATTTTATATGTCCATTATAAACATCTATTTTACTAGATATAATTAATGTAATACACACAATTAATAAACTTGGTAATTTTATTAATAATTAAGGAAAAGGATGAAAACAGTTCAAACATGTGTTAAATTTGTTACCATTTATTTTTATTTGAATAATTAGAAATTGTTTTGTTAATTGCTATTTTATTATAGATTCAAGAAATGTTAGCAAAGTAAAAAATAATGTTTTTATTTACCCTTATTGCATTTAAGAAATAGCACTTTTTATATATACATACATGTAATAAAGTCAGATGAAATATAAAATTTTGATTTTAAATAAAAAATAAATTAAATATGTAATTAAATACTATTAGAAAGCACTTTATTTATCTTGTATACTGAACTGGACCAATATAACTAAATAAGTCGTAGCTGCAGCAATAATCTAAAAAAAAGATTGGGGATAATTTTGATTATAAAATCAATTTTAAATATCAAAAATTATTACATATTTTTTTAATTAATTACTTTTTTAATAGTGTAATTTCTTACTTTTTCTTATTTAGTATATAATAATAGTTATCTTACGGAAGTGACTAATGGGTATCCAACTGTAAAAAATCCGCATGCAGTAAAATTGATCGTTTGTTTCATTGTGACATACAGATGGAGTTTTTCCTAAAAGCCAGCATTCATAAAAATTAATCTACTGTTTTCATTAATTAACATTATCAATAATTAATTAACCCATTAAATTCTATACTTGCATTACTACAAAGAACTCTACTCTCTCTCATTAATTTGAAAAGTTCATTGTTAAAATCTTCTGCCTAAAAAATAAAATAAATTAATTAAACAATAATATTATGCTGAAAAGATCATGGTTTAAATTAAATACATTTAGGCTCTTTTATCAATTATTGCTACATAAAGTAAGATAGTAAGATTTATTTATTCTGCAACAAGTATACTATTTACTCGCAAAGTGATAGTCAAAAAATCAATAATAATAGCAATAAAGTGGTACAGAAAGAATTATCATGCTTAAATTTTCAAGTCATTAGTCTTGTTTTGTTTTAATATCTATTTGTAGGTTGACCATCATGATAATCCAAGATGATAAACTATTAATTACGACAATCTAAACTGCTCAAAAATTAATAGGGATATTGCCAATTGTGTAGTATTTACTTTTCCTAGCATTTTTATTTACTTTTTATTATAAATTGCATTAAAATTTATTAGAAATTAATATGTTTTTTACAGAAGGAAAATTTAATTAAGGGATCTTGAAAAATAAAAAATAAAGCTTTTAATTCTGTAATTTTGTTTATTTAATAAATAATTTTTTAAACAATTAATGCCGTGTATAATGTCCTCTGCTAGCTAAAGCCTCTGTGCACCTGTTAAGCATACTGTTACTAAGGTTGTCACTAATTTCATAAAGAATTTAACTCCATAGATGTTGCAATTGCTGCCACTTAGTTATTGCACATCAATTGGCTGTAGATGGTGATCGAAAAGCATCCCACATGTGCTCTGAAGAAAATGGGGGAAGGGGCAGACGGGAAATTCCCAGGTTTTCTAAACATTAATGAACAACCCTTCCTGGTCTGGTTTTGTCATCCAGAAATCGAAAATCCCTGCCAATGAGATCCCTGGTTTGAGGGATGTATTTCATGATAATTCCTTGGATGTAACGGACTGCGGTGAGGTTGCCTTCAACAATATGAAGTCCAGTTCGTCCTCCAGTGTAAATCCCGGCCCAGACCATTACACCACCTTCTCAAACTGAGCACAAAGAAGGGCATTGTGCGCATCCCTAATTCTTGGTAGACTCTTCAGCGCCTGCTATCACTGTACAGACAGAAATGTGACTCATCAGTAAACATAATAGCATTCCAATTGGTGTTCTCTCCTCGCTGCACCATTATCTTCTCAGTTGCTGGTGGTCGGCAGGTCGTCCGAAAGGGACACTTGCTGGAGACCTCGATGACTCATTCACGCAATAATATTGAGAAACTTCTGTTCAAGATTTTGTCTTTCCATGGTTCAAGAGAATACAAATGGTTTAAAATGGAGAAAAGGTATTTCACCAAAATGAATAATCTTCATATTTACTATTCTTAAGTTAATCCGTTATTAAAAATGAGGATTAACATTTGTTTGTTTTTGGTTTGTATTTTCTATTTTGTTTTATCCAACTAACAAGAATATATCGGTTAATTTAATTAAAATTAATAGAATAAGAATAAAATACAAGCATCCCTATTCATTTTTGAGCAGTTATATGCAAACTAGCTTAGTCAGATGGAAAATATCATAAGCTCCAATGGTGACATTTTTTTATTGAAGAAGCATTTCAGTCAAGTCTAAAAACTGTCAGGCCTAACTTGCCACCTACTACGATGGAAACGTCCCTGAGTCTGCAACTTCCACACAGACTTTTAGGTAAATGTGGACAAAGTCAGATCTAAGAAAGAAAAAAAAAACATTAAAAAGTGACTACAAAGACTGATAAACAACTCTGACAAAAAAGAGAAACTTATTTTGCAAACTATTTCAAATCATTATGCATCGGTGGTTGCAACGGTTTAGACAGTACTCATCACTGTAATATAAAATCCAGCGCCCCTGTATTCAAACCAAACATACTTACAAATGGGCTTTTTTTAAAACCTCATAGTTCAAATATCCTCATTAAAAAAATAATAATAATAAATACATAAATAAAACCCCAAGATTTAATAGTAAATAGGTCACCATTCACACATTCAAATGCACAAATAAAAATAAAAGAAGACACAATAAAAGAACAAAGCATGAGGTAAAAGGACATTCCTCTCTTGCAAAATCTTGGGCCATCTCATCTAATTTCTAAAACCTCTATAGTAAGATTCATGAAAGAAATGAAGATATACAAGTAGGAATTATGTATGCCTTTTCCTCTTTATGTCCTCAATTGCCTGAAAAAATAAAGTGACCCTAATTTATGTATTAGGAGATGTTCGGAAAGAAATGAAGTAACTAGAGAAATTACAATTATTACACAGACTTTAATGCCAAGTTGTGAAATTTCTCTGTATTGTATGTTTGGTTATTTGGTTGTTATCTATCATATTGGTCTATCACGCTGAGTTGATCTGTCAGACATATTTTGGTATACTGTCATCTTCAGAGTTGGGGGGGGGGGGTCAGTCTGTTCAGACCAACTCAACAAGGATGGGCAGACCAAATGTTAAGTTTAAAGCAAGTTTCTTATTTGAACTCATTGAATTGTCTGCTTTTAATATTATAGTGCATACCTTGTCTTTAGTTTCTTCACAAGAGATTGCTAGACCGAATAGCAGAAGAATTTGCCAGATACAGATCCATGCGGTGTACAAAACTTCTAAAATATCTCCTTCTTTCATTTCCAAAATGCATGTATAGAGGGTTGAGACCAGTTTTAGAAATATCATCATGCAGATAACCAAGAGCTGCCATGAATATATTTCATTTACATCAATAGCAAGATTGATGAGAAAATGATGCCTTTTTGTCAATAAAACGAGTTTTTGTTCATTGGGGCACAATTCTTGTATAAGAGTGCTCAGGTGGTGCCTCAAAAGTTCAAGAATCATACAAAATTGGATATGTATAAAATAGAAGATAATTCTAGGAAAATATACAATATAAAAGAGTATGTCTGATTCGAATCCGACTGATTCAAACACCATATATTTGCAGTAGAGTGTGAGAAGCTTTATAACACAGGCCACCGGTGCCATCCTAGAAAAGAAGCTATTTTTCTTTTGCTCTTGGAAATCCCTCAGGCCGAGGAGGACTTTGTTGAAAGTAGTCCTGCACACGAACAAAGCAGTCACATGGACCACAAAAATGGCGCATTCGATGACCGCTTCCATCATAAAAAGCAAGCGGTCAAAAAGATTCGTAAGCCATAGTGTCTGCATATGAAAGGCCAGAACTGCTTTCAAACAGATTGTAGTACTAACGACGAATAAGATTAAAATAAATGAATATTTGAGCCAAAATGACGAAATCTCAAAATTGTCCCCATACGGCATTATGCCAAGGTATTTGCTGACAAGGAAAAACGGCATCGTCGCCTCCGCTAAAGACGCCCCGCGTACAATTTCCATCCTGGTTTTAAACAGCATTTACAAAATGGAGGACACGCTCTTCAAAATTCAAACACTGCCGCTAATAAAAATAAACACGATTTTGCCGGTCGGAGTATCGACAAAACGATTTTATTTTTTTCTTGATTTTATACTAAATAATCGGCTCAATGGTTGGCTCGGCGAATAATTGGAAAAACACAGTAATTTTTCCGTATTTGTAAAAAGCGAACATCAATTCCGAAACACTCGTGAGGTCGCGTGACTGCGTTTTCTACTGTAAACAAAAACCAAGTAATCAATTTCAATTTTCCAACTCGACTAGCTCAGGAAAACAATTGTTTTTATCTCGTCGTCAATTATTACGATTTCTTTTACTATGGAATGTGTCGAATAATCCTTATTCTATATTTTATGGTATTATACATTAAGCCATTGATTCAAAAAATAATAAATGAAAAGTTACTCTCCACTCTATAAATTCATCGTCGGACTTTCGGCTGTATTTAATGCCTTTAACACGACTTGGAATAATCCAATTAACATTATTAAAAATACGTGCGAATGCCAGAAGGTTGGAACCTAATAAAGACATCCTGCCTGGTAACTTTGCTCAATATCACTCCTTAATGTCCTCTCAAAAATTGCGAGAACGTATACTGCAAATAATCATGCACGTTTTATATGAAAATTATGCCTTGCCAATTTGACTGCAAACCCATGCATCCTACTTCCTCGCAACTGGTGAGAGTAGTGGATTTGATTCTTCATAATTTTAATGCAAAAAAAAACGTAGATGGTACTTATTGGCGTGGAGAAAGGTTTGAGTGTGGTTGGCACCAAGGTTTCTTATTTAAACTCATGTCATCTCAATTTCCTAACTACCTAACATATTTAATTAGCTATTACCTAATGAACAGCAAATTTTTTGTACAGATCAATGCATAAGGTCACCTTTAAGGTGTATAAGAGTAAAGCAGTATAAGAGCTGGGGTCACCCAAGGGTCTGTTCTTGGACCAATCTTATTACATCTGTATGAATACAATGAAATACTATTTACTCGACGCAGATAACCATTTATCAATTATGTCATTAATAAATACCACCCACACCATGGTATAAGAATGTTAAAATATTGGAATGTATCTGGAATAGAGATTTAATTTTAGTTACCATACAGAATTACTCAAAAGAATGGCCCATCTTAAGGAGCTTTTACTCGGTCTTTAATAAGCATTCATTCGTGTATGGTTGGTAAAAACAAAAAACTTATTTATGAACTATACTATTATGGTACTCCCCCTGGAGAAATGTCTTCTTTTTATTTATAAACTACCTACCGGTAAATACAAGCACAAAAACTTAAGCACATACTGTTTGAAAAATAATGAAGATACGTTAAAAGAAAATGTGTGTCTGCCAATTGTACCTGGTTTAACCAATTGCTGGGATAAATAAATAAATTTTTGTCTGTTAGTTGATTTGTTTTGAATAATGCCAGAATTAAAGAGATGCTCTCCAATTCCAGTGTTTGATCTAGAAACCTGTGTCCCTTTTTCTGTGATGGAAAAAACTTTATTCTTATTAGAACTTATTCTGATTATCTTCAGTCCTCATATAATCATTATTATGTAGAAGTGTAACCTTTTTTGTTATTTTTTAAAGCCATATAAAAAATATCAAACTTTTCAACATACAGCTTTTAACTTGAGGTCATTGTAACATTTTACGGTTTTTATTAATTTATGTCAATGTCATGTTAATCATCATTTACTTTATCAGCAAAAAATCTGCCAGAACCCTCCACCAACTCCCCAAAGACCTCCGATCCATACTAAACAACGGTTCAACTTCAATAAACCAAATTTTTAACTTCCTAGCAGTCATGCAACATATAAACTGTTATTTCATATCCCCTTATTCTTGTATCCACGCTGGCACTCCATGTTGGTGTGTGGCCCATCCCTGTCCTCGGGTGCGCTGGTCGGTCTTGGGCTGTGGTTTGAAGGGTGCCTCCCCGACTGAATCAATCAATTTCCAGTGAATTTGATGGTGACTAGCACAATGTTAAGTATTAGACGCGAGAGATCCATTGGGTTCCGTTCTTTCCCAACAAGAAGCTTTTTTTATGATCTCATTTCAAATACGAGGTTATATGAACCCTTGGGGTGCTGGTGTCTTTGAAAAAGCCCATTTGTAAATATGTTAATCTCAAAATGCAAGGCCACTGGATTCTAACCTAGGACTTACAGTAATGAGCACCGTATTAATACCTAAACCATTGTGGTCACTCACACTCCCTTCGGTGATATGTGGAAGGGTTGTGAAATAAAAACACTTTCTTTTTTTGGTCAGTTTTTATTTTTTTATTAGCAATATCCACCTTTTATTGAGGCCAAAATTTATTATGGTAAAAAATATTGTCTTATAACACTTTTTATGACATAATATTGTGAATATTTGGCCTTCCTTTCGTCTTCTTTATTTTATCATTTATAATCTAACAATGGTTGAGGCAAAAACAATTAAACAACTGCATCAATAAAAACAGCAGTCCTCACCATAGAAATTACTGTAAAATACTTAACTTCTTCAGTCTGTAAATGACAACAACTGTTGTTTACATTTTTTGCTTTTTTTAAATTATTTTTTAATAATAATAATAATTATTAAATATAATCAGTTTATAGAAATAATTTTAAAAAATAAAACTGTTTACAACAAAATATATTTTAAATAAACCTTTGCCTTTTTTTTCCATTTTTATACACTTTTACAAACTTTCAGTTCACATTTACTATATTCAAAATAAACTTTAAAAGTAAATCGAACTAATTCCCTATATGAGCTTCTATGTGAGTTGTTACAAATTTTTGAGTCTATATTGCACGTGTCGTCCTCCACAGGAAGACTCTTCTTTCATATAAGGAATTCAAGTAATCCATATTTTGGTTTTTATAATTTAATTCAAACGTGTGTCCGTTGGTAGCCAAAGGTCATTTGCCGATTCAGCAAGCAGTGGAAAAGATCAAAGTGCCCATTTCTAAATGGGGTTTAAAGGGAGGGGTAAGGACGCTATGAATTAGGGTAATTAAAATTATATGATGATTATTCGTAAGGAGGTTTTATCTTCCTGAAAGATACCTTTTCTTCTGGCGTTTTAAGAGGTGACATGCTTTACTCTAAAGTATAGATATTGATTTATTTTCTCGGTCCCCAAGATGGTGTGGGGGTGACACTAGAAACCGAAGTGCCAAAACTGGGAAATTCCTGTGTGGAAGCAGTGTCTGGTGCTTGTTGCTGGTTGTGTTCCCAAGGGCCACCCATCACAACGAAACCATTACCGCTTGTAGCATTCCCACTTCCTGAATTATTTGTAAAATCGCTGCCCCGCCAAGCAGCATTTCTTGACTCCTTGGCCTCATTTTCAGATATATCTTGCAACTAAAACACATAGAATATTAATCATTTTCATTTTTACAATAATTTGTGAGACTTACATATTCTTCTTCTAAATTGAGGAGGTGTTCTTTTGCATTGAAAACATCATCTTCTTCACCTCTGACACAAATAAGGTTTGGGTTTGGGCTTCCAGCCGTCGGGAATCTGATTTCAACATTAAATTTGTTCATGATTTTCTTAATGGCCCGACCTCTTGAACCAATCAAGCGAGAATGAACTCTGCTGTCAATATCAAACTCTTCTTTTGTCTTTTCTTTCTGCAATGAAAACAATATAATAAATTACAGAAATTGCTCTTTTCCATTGCTTTGAGAAACTTACAATTCCATTAACTATAGCCATGATTTCATCTCTAGCTGCATTGACATTCTCTTCATATCCTTGGATTGTAATAAGATTTTCTTCAGGTTCATCTCGATTAGGAAAATTAATCTGAACCCCGTGATTTTTTCGTATTTTTGATATTACAGAACCTTTCTTTCCAATAATCTTAGGGTGAAATTCTGGATCAACTTCAAGCTGAAAACAAGATTGTGAGTTATGTAACAATAACAAAGAATGGTTAAAAAAAAACTTACAGATATTTTGAATGATTTGAGCCTTCTGTCTTCCTTCTCTTCATCAAATCTCTTCATCTCTTCAAGAATTTTCAGTTTGGCCTCTTCAATGGCTGAAGGAACACCACGAATCTGAAATAAATATAAGTAATTGAGAAAAAAATATCGTCCAGCAATTTTTTTCTGGCCAATTGATTGCATATATTTGGTACATGTTTTACTTCAAGTTACAATAATATAAAAGTAGATGTTTTATGTCTCGCAGTTTTTACTTGGCCTCAGTTTGGGTTTTGTAACAAATTCCTCGATTTTTTATATTTTAATTGTAATATTTTTACTATGCACTACCTCATTCATCACAGCAGTGTATTTACGTAGTAATAACTTGTATTTATATACTGGTACACAAAGGAATTTTGTACTGTTTAAGTTATTTTATGTATGCTTATCCCCCATTTTAGCATTTATTTTAATATTCTTAAATATAGTTTATAACTTCTCAAAATTTCTTACAGCGTTCTCTTGCAGACAGTTTCCAACGATGCTGTACGTCTATAACTAATGGATGTAACAATTTTTACTAACTAAATATTGTAAAACGAAAATATAAAATCAGTTGAATTTCGGTCATAAACATAAATGTGGCATGTAAAGAAAGGCTACATAGAAAAAAAGCTCAATGCATAATGTTTTGGGCTTTAAACAGAAATAGTAGACATGCCACGTGGTATATTTGTCCTTGTATACAACAGCAGGTTTTAAGGTTAAACGAAATAACAGCCATCTTATTTAATGGTTGTTTCATCTTGTAGTCAACTATGCTCATTGTCTGATTGAACAAATATATTTTGTTAGCCAGAAAGAATAATGACAGAAATGACAGAGGATTGATGGAAGAATAGTAAGTACTGCATTGATGATGGTTTATGTTAAGTTATACAGTAGCGCCACACTAGACAGAACTGAGTAAAGCCAGGAACACACCCGATGCTATGCCATGCGACGCTACCCGACGCTCTGTGATCCCCATTGTCCAGATTTTTGTCGGGTCGCATCGAGTACAGTCGAAGACAAAAAACCGGACACTCATATTTTTATTCAAACTACATGTATTATTGTTGTTATATTAATTACAACATACTTATTTTAATATAAACCAAATTAACTGTGATTAAAAATTAATGTTTTTATTTAAAAAATTAATTTTAATGGTTTGGTAGAAAATTAATCAAAACACCGGAATATGACTTTTTGATATGAATTTAACAATTTATTGTACTTGCTTCGGCGGTACATATACTAAAATTGGAACAATTTATTACATGGTTTTGCTCATAAAATTTAATTAACAATTTATTTCATAGTTTTGCTCGTCAAATTACACCATTTTCATCGGGTAGCATCAGAACCGGACACTTATATTTTTTGTAGTTTATTTCGAACTAAGTACATGTAATTTTGTCGTTATATTAATTACATGTTGACAAAATGTGCTTGCGTCGGATAGCATCGGGTAGCGTCACATCAGGTAAGTGTGATCCCGGCTTAAGACTAAGTGTTGTTTAGATTAGCAAAAAGTTAGAAGCTGAATAAGACAGAAACAAGCAGTAAAACAAGTCTGGTAGATACACTGGAGCAGGTGATACTCACACGTGTACATTGAAAATTAATCCATAAATGTATTTAGTAGTCATAATTGACCATATTAATTACTCATACCTTTTTATCTAAAGTCTTGGTTGAGATGAAAATGTTAATGTTAAGAGCGGGATTCGAACCCGCTCACTATATGGCAAAAAGAGGAAAAATTCAAGTTTGTAGGTTGCGATGAGGAGTTGGTGTTCGAGTGGATTGAAGTTACACGAGCTTTTTCATCTCAACCAAGACCTTAGAAAAAAGCATAATTAATTGAAAAATAGGTTGGAAGTTGTGAAAAATCAAGACAAGAGTGATAGTGTAGTTGTTTGGAATTATTTTGACCTGCCTACCCAAGTAGGCCTCGCCATCTTCAGTCTCAATAATAATTTTGCCTAAAGACCACCTTGGATATGGCGACAAGTCAATACGTATCTTAATGAACCAAAATGACAATGATTCGAAACTAAAATGTTGACTTCACAATTTTGAACAAACATGACACGCAAGAATGGCACAATTACACAGAAAACAAACACTTTGAGCCCTGAAGATGATCTTAATAAAGATCAAAACATTGGCACAATAAAGAAAATGTTTTTCTGAAACCTATGTCACACCAGACCGCATCTCACGATTTCCGAATAATCATTTTAAACAAAGTGCAGCGAAAAATTGGCAATAGAGTGGGCAAAGCCAAATTAACTGCATACTATATATTTTCAAACAAAAAAATTATATCTCTGCGTATGAAAACATGTTCGGATTAGACAAACCTTCAGATTTGTCCACTAAGTCCAGATTGACTCCAACTAAAGTATATGGAGTTCATGACAGTCAATATGTCAAAGCAAGTATAAAAATTACATACCCGAATGAATTCTTCCTGTTGGTCTTGACCAGGGACCTCAATATACACATCATAATCACTGCCAATGCTTTTGATGTTTTTACCTTTAGGCCCAATAATTGCTTTGTGATATTCAGCTGGTACATCCATCTGTAATAAAAAACAACAAATATGCACATTTAATTAATTATATTTTTCCCCAAACTTTGATTCATTATTTATTTTTTGTCAATGTGCTAAAAAAACAGTTGCCATATTTACCTCATAATCAACAGGTTCACTGTCTTTTAGTGCTTGTTTTGCCTTTTCACAATTTTCTGGTAGCCCTCTGATTTTAATAACATCAAGTGGATTAGGGTACCCATCACCATTGACCATAGCAGACTCTCCCTCAGCATGTTCGTGTGTTTCATCAGGTGCTATTTTAACATATATGTTAAAGTCTTAGAAAGGGAGAAAAAAAATATGTAAAAGCAAAAAACTCACGGCGAATGTTGCGATCTGGAAACTTTATTTTGACATTGTACATCATCTCAATTTCTTGAACCTTCATGCCTTTTTGTCCCATAATAGATCTGTGATTTGCATGGGGGATGACGCAGTCTATTGTGACCCTCTCCTCAAGATCATGGACAATATCGGCCATTTTCTTCTTCACTGGCTCAATCATGTTCTTTGGCCCCTTGATAAGAACAACATTCGACTCGACTCCATTTCTCGGAAATGAAATTGTCACTCCTTCAAACTCACTTTCGAGCTGGTGCAAGACTTCACATCTTTTTGCAACAAAATGTTTGTGATGTCTTATGTCTATTGTCATTTCAGAGTCAGTAACATTATTCTGTAAAATAATAACAATTGTATTAAAATAAAATCGTAAAATCATTTTGAATTGATGTTACCAATTTTTCAATGGCAGCTTCAAGAGCAGCTTTAGCTTCTTCTACGCCTTCTTGCTTTCCCATAATTGTTATTACTTCATTATCTTGATCCCGATCAGATGGGAATATGATTTTAGTACCAGTACTTTCTCGAATCTGAAATATAATAAATTTAATACACTAATTATAATTAACAAAACTACTACTTATTTACTTTGTTGATATTGGCTCCAGCTTTCCCAATAAGGAATTTGTGATGTTGATTTTTCGCTCGGACTTCTGCCGTGTAGCTGTTGAGTTCCCTTTCTGAAGCTTGCTCCAGAAGCGATTTCTTAGCTTTTTTAACGTCATCCTTAGATCCACGAAGTACCACCGTGTCGCTTTTACTATCAGAAGATGGAAATTTAATACTCACTCCTCCACACTCATCAGTAATGGATTTGATGATTTTTCCACCAGCGCCAATCAAAGAGTTATAAATTTTGGGGTGAATCGAAATTTCTTCAGTCACATTATTCAACTGTTAAAAAAATAATAATAGTAAAAAGCTTCATTTAAAAAAAAAAAATTCAATACTACCTGTTCACTTTGAATTTTGATAATCATGTCCTTGGCCTTGTGAACATTTTCTTTTTTACCAATAATTGTTATTATGTCTTTTCCGCCATCATTGGTCATTTCAATTGTTGTATTTGTTTCTTCTCTTAACTGAGAAAAAATAATTTATAAAAATAAAAATAAATATTAGTTTTGTTAAACAAAACCATTTCTTACCTTCTTAATAGTGGCACCACCCTTGCCTATAATAAATTTATGGCAACCATTTGCTGGGACTTTCAAAGTGAAACTACTTTCAACAATTTCATCTACTTTTTTCAACAAATACTCATAGCACTTATCAACATCCGCCTTCGGTCCTCGTAGTTTGACGATATCACATTTCTTTTCTGAAACAATAAAATAAATACGGATTACATAAAAGTAAAAGAATTATGATTGCTATATGTATGTTTTAATCTCACCTGGAGGAGGAAATGTAATCATAACAGAGCTGAACTTTTCCTTAGTATCCCTAATGGATTCACCCTTGTTTCCAATTAGGGCTTTGTGGTGTTTCCATTCAATAATGATATCCCTTTCCTTTTCCTGCTCCATTTTCTGTATCATCTCTTCTAATTCCTAAAAAAATATAACAGAAAATATGTTATATAAAATAAGACCACTAGAATATACATTGGAAAAATGATTTACATGTTTGGCAGCTGCTACACCCTCTTTGTCACCTTCGATTCTAATAACGTTCTCATCTTTATCTGCAATATTGATGAAAACACCTGTTTGCTCTTTCAATCTGTTTACATTTGCTCCGTTCTTCCCGATGATATGCTTGTAATATTTCTGATCAACAGTGAGTTCAGTGTATGCAAGTTTACTCTCCAATTCAGACGTAAGTTCTTTGAGTTTTGTGAAAGCTTGAGAAACTTCTTCTTGAGGGCCTTCTATTGTTATTTTGTTCTCCTTGTCCGTAAACTGAACGTGAACCTAACAAGTGAAAAAAAAATGTTTTGTCTTACACACGTCCTCTTTTCTCCTTTTTGCCCAGAATTTTTTATACCTTGCTAAAATCTTGAGTAATAGACCTTATGTTCGCTCCTTTTCTTCCAATGATGTATTTGTGAATCCAAGAAGGAGCATCAACTACAGCTGACTGCATACTGTTAGCTTTAGCATACACCATGTTGAGGGCTAAAAAAAGTTGTAAAAACAATTTTTAAAAATATGCAGGTTATAAAATTAGGTTGAAATTATAATTTTGTTAAACTGTTTTTATTTTTCATTTAAATTAAAGATTACTTTTCTATTTTCATCACAAAAGAGAAAAGGTAAAGTTATAAATTAGAAATACGTTATTCAGAAATAAAATGTATCAAAACTAATTCTTAAATGTTAACTTCTAGGTTTATTTCATGCATGTAAACTATGGGCAATTTTAAACTAAAGATAGTTCTAGGAATAAATATAGCCTGAAATCTTAATTTAAAAAAATGATTTTTTGTATTGATGAAATAAGTAATTATTGTATTAATTTTACTCAATATCTTTACAGAAGTGATTTCATCAGGTTTTGTACGATGGTTTACCATTTCTTTCTAAGAAAATTATTCTTTAATGCAGCATAATAATACTAATAAATAGTGAAATTCACCAAAATTGAAAGCAATTTGAGGTAAAAGTTAAACCATAAACTTTTAAAATATGCCATAAGCAGAATGTAGCAGGTGCAGGCGTTTTGATAAAAAGTACACTTTTTTATGAACAATTCCATAAAAGAAAATAATAAGCAACAGACAGTGCATATTTTAAATGGATCTATTAATAAAGTTCATATGAAACATAATTGTTAAACATTTGAAATATTATAACTGTTTTTATACATATATTTTCAAAATGAACCGTCCAAAACACCAGAAAACAATTTGGTGAAGGGGATCTGAACATAGTAGTACCAAAATAAGGGCTATTTACCATTTGATAAGGTCAATGTACGCCCGTAATAAATTTTCAATATAAATTGGTTATTTTCTTTTCTGTGACTTTGACTCAATTGCAAAGTACGAATTAAAAATTCAACATGTGAACATAGAATTTTTCAAGATTAAAAAAAATATATATATATAAAATAAACTAATTTATTTTTACGTACCACTTCCCAATTTATCTTGTGGTCCTCTGAGGGTAATTGTCTCTTTCTGGGAGTCAGGGGGAGGCATTTCAACACTGACTCCTGTAGCATGTAGAATTTCTGCGATACCAGAACGTTTTGATCCGATCACATACTTGTGCCTTAATTTGTTGACTTCAACACCGACTGTAGTGTACTTTGCTTCCTGAAGCCAAATAATAAATTGTTCCTCAATTTTTAATTTTTAAACAGATTAATCAGAGAAAATAATGTGTCGGTACACTTACCATGTCATGGTACATGGAAAGAATTTCTTCCTTGGCAGCTAAAACACCTTCTTTTTCACCAAATATTGTTATCTCCTGAGCACTATGGCCTTCAGGCGGTATGTGAATTTTTACACCAGTCTCTGCTTGAATTCTGTTCACATTCTCGTTGAAAGCGCCACAGATGAAAGGGTGGTAGACTTTTGGAATCGTAAACCTCTCAATAGCTTTTTTTAACTGTTCATCAGATATGAGTTGCATTTCGTGGATAGCTTTTTCAATTCCATCTCTTGTACCAGTGACAGTGATTTCATCTGAATTATCAGAAATAACCGGCACAGAGATTTTAGTTGCAGTAATCTTTTCAAGTTCCTTAAGTCTGTTGCCAGACTTTCCGAGAATGCAGCGATGATGTTCTTTAGGGATGGAAATCTTGGAACTGGCTTGGGTTTGGAAGGTGGTAAGAATTTTCCTCCTAGCATCCATAACACTTTCTTGTTTCCCAGTGAGCAAGAAAGTGAGTGAACCGTCCTTGCATGAAGATATCTCTATGAGCGCACCAGTCTCTTTCATAATGGCTGAGCACGTTCTCAGAGATTCCTTCTCTCCGAAGCTGTTGTTGTGGTCAAATCTTCTTTCGTCTGATGGTACCAAAAACACCTGTGTTATGACAGAGCTCCTGATTCGCATCTTGTTGTTCCATTGTCCGATGTTGTTGATGGGAGTCGGATTGGCTGACTCTGGTAATGCTGGGAAAGCTTCATCATAAACATATTGTGATTGGTCGGATTGGGTATTTGAATGGTACACTTGTCCCTCCTCCATTCTGCTTGCTGAGTAATCCAGTCACGTGCCGTGTCTTACAGTAACACTAAGACAAATATATTAAATTTAAAAATTTGAATAAAAGACTTAAAAAATTGTTTAAATTTAGGCTCTGCTAAGTGATGAATAGCTTGATCACCTCTGGCCATTCCTGGTTTTACATTTTATTTCTCACATTTCAACATTTTACCACTCAAACGGCAAAAAGTGATAGGCAGACAAAACATGAAAATCACCATCCAGGATGATTAGAGATGACCATGGTGCAATATTGTGGTTTACTTTTTTTTGTTGAATATTAAAACTGATCAATTGCTTGAACAGCAAAATAAATTAATTCAATTGCTCAGATTATTAACATGTACTCAAATTTCTGTGACAGTGCAAACATATTTAATATTTATCAAAGAATATTATGTAGTGGTCTTGTTAACAGGCAATTATCAACCGAACTAAATTCACACAAAGATATGGGTGCAATGAAAATTTATCACCATGATTAAATAAAAGAGAACAAAATTACCCTGAAAAATTAAACGTTAAGTCAGTTATGTATTTTCTGCTAACAGTGGTTTACACACGAATAACTGAGACAAAATTTGTCATTATTTGAAATAGAACACTAACTTGTAAATTTGCGTCCAGTGTTATCAAGAAGCTCCAGAAAGCCCTTTCCCAAATTTAAAACTTAAAAATTAATTTGGGGACCGCGGTAGCCGAGTGGTTAGCATGAGAGACTCTCACGCCGCGGTCGTGGGTTCGATTCCCACCGTCGCCTCTGGCCCTTTTTTCACAATAACCCCCCCAAATTTGAATACACATATATGAATTGTCACATGGCTAATATGCATAGTTCATAACGCCAGGAAAAAAAAAATTAATTTAAATTTTTTTTAAATTGAAACTAATAAACTGTAAGCATTAGTGAAACTCTTATCTCCATCGTTAGGCCTTGATTAAAATAGATATTTATAGAATAGCTTTCTCACAAAAGCGTTTTATCATTTGGCAAGTATATTGATTTCTATCAAATTTGAAAGGGAAAAAATCTGTCTAGTGCAAATAAATTTAAAAATACCAGATAACTCTTTAACATTGAGCGCCTTGCAATGTCAACAGTTTTTGATATGTGCAGTTTAATGTAAGAGATAATGGTATAACAACTAGGACCTTTAAAAATGATTATAGATAAGATTCTCCAAGAGGAAAATTCATTAATTAAAGCTGTAGTGGTAAGATAAGAAACTAAAATGTTCAAAAACAAATTAATCTTACAGTTAGAACACATTTTCGCCTGGTAAAATATTACAAATGTTTTACTAAAGACAACAGCTTTAGCGCGTATTGTTTAATTTTACTAAAAAATATTCCAGATTAGAAAATGTAAAAAATATAGAATTAACAGATTATAAAAGAGAGGTAGGATGGTAACTGCATCCTGAGAAGATCAGACTTCAAAGCCATTTTAAAACAGAAGCAGACAGAAATGAAACAAGTCCAGCGGGTGTTAAAGACAAGGATAATAGCAGACCAAGATGATCAGCGACGATTCAGGTTTACGACCTCACAGTGTTGTAAAAAGTCAACATGAAGAGAAAACAACTCAGGTTTTGGCCAGCATATTTTTTATGCGACGAAAGCAAGAAAGTTCTGGGCTGTTAAAAGGATAAGGTAACAAGGAGGCAGTTAATACAGAAAAAATCCTTTCTCATTATTTCACCTTCGTAACGTGAGTGAAATATTAAATATTTTCCATGGCTTTTTATGATTTGGGAAGGGATTTTTTAAAGTCATTGTTGTTGATGGAGGCTCTTTGATAGCTGCCATTTATTTGACCCGAACTACTAAAAAAAATTCTAAAGCACAATGATGTATGTTCACATACGGTGTACCCCCACGAACTTTTTAGGAGGAAAATAATGTCAATTTTTCCTGACCTTAAAACCATTGCACATATTATGAGGGAAAGAGGTGCTTACCGTGAGAAGGTTTTTAAAGAATGTTTACACAAGATATCTAAAAAGTTGTCACTAATATAGTTTTAAGAAGGTTGGTTTTGAGATTTTCAATGAGGGTCATGTCCATGTTGGAAGAATATACAATAGTAGAAGATATTTAAAATAACTGTTCCCACTGAATTCAATTAAATCTAAACCCCTATCTGCATTGAAAAATTGAACAACATTCAATTAGTTTTAGACAAGTAATCAAAAATGTGAGATATATGCATGTTGTAGTAGAAAAAAAGAGAAAGTTATCTCTTGTACAGTATTATTGACGTGTTAAGAGATTATAAAACAGAAAAGGGACTCAGCAAAAATAATTAAACCATTCTTTTGATAAGGAAGGCCATTTTTAAACAGAATTCAACTGGAACTGGAACCAAAGTACATTTTCACAGCATTTGACATAATAAATTTAAAAAAAAGTTTAGGTTTTTAATAAATGCACAAATAGTTTTAAATCTTCCTTGAAAGAGTCATGAACGAAAACAAGTTGTTTTATTTTGAATATTAGTTACAATCATTCTAAACCACAATTCCATGTTTAAACACCACAAACATCAACATGGAAATACCCAATCTGATAAGACAAAAAAAAAGGTGATGTGAATTCTATACAGGATGTAATGTATATGTATAGAAAAAAAGTCTGTTTCAAATTTTTCATAATGCAGCCAACCCCCCCCCCCCCAAAAAAAAGCCAAATTATTAAAAAATAAAATTTATGTTTTGTTTTTCCAAATTAATATAATTTAGTAGTACTCTAAATAATATATTTTATAGTGATTACATAAAAATTTCTAATTTGATGAACACGACCAGAAGTGAAAGCAAAATTGAGTAATTCAAAACATTTCTGATCATGTATTTAGTTGTTATTTCATCAAAACTGAATAACTGATTTTAAAATAGAATAACATGACAGTTTTGATACGGTTCAACCATGAGTTTTTCTGTTTGTGAAAATATAACACCATGATAATTATTTTTTTATATATTTTTTTAAATATTTTTGCTTAAGTAATAAAAAATATTTTTAATGAAGCAAAGACATGAAAAAATGATAGATAGAAAAACTATCGTACTTCAGAAAATTGCATGTTGCAGACTTTTAGAAAGTAAGTAATTAACCAGAGAAAGGATAAATTCATAGCATATTTCAAATGGGAAAGGCTGAAATACAAATTTTGAAACTAACAATTCTTTTCTCTTCTAGTTTGTGATTGATAAATCACACTTTGTAAACAAACATGTAATAAGATGGTAACAGCACAAAATATAAGCTAAAGTTTCAACTAAATTTAAAATTTATAAATTTCATACAGGGTACAATGAATATAATGGTGATACAATCTTTCCAAATGTTTTAGAATCAGTAATGATTCAATGAATACATAAAAAATGGTTTTATGCATTTTAAAATACATTTTAAACTGTTTCTAGAAACTTGTAGCCAAATAAAGATAAAAGGTAATAAGTTTGAAATAAAATAATTGATCTTAACAATCAGAACAAATTTACACTTGTTTTAATGAAAAAAGTTAAAAGAAGGCTTAAAATTGATAAAAATTGAAAACCATTATATCAAACCTTCAAAGCAAAATGGTTTGAAAAGCAAGGTTTCCATTTCTCAAGATCTTATGTAGAAGAAGGTACACAGTGCAAATGACAAAATTAATGAAGTGAATTTACAATGTCAACCTTAATTTCATATTTTAGACCAAACAGGTTTAAATAAGAGCTTTAACTTTAAAAAATTGTATTGCTCCAATATTATTTTAAACATTACTTCTTACTCCAAATAATTATTCTTTTAATCTAAGGTTTTTACTTTAAACTAGTGTCATGATCGATATTCAAACCCACAACCTTCGGCTCAATACGCCGCTGCTCTAACCACATGAACTATTGTGACTTCGATCCCCTCTGACACCAACTTCCCATCTCAACCTACAACCGTTCGAATTTTCCTTCTTTTCTGCCATTTTTCAAGGGGTGGGTTCGAATCTCGCTCATGACACTAATTTTCATCACAACCAAAAACCTTAGATGAAAAGAATAATTAATTGGATAATTAATAATTAATGGTCAATTATGGCCACTAAACAAATGAGGTGTACTTCTTACTTCAATACAGAATGTGACAAAATATTATTTTTATAGGTAAAGTAATATGTGATGGCAACAAGCTGAAAATGGATACTTCCACAGTTTAGACTGGGAAAGATGGAACAGCACATATAAGCTTTTTAAGAAGAAAGCTATAACATAAAATATTAATTTTTATGATTTATGATCAAGCGTTTGATGCCAATGATCCCAAAAAAAGGAGACTTTCATGTCAGGATCAGTTAAGACAATACCTTATTAAAAATTAAAAAAAAAGTACTTTTTTAAAAATATTGAATCATCTCAAGTTTAAATTAAAGTGAGGCTTTCTTATGAAGAACATGGTATTTTGTGCCAATGATGAAAAGCTGGCATGTGTGCTATTTTTTTTCCGTTTTTTCAAATTATTGGGTTGTCCGGAAAATAATGCAGGATTTTGGTATTAAACAAAAAAAAAGAAACTAGTTACTTTAAAGCAATGTTCTTTAATCAAAATAATTTCCCATACTCTCAATACATTTCTCCCAACGTGTTGGTAACTTATTAATTCCGTCTGAGTAGAATTCAGAATTTTTAGAATTGATAAAGTCAATAAATGCATTTTCCAGTTCCGTTTGATTTTTGAATATTATGGGTTGTAAGTAGTGGTCCAGGTGTCTAAAAAAATGGTAGTCAGTAGGCGAGAGGTCCGGAGAGTAGGGTGGGTGAGGCAAAGTTTCATAGCCAAGCTCCAATAATTTTTGTGACGTTACACGTGACACATGTGGTCGAGCGTTGTCATGCAACAAAATGGGCCCTTTCCGATTGACCAAAGAGGGCTTCATTACTGCCAATTTCTGATGCATGGTATTAATTTGGTTACAGTATGATTCAGCATTGATGGTTTCGCCAGGATTTAAGAAGCTGTAGTGTATTAAACCAAATGAAGCCCACCATACCGTAACCATTACCTTTTTTTGATGAGTTGGGGGCTTTGGAAAATGTATTGGAGCTTCTCCTTTGTCGAGCCACTGTCCAGAACGTCTAGTGTTATCGTAGAGAATCCACTTTTCGTCACATGTAACAATTCTGGCCAGAAATGGGTCATTTTTGTTTCGACAAAGAAGTGATGCACAAACATCAAAGCGCTGATTTTTTTGGCGATCGTTTAATGAGTGTGGAACCCAATTTTCGAGTTTTTTCACTTTTCCAATCGCCTTGAGGTGGTCAGCGACGGTCGTTTTACTGACTTTGAGTTGCTCTGCAAGTTCTCGAACAGTTGTTTTGGGGTTTTCTTCCACCACTGATCGCAGAACATCATCATTAAGAGAGGAAGGCCTTCTTCATCTTCAAGGCTGAAATCTCCCTCCCGAAATTTTTTAAACCACCTTTGCACAGTGCACTCATTAACACAACCCTCGCCCCAGACTTGGTTAATGTTTCTAGCCGTTTGGGCTCCGCTTCGGCCGAGTTTAAACTCGTAAAAGAAAATCGTACGAAATTCTCGCTTTGACATTATAAGGATGACTGAATTATTTCCAAGTAGCGGAATGCTACAGAGGTAAACAAACAATATCATTTGGAAGAGGATTAATAAGTGTTGACATTCATACAAATGAGTAATCCTGTAAACGTAAACAGAATATTTTATATAGATTTTTTTTAATGAAAACTTAAAATCCTGCATTATTTTCCGGACAACCCGATAGAATTGTTTTTAAAAATAGCTGTGAAATTGTGCTTTTTCTCAAACTTTTAATCATTTTTAATAAATAATTTCCTGTTATAATGCAGAAGGAGAATGGAACAAAGTGCTGCCTTCTTTTGAAGAACATGGTATTTGGTACCAATGATGAAAGCTTATAATGTGTTTTTTTTTCTTTCAAATTATTTATAACTGTTTTTAAAAATTACTGTGGGACATGCTTTTTCTAAAATGCTTAAGCTTTTTTTAATAAATAATTCCATGCAGAATGAGAATGGAAAAGCATTGCCTTCTTATTAACATGGTATTTGGTGCCACTTATGAAAAGATTGCCAAGTGCCATAATTTAAAGAAAATTACGTACAGTTTTTTAAAATGTAAATGCGAAATCATGCTTTTCCCAAAATGTTTAAGCACTTTTTAATAATTCCTTGCTACAATGCAGAAAGAATGGCGTAAAGCACTGCCTTATTATGAACAACATGGTATTTGGAGCCAATGATGGAAGGCTTGCTATTTGCCCTTATTTGGGGGGGGGGAAAGGTGGACATAAGTTATTAAAATATAAGTATGAAATTGTGCTTTTTCCAAAATATTTAATAATTTTTTCCCTGTAAATAATTCCTTATTACAATGCAGAGTGAGAATGGAACAAACTGCTGCCTTCTCAGAATGTCGTATTTGGTGCCAATGATGGAAAACTTGTAATGTGCCCTAATTGGAAAAAAAAATAGGTTTTTAAAAATATTTAATTTCCCAAAATGTTTAAACATTTTTTAATAATTTCCTGTTACAATGCAAAGAGAGAATGGAATAAAGAATTGCCTTTTTAAGAATAACAAGGTATTTGGTGCCAATCATGTTTCCTTGCTTGCAATGTGCCCTAATTTGGGAGAAAAAATTGGATGTAGTTTTTTAAAATATAATATGGAATTGTGCTTTTTTTTGCATTAACTGTACAATAGTGGTTTTTTTTTATGGCATGAGATATTGTGAAGCCCAAGGTGTTTAAAGCATGGCATACATTTTTACTACTGGTGTAAATATAAAAATAGCCAAGAGACCCCCTTATAAAAATTTAATCCCAACAAAACAAAAATTTTGTGAAACGGAAAATAAAGAGGATATATTTTTCGAAGGGTTGTTGACCTCGAGGAAAGCGAGACCGCGTGGAAGTGAAAAATAAAATGCGATCCTCGTGAAATTTAACAGAAGAAATTTCACTTCACCGACCTTGAACTCCGTATGTTTATCAGTTGCGACTTATCGTTTAGGACGCAATTAAAGTAGAAGAAACGGGGGAAAAACGTTAAGAGGCGGCGTAGAAGCGGCAGCGAAGACTGAGGAACTTAGAAGCGACCGGGGGCTAGCACCCGGATCCGGTAAATTGCGACAGTGCGGGGGTCAAAGAGGTTGACACGTCGGCAAGAAAGCATGTAGCTGTGTTGTACCTGCTAAAACGAAACTGAACGTTCCCCCGACCCAAATAAAGAAGACGGGACGTAAAAACGACCAGACTCTTTTGCCGGCCAACCAGTCCCGACTTCAACACTTACTTTCTAACATAAATGCACAAATATGAGTACTCACTGTACTGTATGCCAGAGATCCGTCCTGATTAATACCTTTAACCAGCCAGTTTTGTTATTATGTCCCCCTTGAAAAACAAATACATCCGATTAATTTTAGACCTTTACATTACAATAGACTTGATTAAAATAAGTCTCTTGGTTTACTTTATTATTTATATAATAATAGATATTGAGTCGAGATGACATACCAAATGGCAGACACAAACAAGTTGATTCTCTACGCTAGGGGCGTTCTGTATGTTGGCTCTGTTGTGATAATTATCCGGTATCGACAACATCAAATAACGAAATGTCCCTTATTTCTCGTTTTTGGGGATTATCCTGAGATTTGTTCGGGCCCGTTTCAATTTCTAAACCGACCTGCTTTTCACAGAATTTTGTTTTTGTTTTTTCAGAAAACACTAGGTTTCGGTTTTATGTACCAGCATCGGCTTCACTTGGCAATGTTCCACATCTGCGTTGAATCGGACAGAATTCTGAGATTTTGGCTTTTCCGCACATTTTCCCCTCGTTAAATGTTCGATTTCAATTTATGTCGATTGGCTCTTGTGCTGGTTTGTCGCAGTGGCTCGGACTTTACAGTTTGCAGCTGCTTCGGCCATCTGCTCACAGAAATGTGAATATTTTTCCGGTCGGGTTGAAATCTACTTTACACGCCCGCGAAATCAAAATTCAAATATGACAGGCTCAATTCATAAAAAAAAGGACACGAGCACTATAAAAATATGGTACAAACAATTTTGCCTCATTGGCCAAGGGCTATGGTATGGGCTGCTGATATCAAAAATTCTTATTTTATAGTTTATTTTATCAGGTGTACTGCAATTCAGACTTTATTTAATTTTTTAAATTTTGTTAACAACTAACTTGCATCCGGCATCCCTGTACCATCCACGTGTTGATCTGGCATCTCATTTCATGAATATTATATAGAGACTGGGAACAAACTTGGCCACTACTGACAACAATCTAAGAGACATGAAAGAATGTCAAAAAGTTGGGAATGTTCCCTACCATACCTTTCACATGGATACCCATCATCGTATGCTGCACGCAATATAATGATGTTTATGGAATCACTGGGAAAAATTACTGCCCTCTTCATAGCAACTGTTTAGTCTATGATTTCGATGCACAAGTCCCGTACAAACATGTTGATTCACTACAGTGAAACATTCCCATTTGACAGAATGGGCAAGAAATGGTGTTAGTTAGACTGAGTATAGGCCACACTCGTTACACACACGGTTTCATCATGGCCAAAAAACTGCCCGCACTCTGTAATGCTTGCCATGAAACTATAACCGTTAAACATGTTTTAACAGAATGTGCTCTTCTTAAATACAATACTCATCATTATAACTTATTCTTATTATGATCTACTTCCTTATTAGATTCTTATCCTTTCATGTTTTTGCCAGTTTTTAGATTTTCACCTGCAGGTTGAGGGGTTTGGGAATTGATGTATTGAACTAATTCAACTACATCTAAGCTACCTATTGGTTTGAAAATTGTACCCAATGTGTAAAAGTACTTTGTGTAACTAATGAAATATCTAAAATACCCAAAAAGTAGTTTGCAAAAGTATGTGTTTATACCAGTTTTTAGATTTTCACCTACTGGTTGAGGGGCGAGTTGTGAGTTGGGGAATTGTGTAACGTATTCAAATATTCAAATCTAGTTGAATTAGTCAAATTCGACTAGTTCTAAACTACCTATCGGTTCAAAAAATTGTAACCAATATGTAAAAATACTTTCTGAAACTAATGAAATATAAAAAATACTAAAAAAATTTCGAAACAGTATGTGTTTTTACTGGCTTTTAGATGTTCACCTACCAGTTGGGGCGAGTTGCGAGTTGGGGAATATTTGACTTGTTCGACTTAACTTCAAGTACCTATCGGTTCAAAAATTGTAACCAATATGTAAAAATACTTTTACAAATTTAATGCCTCTTATTGCTCTACTAATTAATTACCAGTTGCACTCCCCTATCAATGGAATCAACGAATAGACAATATGTTAAAAATTAATTATTTCATGTTAGTGTAAATATATTTAAAAATATGATAAAATCAATATATATTTTTATTTTATAATGTCTATTCTATATGTGTGCAGTTAAAAAAATTAATTACCTACGTATACAATTGTATAAAACGGCTAAGGGATTCTGGTATACAACCTTTAACATATAAAATGGTATTTCACATGGAATTGTGGTACAGAAAAATTAAAAATTATTATTATTATTTTATTCTTATTGTATGAAATTGGATAAAAATTAACAAATAATTTAACGCTTATATAATCTGTACAATAATAAATTAATCGGCAACGACTATATTAAAGACACATTGTCTAACAATCAAAACATTCCAAAGTGCTTTACTGCTTTTACACTTGATGTTTTACTAAGTTAAAATAAAGCCCCTGCTTCTTCAAAAGATCTTTATGATTTCCCAATTCAACAATTTGCCCCTTGTGCAGAACAGCTATCACATCTGCATTTTTTATTGTCGACAGCCTGTGCGCGATTACAATCGTCGTCCTCCCTATTCGAGCTTGATCTAATGCTTGCTGGACCACCTGAAATGAATTTAACATTTAACAAATAAAAAGTTATTCAAATTGATCACGATTTAGATAAAAATACCTCTTCACTTTTGGAGTCAAGAGCAGAAGTTGCCTCATCTAAAAGTAGGATTTTGGGATTCCGAATAAGAGCTCTTGCAATTACGATTCTTTGCTTCTGACCTCCTGATAACTGAGTACCGAGTGTCCCACATATTGTGTCATAACCCTTTACAAAATTAAGTATGAATTATTTAATTATTACAAAACTACAGAAGTAATTGACCTGTGGCAACGATGAAATAAATTCATGTATATTAGCTAATTTTGTTGCATTATACATATCAAATTCTGAAGGGATACAGCCACAGACTTTTGACCCATATATGATATTCTCTTTTATTGTACAGTTGAAGAGAAGGGGTTCTTGAGTTACTAAACCGATCTGGCTTCTTAAAAATTCCGTATTCATATTTTTTATATCAATGTTATCAATAAGCTAAAAATTGTTTATTTAAAAATTATATATTTTACATAAAGGAGATTTCATACTAACAATTTTCCCTGCTATAGGTAAATAAAATTGTTCTAATAGATTAATTACAGTTGACTTTCCACACCCTGATGTACCAACTAGAGCCAATGTTTGATTTACTTCAATTTTAAGATTGAAATTACTTAAGATAACCACATGTGGTCTACTAGGGTAAATAAATGTAATGTTCCTGAATTCTATTTTGCCATGAATCTCCTGAAAAAAAATGCACGTGTGTACATGTATATTTAATGGAATAATACAGACATGTACCTTTCGAATTCCTTCAAGTGACAATGGGTCAATAAGAGATTTTCTCTCTATAAGTTTGAATATTGACATAGCGGCTATTTTTGCTTTTGAAAAATCTTGCAAAGTGGCAATTCCTTGGCCAATTGCAGTTGCGCAAAATGTAATGGAGAAAAATACCCTGTATAAATACAGTGCACATTACAACATATAAAGTTCAAGCAATGAGAAAAAATGTATACTTTGATCACGCTATAACTAATTTTTACATTTAATGAGATAATTTTACCTGAAAACATTATTAATATCCATTTGGTTGCTGATCACTAAATATCCTCCAAAGCCAAAAGCTACAGAATACATTATGAAAATAGTTGATTGGGCAAAAGCATATGTAAGAGAAAACCAAAATGCTTTTTTTCCTGCTTCCCTAAAATGATATGTAATAAGAATCAACAAAAGTACTATATTCATAAATTAACTAATTTTGTGGTCCGCTTGACCAATTAATATATTACAATTAATTAAGGTTTTTAGTTGAGATAAAAAAGTCATTGACGATCGTTCAGTTGAGATCGTGGGTTCAAATCCCGCTCGTGCTATTGACTTTTTTACCTTAATTAATTGTAATATATTCATAAACTTGACCTACTTTAGACGCTCTACAAGGCAAGAGATGTAACGATTGATGAAGAGTTCCTCTTGGGCTAAAGCTTGTACCGTTTTTATGTTTCTGAAGCATTCTCCTGTAATCTAAATATATTCTGTTTTTGCAAATTATCATTAAATAGAAAAAATAACATGAACAATATACTTTTCCTGCTTTATCAAGAGCTTTCAAATCCTCAAGCTGTGATTTCCGCACAAGGGACATATGTTTGAAACCAGAGTATATTAATGCTGGAGATATTATTATCAGCAGTAAACCCATTTTCCAGCCAAAGAAAAGTGAAATTGCTATACCACATGCCATTGTGACAAAAGCTGTAATTAATTGACCAACTCTCAATCCAGAGGCCTGGAATTACATTCTCATCTCATTAAGAAGAAATGATTTGAACACGTTAATGTTTTAGTCAAGAAAAAAGCCTTACAGCTTTGATGTAAGGAGCATCCCTTGAAAGTTGAGTCAAAAGAACACTACATGAGTTGTTTTCATTATCAAACCACGACATTTCTTGTCTGAGTATGTTTCTGAAACAAAGATTCCTAAGGCGCACCACAAGATTTTCAGCAGCAGTGGACATAGAAATTATCTGAGAAATGTTTCATTTCAAGCATTGAACTTTTAGAAATAATGTGTAAATATACCTTGGCATAGTAGAAGAGTCCACTAAAAACTCCAAGTGCGACAAACATTAATGACCAGAATAAAATTGTTTCAGTCAATTCATCTCCGGTTAAATTAAATACCTAAATTGTATAATTTAATTGCAAAATAAATTTTCAACACAGAGAAATAATAATTGTTTTACCATCACCATCTCAGAATAAAGGAAAGCAAATGCACACGGTGTTGAGCCCAGAACAAAACAGGCAAAAAATCCAAGAAGAAGCCAATTCCATTCAGGAAGATTAAGGAGCCCAAGACGAAGGAAACATTGAGTCATGCTAATATCCTTAAGCAATATTAATCCATAAATAACAATGCAATTTTTATCAATTGAAAAAATAAAATTCATATATATTAGGTCAAATATTACAAGTATGCTTTTTACCTTTGTATTTCTATCTGTCTTCAGACTATCATCAACAGTTGATATTTGTTTAGGAGAGTTCATTTGTATTAAGTTCACACTGAAATTGTAATAAATATTTATCATATTTAACATTAAGGAATTATATTGGACTAGTATAATTGTATTTTTTTTTAAGTCATACTCCTCAAGTTGTGGTATCTCTTCATTGGTAATACTTTGAATAGACACAAATTTATAGTAAGCACCTTTAAGCTCCATAAGCTCAGAGTGAGTTCCGCTTTCCATGATTTCACCTTTCTTTATTAAAAAACAGAAATATGATTATGAAATCATGCTTTATATAAAAATTTATATTTAAAAAATATATAATTACATTCATAACGTATATCTTATTAGCATTTCTAATTGTGGACAATCTATGTGCTATGATTAAAGTTGTCCTCCCTTCCATTGCCTTGTTCAGAGCTTCATGAACAACACTTTCACTTTCTGAGTCCAAAGCGGACGTTGCTTCATCTAACAGCAGAAAAGTTGGATCTCTAATGAGTGCCCTTGCAATCGCTATTCTCTGTTTTTGCCCACCTGAAAGCTGGGCTCCTCGTTCTCCTACCATTGTATGGTAACCCTATTGAAAAGTTTGATTTTTTTTCTGATTTTCTGATGTTAATGGCAAATATCTACCTGTGGTAATTTTTTTATAAATGAGTGAGCATTTGCTAGCTTTGCTGCTGAGATTATTTCCTCCTTGGTGACTTCTTTTCTACCGTAGCGTATATTGTCTTCAATTGATACTCCAAACAAGACTGGTTCTTGGGAAACAACTCCAATTTTACTTCGCAACCATTTTATGTTTATATCTCGTATATCAATACCATCGAATGTAATCTAATCAAATAATAATCATGGTATAAGTTTGAATCAAATAAATGATCTAAAGAATCAAATTACTCGGCCTTCTGTCGCATCATAATATCTAAGTAAAAGATTGACAATAGTGCTTTTACCAGATCCACTTTCTCCTACAATCGCTACAATTTTTCCAGGATTTATTTCAAGGTTTATTCTATTTAAAACCTTAGAATTAAAAATAAAAATTTAAACTGTATTTTTTAGAATAGATAAGGTCATTAATAAAATTTTTAAATAAATTCACCTGAACTGTTTGCCTTGTTGAATATCTAAAACAGACCTTTTCAAATGAAAGTTTCCCACTGAATTTAACCGGTTTGATCCCGTATGTAGACAAAGGATCAATTGGAGGTACCCGGTTAATTATTTCTTGTATTATTTCTCCAGAACCTTTGGCTAATAAAACAGAGTTTATATATGGAAGGATGCTCCCAAATGAAAATGCAGAACTTAGCATACAAAATAATACCTTCAAAAAACATTTTACAGTGTTAATAAATATTTAGAAATAGTTTATAAATAATATAATTATACATACACCAAACACTTCTCCTATTGTTGCTTCATTTGTTGAAATTAACACTGACCCATACCAAAATCCAAACCCATATGATGAATGCATGATAATATAAAAGAATAATACAAATGAAGCTAGCAAATAATATTTTTTCAATGAAACTCTCCTTCCTTCTTCGAGAGCTTTTTCATACCTTGAACCAATTTTGTTAATCAATAATTATTTATGGGTATCTATGCCAAATGTTTATTTAGATTATAAAATAATTGCTGTGCAAGCAAATAAAACAAGCAAAACCTCTTAGCTTCAAATTCGATAGTGCCAAAAGAAATAACTGTTTTAAGGCACGTAAACACTTCCTCAGCAACACTCCCAGCATCAGAGTACCTAAGCTGTTCTCTTACCGCACCGGTAGACAAGAACTAAAAATAATAAATACAGGTGGGTAATGATGGTTAAAATTTAACATGTTTATACAAGTTACCCTGGCCATATATCCTGATGAAATGATAATTAATGGTGCCAATGCCAATATGACACAAGTTAATTTCCAATTTAAAAGCAAGCTCAGAATACACCCACTTACAAATATAGAAACGTAAACAATGATCATGCTTAATTTGTAACCAATTCCATCTCGTATTCTTTCTATATCACTACAATAATTTAGGGAAACGTAAGTGATGATGTATTTAATTTAGATTTCTATATTTTTGTACTCATACTCAGAAATATTTGATGTAAAGTCTCCATGATTTGAACTTTCAAACCAATCAATATTTTGCCTTAGGACTTGTGAGAAAAAGTTTTTCCTTAATCTGAAAAGCTGTCTATCAGCAACTTTTTCAAAAAGAAAGACCTGAAAAGGCAATAGAGACTTAAATTGTTCAAGGATCACAATGTAATTATAGATTCAAACCTGAAAGAAAGTGCTTAGAAAAGAAATTGTTCCTAGGAAAATATAAATGGTGCAAAATATAATTACACTCTTCATAAATCCATCTTTTTCACTGATATTCATTTCATTAACATAGCTTCAAAAATAAATAAATAAATTTTTATCAATTATACTACATTTTAATGTAAAATACTACCTTTTTAGTGCAGAACTATGGAAAGATCTATTATGGTTTATTTTACTGTACAAATTATCTAAAATGTCATCTATCTGTGTATTTACCTATAATATTTTTATTGGTTAAATACAAGTCCTTTGTGTTCACATAATTATTTAGAACTTACAGATTTTTCTAAAAATGTGTCAGACATAATGCCAAATACATATCCTAAACATGGAACACTTGCTCCTTGAATGAAAGCAAATAACGTTCCAAATATTAGGTAAATATAATCTCTGTTCGTTGCATACCGAAACTAAAAAGAGATAGATATTTTTATTTATTTTTTAATTAATTATACCATGAGTACAACCAATCCTCGAATCCCTGTTATAGGTTTTTCACGTTTGGTAGAACTGAACCTGTAATGACAATACATAATTCAATCTCAGGTTAATGTATAAAATAAAAAATATGCATAATAAGAATTTTTATTTTATAGTACATACTAGGAAAATATAAACATTAATTCTTGAGAAAAAATCATAATTATAACATGAAAATGGAGGATTGCAGTGACCGAGTGGTTGGGTGTCTGTTACCCAATTACTCAAATTTGCCTATGTCGGGGGCTCTGGAATAATAATATGGAAATGAAAATGAAAAATGAATGAATTTTAATTGGTAATAATGTGTAAAAGGTATCATAAAGTGGTTTGCCTCCTCTTCCACAAATTCAATGGCTAAGACCTCCAGTATTACTGGAATTACTTTACCTATGTATGAACAATTCCATGATACCTCATCCACCTGGAAGTGGGCCTTTGAGGAAATATAATATTTGTTATAATTATACCCTGTAATAACAATTTTTCAGATTCTTTTATTAATTTATTGTTTAAAAAAGAGAAAAATATTTTATATTTATATCAAACCACCAAAAAATTGCCTTAAACAATGTGATATGTAAAGTTAGGTTTTATTGTCAGAGTTTGTGCGGATGAACTCTGAAAGCGAAAATGAGAAAAGTAATTTTTTAAAATTTTTATATTGCTGCAACAATTATTTGAATATTGCAATATCAGTCAATTTTTACATCGATTGTTAAATTTAATTTCTTTTTATAATTCAAAATGCTAAAATAAAATTCTATGTTTCAGAAAAACGATTTATTTCTAAATGCAATAATCAAAAGTGAAGTTTGTTTGTAGGATCATTCAACTATGTTTTGTAAGCACAAAATTAGTGTGGTGCTTACTACTTTTCGTCTTATTTCCAATACCAATGTTTACCAAATCACAATTATTATATTATTATTATTATTATTATTTTTAGTAGAAAATAAATTTCCATATTGTTCAGACCAACATTTAATAAAACTCCTTTCTTTATGGTGTAACAGTGTAAATAGTAAAAGATTCTTTCTTGCTTGATTTAAACTGGGGTTATTAATATATTGAATATAATTATACATCGTATGATATATATTCACAAGAAATTTTCTTTGACCTTTGTAAGATTTATTACAATTTTAATGTAATTCAGTTTAAACTAGCAAAACTTATATGTTAATAAAAGTAAAGTTAAGTAATTTCTGTCATACAGAGCTTAACATCCAACTACCCATTGGTTGTCAAGGACGAGGGTCAAACCACTTTTGAATACATTTTTCATATCATTATCAATTAAAAAGCCATGAATGAGTTCTGCCAGGATTTGAACTCAGAACTGCTAGCATAGCAAACATGAGTCATATACCCTAACCACTCAGCCACCAACTGTCCTCCTAATATTTAATATGTTTAAACTAGCAAAACTAATTTTTTCGACTAGCATTGCATGGATTATAGTAAATTTTCCTTCCATAATAATATACGAGATAATTTTTATAACAAATTTCTACACAATTTTGATCAATTTGTTTAGTCATTTTTAATTTAGCACGCCTTTTTATAATCTCTAAAAGTTAGTAAAAGTAATGATTTTTGAAGAATTGCTGATTCTATAAAGGATTTCCTTTAAATTTACAAATTTAAATGACTTGTTACCAAAAGAAATATTCACCTAGGTAATGCCCCATAATTGATGACGTTTTCCGGTTTTATCAAAAGGCTCTCCTCATCCTTAGATTTCAGTTGGAAAGTCATTTCCCTTTTTAAGCGAAGATCATTCAGGCGAGACTGGCTTTATTGGCAGGTCTTTTTAAACATTTTTAAGTCCAAAGGTCGGGTGAAAGTGGACACAATAACTGTTGACACAATTATCTAGTTTAATATTTAATCTTCCCTTAATCAATTCTAGTTCAGTTTATGTTGCTTTTTGTTTTTAATTTACGAATCTTATCAGTGTAAATTTTCAGCTACAAAAAATTTTGTAGCACACTGGAGAACGATATAAAATCATTTTCTAATAGCCACTATTGAAATGATTAAATTAATCTTTAAATAAATAATTAATTTTAATAAATAATTATGTTTATTTATTGTTAAATCATTATTGGATTCTCTGTGGATTTAAATGAAATTACTTCAAAGTTATTATAGATAATATTTGTTTTACCAAATATATGTATGCTTCACATTTCTAAGATTGTCTATATAATAATCCTTACATTATAGCATATTGATCAAATATGTGTTTATGATTGAATAATTAATAAATTTAAAATAAGAAAGTCTTGGTTGTCTTGAACATAGTTGAACATTTTGTACATTTGCTCTAGAGTAACAAATTTCTACAACTCATTTAATTGTAGTGACATGTCTTTCTTAAATACACACGCAAAAAATAAATAAATAAATAAAACTTTACTACCATTCAGCACATTATATATTAATAGTAAAAATAAAATTTTAAAAATAATGAAAGATTTCACTTTAAAGTCATATAAAGAATACAAATGTTGTTAATTGTTCCCAAATTGTTTGCATTTCGTATTAAGAAAGCTGAAGGCAGAAAAACCTAAATCATAACTTAAAAGGTGTTATCATGGAGTTTATACCTTACGGCGTATAAGAACAAGGTCCTTTTAACACTTCATCATCCTTTAATTATCTACAATGTCACGACATGCAAAAGAGTTTCATTTACAAAAAGTCAAATAATAGCTACCAAACGTTATTTTAAAAAAAGTCCTCTATACTTTATGGATTTATTTTGACATTATTTACTCCCTTTTATTAAAATACCATGCAAAAAAGTTGTGAAATTGCTTTGATATATGAGTTGAAGGGTTCAATTGGATAGTGGTTCTTAAGGAAATTTTTTCTTCACATTATTACTTAAGTTCAAAAAGGGCCGTTAAACTTTAAATTATATATTGACATTTGAGTTTAAACAATCTAAACCAATTTCATAATTTATAAGTTAATCAAAATTGCTTTGCCAACTTTTACTACATACTAACTGAACAGATTTAAATTGCAAAATGCACACAATTTCACAGTTCATGCCTCACAGAACTTTAATGTACAAAAAATAAAACGTTTTCTTTGTATTTTAGCTTATGCTCCTGGGAGAACCTTGGCAATATTGAAATTTATGCCTTTTAGTTGTATTTTTATCTTTTCTTTCAGAGATATGGGTCAGTAAACCACCGACGAAATTCTTTCGCATATCTAAATAGGTTTTTTTGTTTTTTTGGGATAGGGTTTAAAAAGGTGAACTTTTTGATTTTGCAGTTCATTCGATAGTGACTTGAAGGGGAGACGTTAATTGAGATGTCCGATGAATATGACTATCGCAGCTATAATAATGAAATCGAAAGAAGCAATGACGTCTTCCCGTTACCAGTGAGTAATTTTAATAGCTCAATACTAACATTTTGAAATGTTCTAAAAATTTAAATTTTTTCAAATAAAAACAGAAACCATGAAATTACTTACTTTAACTATGACTTTACTGAAACAATCAAAATAAATGTGCAGCATGTTGTTTTATTTTATATATGAAAAGGTGTGTGGTAAATTAGAGTGCAAGTTAATTTTAATTATAAAAAAATACAAAGAAAAAATTGTGTACAGCACAATTTTGTTTATCTCACAAAACGAAACCTTAGAAAAAATAAGTGAAAGTGAACTACAACTATAACATAAAACACTTTTGTAAAATTCTCTTGCATCTTTAGGGCAATATCGGATCAATGGCAGTCAATGTCTATGTCGAAAATGATGAGAATGTATACAAACTGGGCTCGAAGGCAAAAAGAAAAGCAAAGTATGTACTATTGACTAAAGTAGGAATTATAGTGACAAAAGTAAATTTCATTTTTATAACCTTTTTTTTTACTTTTAGAAAGAAAAAGAAAATCGAAGACAACGAAGAACATCCAAGCGGACTTGCTGGAATCACAGGGCTTGTAAATATATTTCAGTGTTAATTGCAGTGTTGTGTAAATAATTGATGTAACTTTACAGTTTCGATATGCTCAACCTGCTGAATATATTTTGATGATAATTGGCTTTTTGGCTTCTATAGTTAATGGTGCTAGTTTACCTATAATGGCAATCGTTTTTGGGAAAATGACAAACATGTTTATTAATGTTTCTTCAAATGTGAGTTTATCTGTTATTTTTATATTATATACTATAATAATTAAAGAAGATTATTTAAGGATTTATTTTAGGGATTTAAACAAAGTGGTACAAATTATACAATACCCAATTTCACAACACAATCAACAATTCTTGATGAAAAAACGTAATTACAAAATAATTATAATTAGTTTGTGTTTTTTGTTTTCTGTGTTGATTGAGAGTAATTATATTGAAATTTGTTTCAGCCCAATACCAGTACAAATAACAAGAGAAGAGTTCACATCATCTATGGAATATTTCTCATTTTATTACATTTATATAAGTATTTCTGTTCTTATATCTGTATTTATTCAGGTAAAATTTACAACTTTTATGGTAATATAGGGTTAATATTCAAATTAAAATTGCACAGACTCTTTGCTGGGAAATGGCTTGTGAAAGGCAAGTATACCGCTTAAGACAGATTTTTTTCTCTCAAATCCTACGCCAAGACATAAGTTGGTACGACGCCAACGAAGACGGTGACCTTCCTCATAAACTCTCTGAGTAGGTATACAAATGAGGTAATATGGGTGATTAAAATCGGCCCTTAAGGGAATCTACATGTTTTTTAATGATTCAAGTGATTTGGAGAGGGTGAGAGAAGGTATCGGAAGCAAATTCAGCATGCTCACGCAGTATGGTTCAACTTTCATTGTTGGAATTATTGTTGGTTTTAATGCAAATGTAAAACTGACTAGTGCCATGATTATAATAGCGCCATTAATCATAGGAATTTCTGCAGTTGTAGCAAGGGTAATTCCAAACAGAACTCTTTTAAATTATTTAACAGTTTGATTTTTAATTAAAAAAAGATTAATCTTTAATCTTTTATGGTGTTTTATTCATAAGAATAAATCAATAAAAGACGTTTATTAAAATTGACTAATTGGCTAAACTTTTAAGTAATGCATAATTACATTTTTTAACTGATAAGTTTTGCTAGAAATGAATGTTAATTAAAGCAATAATATTATAATATTCATTTAAATAATTATAATATTTCTTATAAATTATACATTGGAAATGTCAGGCAATGAGTGGATCTGCACAAAGAGAACAGTTAAGATACGGCATTGCTGGAGGAATTGCATCAGAAGTGCTTAACTGTATCAAAATTGTTGCTTCATTTGGAGGAGAACCAAACGAAATTGCAAGGTTATTTTTTCTAAAAATCCAAACTTCCATGCAGTTTATTAAACAGTAATACATTTATTTTAGGTATGGGGACGCTTTGGAGCAAGGAAGAAAAGTGACGATGGGTAAATACTACATTCTTTCTATAGCTGCAGCGTTTATGTTTGTGACATCGTACGGTGCTTTTGGTTTTGCATTTTGGTATGGCTCTGATCTCATAATGCATGGTGACGCAACACCTGGAAGCGTTTTTACTGTAAATCTTAAATTATATTAATATAATTTATAATCTTTTCATTAATTTTTAATGACTATAATCAATACTTTTAGGTGTTTTTCAGCGTTATGACAGGTGCATTTACAATAGGAAATGCTCTCCCTTTTGTTAACACAGTTAGTACGGCAATTGGTTCAGCATCTACAATATTTAACATAATTGATAGAATACCTCCTATAGACTCATATTCCCAAGATGGAAAAATTCCAGACAAACTTGTTGGTGAAATAGAGTTTAAAGATGTTCAATTTTCATATCCTACAAGAACTGAAGTTAAGGTGATTAATGTTAAAATTAAGCTTTCATTTTCTAATTCCTAATAAGAACATACTTTAGGTGTTGAAAGGTTTAAACATTAAAATAGAACCAGGAAAGTCTGTCGCTTTGGTGGGTGGAAGTGGGGCTGGAAAGAGCACGGTCGTAGGTTTGCTACTGCGTTTCTACGATCCAGATAGTGGAGAAGTTAGTTGGTAAAATCAGATTTATAAAACGAAGATTTTATTAACAATTATTTTGTAGGTTTTAATTGATGGTATTCGAGTTGATGAATTGAATCTTGAATGGCTAAGAAGTCAAATTGGTGTAGTTTCACAAGAGCCTGTCCTTTTTGGTGTTTCTATTGCTGAAAATATCCGTTACGGGTGTGAATCAATAACTGAATCCGATATAGTCCGAGCTGCTACTTTAGCAAACGCTCATTCCTTCATCAGAGATTTGCCCCTTGTATGTACCTTCTATAATATTAAAATTGAGATATTAATTTTAAAAATTTAAGGGGTATGACACTCAAGTCGGCGACAGGGGTACAATGTTGTCAGGAGGACAAAAACAAAGAATAGCTATCGCAAGAGCTCTTGTCAGAGATCCAAAGATTCTTCTTCTAGATGAGGCTACTTCTGCTTTAGACGCACAGAGTGAAAGCATTGTACAAGCTGCTTTGGACAATGCAATGAGGGGAAGGACAACAGTTATTGTTGCACACAGACTATCAACAATACGGAATGTAGATACGATTTATGCTCTAAAAGTATGCTAATACATATTTAGTCCAAATGCTATTTCAAGTAATTAATTATTTTTATTTTGAATGAAGGACGGAAAGGTTTTTGAATCTGGATCACATGAAGAACTTATTGCTAAACAAGGCTTATACTATGGCTTGGTGGAGGCCCAAAAGAAAAGAGATGCTAAGGCTCAAATTGGAGAGGAAGGGTAGCATATCTATTTAAAAATAAATAAATATCATTATTTATTTTCAATTGATTAATTTTTTTTAGGCCAGCAATAATAGAGAACCAAGTGACCCTTCATGAGAAAGAAAGGTTTTTTTCATTAATTATCTTTATGAACCAAAAAGCAGACAAAAACTGTAAAGTGATTTATATATTAATTTTCAGGAGATCGTCAGGAGTTCTATCAAGGGCATCATTAAGACGAAGTAGGAGAAAATCATCAGCACTCGGAAATGTGTACGTTGGTGCTCCTAAGAATGATGAGACTAAAGAGGTGGTTGTACATTTTTACGAGTTTTTTCGTATTACTAATTTTCTGACGATCTAGGAATTGGCAAAGAGAGTAAGCTTTTTGAAAATCTTGAAAATGAACATCAATCAGTGGCCACACATGTTGTTAACAATGATTGGATGCGTTATTGTTGGAACGAGTATGCCATTATTTGCATCTCTCTATGCCGACGTTTTTCATGTATGTTATTAATTTAATTAAAAGTTTACATCTTGAATATTTTTAAATACTTTCTATGAGATTATGTTTAGAGAAGAATTTAAAAATTGTATACTAGTTTTACAAACTTATTTTCAGACTTTTACTCTTAAAGGAGAAGAATTTTCATCAGCTGTAAGATTTTGGACAATAATTTATATTTGTTTTGCCGTTTCAACTGGGTTTGGAAACTATTTAGTTGTAAGTAAAATTAACATATACTAAAATAGGAAAATAAATACAAAAAAATTTACAGGCGATTTGCTCAAGTATTTTAACGGAAAAAATGATAGCAGTTATGCGCTTGAAAGCATTTATTTCTATTGTTAGGCAAGCAATATGCTGGTTTGATATCGAAGCACATTCAGCAGGGAGATTGGTAACATGCCTAGCAAGAGACCCACCTCTAATAAAATCTGTAAAATTTATTTTATTTATACTATTTAGTATAATGAATAATTTTAATTCATTTTCTAGGCGGCTGGTTTTCGAGCAGGCCAAGTTTTTATTGCAGCAACATCCCTCGTCGCAGCTTTAATAATAGCATTTTCTACAGGCTGGAAGCTTGCAACTGTTCTTTTATTTGTAGCGCCTATAATTGCAGGTGCTGCCTACAAACAAGCAAGTCTCTTGAGGAGACATCAAAAGAGAGATGCAAAATTTATGGATGATGCAGGACAGGTATTGAATATATCTTTCTTTTATTATACTTCTTTTGATCAGTATGATTTCAGGTAGCGAGTGAAGCAGTACTCAATCTGAGGACAGTACAAGCTTTAGGAAGAGAAAAACTTTTTCTCAAAAGATACAAAGATTACTTACTACTTCCTTTTGTGTAATTTTTATATATCATTGTAAAATATTAGAGTAGTACATTAATAGATGATTTTTTTTGTGAATAGTGAATCCAAGAAACAAGCATATGTATATGCAATAGTCTTTGCTATTTCTCAATCTCTTGTCTATATGATGTATGCGGCAGCTTTTAGATTTGGTGCTGTTTTAATTGAAAAAGATGAAATGACGCCTACATCAGTTTATAGGTTCTTTTCATACTTTAAAATTTAAAAAGTAATAGGATTTTTATTAATATTTTCATTATTTACAGGGTGTTCTTTTCTTTATCATTTTGTGCAACTGCTGTTGGCCAAGCTTCCACATATTTTCAAGATTTTGCGAAAGCAAAATTGTCTATTGGATTTGTCTACAGACTGATGAGCATGAATTCCCTAGTAGATGCTCTAGCTCCGGGTGGAATTAAACCAGTTAGAATTTTTATATATTTATTTTGTTGCAATGTCGACATGTACTAAATCCAGTTTTTCAGATAATCCATGGGAAAGTAACATTCAAAGATATTTATTTTTCATACCCAACGAGAAAAAATATTCCTATACTGAGAGGGCTGAATTTGACAATAGAGCCTGGCCAAACTGTAGCACTTGTTGGAAGTTCTGGTTGTGGAAAATCAACTGTGATAGGCTTACTTGAACGCTTTTACTTGCCCATCACTGGCAAAGTGGTTAGTAAGTCAATTATTAGTTTTGACTAAAATTAAAACAAAACAAATTAGCTTTTAGATGATGTCGACACTTCAGTGATCAACCTAAAATGGCTGAGAAGTCATATAGGCCTTGTTACACAAGAACCTGTTCTTTTTGACTGCTCGATAAAAGAAAATATTGCATATGGAGCTAGAGAGCCGTCTAAAGTAAAAGATAATCAAATATTTGAGGCTGCAAAAACTGCAAATATTCACGACTTCATTGTAAATCTTCCTCAGGTAATAACAAATATTAATGACAAAACAATTCAAACAGTGAAGATATTTTAACACTCAAAGGGATATGCGACCATGGTTGGTGACAGAGGCGCTAAACTTTCAGGAGGGCAAAAACAAAGAATTGCAATCGCTAGAGCACTTATACGTGATCCTAAAATTTTACTTTTGGACGAAGCTACATCAGCTTTAGACACAGAAAGTGAAAAGGTAAATTATTTAATCAACTATTATTTAGAAATCCTTCCATTATATATACAACTGATAGGAGCCTCAAATCAAATATTACACCATATTCTTCCCTCATTATGCAAATTATTTTCATCCATGTCTAGATCGTTCAAGAAGCACTAGATAGGGCGAGAAAGGGCAGAACAAGTATTGTCATCGCCCATAGACTATCAACAATCCAGAATGCGGATGTCATTGTGGTCATTCATCAAGGACGAGTTGCTGAGAAAGGCACCCATGAAGAATTAAAAAATATGCGTGGTTTATACTATGAATTGATAAAACATCAATAACCCACCAGCATAATAAATTATTATTTATTTTTTGTTGTAAGTGTTAATACAATTATTAGTGTTTCATCACTATCGTTCAATACGAAATTAAGGTTTACATTTTTGGACGAAAACAAGCATGAACTATTTGTGTCTGTCTTAAGTGTAATATATTATAATGGTCTTATCAATAAAATTAAGGATATTGTAAAAAAATAAAAAATAAATAAAGTTAATATTTATTACATAACAATAAATAAAAATGTAATATTGATTTAGACTACAGTAAAAAATAATAAATTATATTAGCTGTTCTCAACAATTTCTAAATTTGGAAAAGACATCACATGCTCAAGAAATCTTGCAAGTGAGAGCAAATTTTCTTCTTGGTAATTAGGAGCCATAAGCTGTAAGCTCAAAGGCATCTCATTTTTGCTTAGCCTAATTGGAATTGAAATGGCAGGGCAGCCTGTAATTGAGAAAGGTCATCAATTAGAAGAAGAGAGAAAAAAAAATGTAGGGATTTTTGTTTGTAAGCAGACCTGACATATTGGCTGGCTGAGTACAGTAGTCATGAATGGTGCACTGTTCACGGTTGTCAAGACTGAGAAAATCTTGAAAATCTGGCGCTTCGGTTAACGTCGTAGGCGTCAAAAGGATGTCAACTTCGTTCCAAGCTTTGGTAAAATCTTCACAAATGAGCCTTCTGACCTTTAATGCCTTTTCAAAATATTTCTCATAATTACTGAAAAAACGTTTAAACGGTATAATCACATCATTGTGTTTAATTCAATGTTTCTGAATCCATACTTTTGAAGAAGAAAATAATTTCCTGAAAGTATCCTTCCCCTGACTGCTTGATTTAATCCTATACTCCTCGTTTCTGCATAAAGTTGGTTTGTAGAGAAATCATTATCAGCTCTAAAACCATATCGCAAACCATCATATCGTGCCATATTACTTGCAACTTCACATTGGTTAAGTACTGAATAACAAGCTATTGAATATGCTGTATGCGGGAGTGAAACCTGAAAACATTTTTTTAAATACACATTGATCAAACTAAAACGAACTTAATTTAGTCTTTTTTTTACTTGCTTCACAGTAAATCCGATTTTTTCTAATAAGTCAGATACAAACTTCCAAGTATCTAACATACATTTGCTGATACCTTTACAATGATATTCTTTTGGTATCCCTATTTTAAGATTTTTTACGTTTACTTTGTCTAGATTGATTTTTTCAACTGGGACAGTTGTTGAATCTAATGGATCATACCCACTAACAACATCTAAAATATAATTTAAAACAATATTGTTTTCAGTTCATACAATAGTATTAAATTCAAAATTACTATAGACAAGAGCAGCATCTTCAACAGTTCTAGTCAAGATGCCGGGAACATCCATTGAGTTGACTAGTGGAATTAAGCCATGCCTCGATACAGAGGAGTAAGTCGGCTTAAAACCCACGATTCCACAAAACGCCGCAGGGTTTCGAGTCGAACCGCCAGTATCTGAACCCAAAGCGCTAAAATTTTACCTGACAGTCATAACATTGCTAAAAAATAAGACTTACGCAAAGCATGAACCAGTTGCAACAGCAACAGCACTGCCACCGGAGCTGCCCCCCGCTATTTTCCAAACGCGTCTTCCTTTTCTGGGTTTTCCACCGATTCTGTAGTTCAAATCCGAACCCCAGACGTTTTTAGTGGGTCCGTGAATTGAATCAACCGTCCCTGAGCTAAAAAAATGTCATTTTTGAGAAATTATATTCAAAAGCATTGAACAAATATCTTACCCCATGGCAAACTCATCCAAGTTAGACTTTCCTAAAACAACTGCCCCAGCTTTAATTAGTCTGTCGACCACTGTGGCATTATAAGGTGGAACAAAGTCGTTTAACATCATTGATGCACAGGTTGTTTTTATTCCTTTAGTGCAAAAGTTATCTTTAACTACTATTGGAATACCATCGACATCGCTACCCTGTTCTGTGTATTAAAAATAAAATGAGATATATTATGTTATATTAAATAAAGTTTCAAACTTAAGTTTAAATTGGGCTTTGTACTTAGAAAAAGAAACAAAATAAAAATACCATCGCCTATATGAGGATTTTCTATGGTGTAGACAATCGCGTTGAGCACCTTAACGTGCTTGGCCCTGTCATGACATAGCTTCATTAACTCTGATTTCGTTGTCGATCCACTTTTAAGACATTGTCTAATCTCTGAGATACTTTTGGACAGCATTTTGCATCTAACCTTCTACAGGGCGACGTTTCGCCGGTTGTGTTGCTGGTTTTAAATTGTAGATGATAAGCCACCACAAGAAGGTACCTTGAGATCTTAGGTTCACTACTCACTACTGGCTACTGAGTACTGGCACGTGTTTGACGTCCGTAACTTGACTGTTGTTTGATATGTTCACCCTGGCATTTGTAAAACAATAACACTAAAATATTGCAGCCTTATCCAAACTGTTGCCTTCAATCATAATTTATTATTCAATGAAGATAATAAAAAGAACTATATGAAAATAAATTGCTACTAGATGATTTCATAAATTTGACTGAAAGTTATGAATGTTTTCAGTTATAAAAACTGTCATAACTCACAATTTGAAAACTTTAAAATAAATTAAGTTTAGTAATTGTTATTTATAAATTAAGTTATTCCAACAATGTGATCTCTAAGCGACTTTTGCAGAGGTCATTGCCTTCCTGTAATGAAGTATACCTTGTTTTTTTAGGGATGGGGTACGAGTCTACCCAGGCATTTAACCCCTCGGGTCTTGGTCGCCCACCCTGCATAATATATATATTGCACTAGAGGTTGGTTGAAAATATGAATTGAAGTTAGCCTCGGCCAACAGTCTCTCAACACATCTATGACACTTGCTGAGATTTTTTAGCTGCTTTTGCAAAGTACAAATACTTTTTTACAATGTACATTGACTCTGTTACAGAATGAACCTCTAGTCCACTTTTATTTTACATGCCATGAACATGTTAAACTTTACTATTATAAACTAACCTAATTGAGGGTCAATGCGGAGTAATATCTGCCATCGGCTCTCACACAGTCAAGCCAATAAATACATTCACTCCCAACTGACACATGGGACGTAGTGTTATATAAAATAAAATAACTCCATTCCCTCCAAGAATCAGAACAGGGAACCCAAATATTACTGCGTGCTCAATCAAAATTTTCATGCTTTTTATATGAAGCCAAGGAATGGCGAGTCATATCTTTCGAGGACTACTTATTGACAGTGCTGTTGATACATGAGAGCTTCCCTACTAACCAGGCTCACCAACGCTTCCAATTTCTTCGAACATAACATGTTTTTAATGCATTTTTATCATCAGAGGGCGGATCGCGGAGGTTGTCTGGACGTTGTGACATCCCAGCCCTAGCCACCTCGTCGGCCTATTCGTATCCCTCCAGAGTTGTGTCTGGAACCCAGACAACCACTGTTTTGCCGAGAACTTCATTTCATGATATTTCTCTAAGAAAAGTACGAGAGGGTCGACAGAGAACCTGTGACGGACCATGGTAGCTGAGGGAGTCAATACCGACTAAGTAATAGCTTACAGTTCTGCCGTGTAAATGCCAGAATGTGGTGCGAGTGACCACTCCACCATTAAGAACTACAGGTAAAAAGTGTTTCTTTTATTCAACGAAATAATTATATTATTATATTTATTAACAACTGAACACTAAAACATAAAAAATATGGAATGTATGTTATAAATTGAAATTCAAAAATAAAAATAAAATAATAGACTTAAAACTATACACACTAAAATCACAAAAAATTAAAAAAAAGCTACATTAATATTTTAATAACTTAATAATATCTTAACTGACTAACATTCTTAGAAATAATAGTAATTATTTTCTAATAATGTCTTATTATATCACTTCTCTGTTACTCATAACAACCTTTTAGCATGAGCTTGTAATTTACTATTTGCTACGATGATGATAATAATAATAATGTATGTAACTCCATTATACATTTAGGCAAATAGATACAATAAATTACATTATCTTGAGTTCAAAATTTTGAAATTGAGGAAACACTAGAGGTAAAACTCGTATTACTTAAAATGCCGTTTATGTAACTGAAGATAGGTCCACTGATATTTTTTTGTTTTATATATATATATAAAATATCTACAATAAAAATTTATAGTTAACATATTATATCTTTAACTAAACTAGATGATATCACAGCATTAGAGCTGAGCTCGGAAGGACAATAGTCAGACTTTTTGGATATGAGCATTTCAAAGGATAGAGTAAGTTAGTAAGTATAAAAGAAGAGAAATCTTTTTTTTTCTGTTTAAGATCAATAGTGTTGAAAAGGAGAAGGCACTCCATCCCTCTGAAAACTACGCTTGATGCTCACATGTGGAAATTGGTTGCGCCACATCTGTATGTTGCTGTCTTGAATGAGATCACAAAAGCTTAGATCAAAAAGTCTCAGCTCCTTGCACGTGTTTAAAAATCTATTAAAAAATATTTAATTAGATCTTTTGTATATTGGATAATTAGATTTTTAAAGTTACCTGTAACAAATCTGAGGTGTGATGTTTCTAATGCCGAGGAGGTCGACCTGCTGAAGGTGTGGACAATTGTTGATAAATGGTATGAGATCTCTGTCAGTAATGCCACGTAAAGAAGCAACAAAAAGTTTACGCAGCTTGGGGCAGCCTGCAGCTAAAGCTGTTAGGCATTCTCCGGGGATTGACACTCCCAGGCTACAAAGAAACAACATTAAAGCAAGTAAAAAGAAGCTGGTGCTTTTTTCAACTTACCACCATCCAAGATCTATCTCTTCCAATTGTGAACAATTAGCGAGCGACTTCACACCGCTCGGCGTCAAGCTGTACGTCTTCCAAAAATCTACAGAAATCAACTGACGGTTGTAAGTCCCGAGGGAGTGTGCCACCTCATCCATTGCTGACACCCTTACACACGAGCCTAACAAATAATTAAACATTTGACAAAATATTCTTTTAACCATTAATAATACTCCATACCAAGGTTTATATGCTGGAGTTTTGGTGATTGCTTTAATATTTTGACTAGGGGTCCACCTTCAATTGCAGTTCTATAAAGATCAAGACGTTGAAATGTTGTGATGTTAGTGAGACTGTGGAAACCATCAACTGAGATTTTGAAGCAGTTTCGAAGAGATAGCTCTAAAAATTTTAATACATAAAACATTATACATTTTAATAGAAAAATAGAAACTAAACATAATGACCAAGCATATTTTCAATTGTAAAAGGCTTGATGTTTATAGGCAATATTTTGATATATTATTGCACCTGTGCATAATCTTGGAGCACCACGGCAAGACTAGATTGCCATTCTGGTACCTCAGAGCTGTACGGATTTTAAATGTATATACTGTCTGGGTTGTGAGAGGCTAGCATTTTACGATATCGACTTAGTTTTATATAAAAACAGTCAGTATCAGATTGAGACGCTCAAAAAGAGGTTGAAAGACCAGAAAAAGACGTAATGATGTGTACTGTGTAATAATGGCGATGACCTCAGCTATTTTTTCGGTCACTAAACTTCTCACATTATTATTATTATTATTTGAATTCACTAATTTCGTGGTCCGCTTGACCAATTAATATATTACAATTAATCAAGGTTTTTAGTTGAGATAAAAAAGTCAATGGCACGAGCGGGATTCAAACCCACGATCTTCGGCTTGATACGCCGCTGCTCTACCACTTGAGCTATTGTGACCTCGAACCACTCGGACATCAACTTCCCATCTCAACCGCACCTTTTGAATTTTCCCTCCTTTTTGCCATTTTTCAAATGTCGTGTAATCGGATTGGATTCTTGACGAGAAATGAAATGGCCACAGAGAGCTTTAGTGAAGTATACTTCATTTGAAATCATTAAATTCACTAATTGAAAAATGGCAAAAAGGAGGGAAAATTCAAAAGGTGCGGTTGAGATGGGAAGTTGATGTCCGAGTGGTTCGAGGTCACGATAGCTCAAGTGGTAGAGCAGCGGCGTATCAAGCGGAAGATCGTGGGTTTGAATCCTGCTCGTGCCATTACTTTTTTATATCAACTAAAAACCTTGATTAATTGTAATATACGGACCACAAAATTAGTGAATTTAATGATTTGAAATGAAGTATACTTCACTAAAGCTCTCCGTGGCCATTTCATTTCTCGTCGAGAATCCAATCCGATTACACGACATTTGAAAAATGGCAAAAAGGAGGGAAAATTCAAAAGGTGCGGTTGAGATGGGAAGTTGATGTCCGAGTGGTTCGAGGTCACAATAGCTCAAGTGGTAGAGCAGCGGCGTATCAAGCCGAAGATCGTGGGTTCGAATCCCGCTCGTGCCATTGACTTTTTTATCTCAACTAAAAACCTTTATTAAGTGTAATTATTTGAATTATTTTTACAAAAGTGTGGCTGAGATGAAAAATTAGTGTCACGAGGGGGATTCAAACCCATGAAATCCGGATAAATACACCAGTGCTCTATCAAGTGTCTTCGGCCCTTGAAACACCAACTTTTCATCTCAACCTACCAACTTTTTACATTTTCCCTCTTTCTGCCAATAGTCAAATAGTCACAAGTCAAATATTGTGAAATCATATAGATTCTTGGCAGCATAAATAGGGAGCTGTTAGTGAAGTATGTGTCTTTTAATAATTATATTAATATAGTGTTTTAGATGGACCTCTTAACCAGAGTAATTATTTTTAATTGATTTATTATTTTTATGTAAAGTGTGGAAATCTGAATGTTATGGGTTTGTGTCCCCCTCGTGACACTATTTTCCATCTCAGCCACACTTTGCATAACGATAATAAATCAATTAAAAATAATTACACTGGTTAAGAGGACCAACTAAAACATATATATTAATTATTATTATTACAACTATCAGTATAAAAAAAATCAAAACTGCAGAATTTAATTAGTAAATGGAATACCTTTAAGATTTCGGCATGAATAAGCCACTTGTTTGATACAATCATCATCTATATATTTGCAACAATCCAATCTCAAATGAGTGATTTGCTTGCCACAAGTATTAATAAATCTGAAAAATTAGAAATATAATGTAGTCTAGTTCTAAGGGGTTAATAATAATACAAAATTATGGAACACCTACGATGAAAATTGAGCTGGTGTTATCTGGTCATAATTACCACACCAAGAAAGATCTAGCTTTTGTAAATACAAGCATCTCGAAGAAAGTGTATTTAATGCATTTGAATTAACACAAAACCAATAGGGCTGTAATAAACTTAATTTAATTTCTGTTCATGGATATAAAATGTACTATACTACCTTTAAATTTAAACCAGTGTAAAGCATTGCATCATTGGCTAAACGTGAAAAATGCTTATTAACTCTAACACAACGACGAAGTGAGATAAGATCAAGGTAACCGAAGATCCTGAGTATTGTTTCATCCTGAAATTATATATTCAATTTAATTTTTTAAAACTAATATCAACCGATGCGAAAAACCTACAGGAAGGTCACTGAATGGTCCACTGCTAGAACCAGTGGTTGTATCAATTTCTTGATCTATATCTTCCAGAAGTGAATCCACAAGTGATGAAAGGTCTTTGTGAATTGTCAAAATATCGACCTTAAACATTTTATTCAAGTTATTAAACAGGCGACAAAAACACAAAAATCAATGTGCTCACATCATTAGTAATCGCGTTTATTTTAAATCCTTTTATCTGTGAAGTAATCTTTCCAAAATCAACTTCTTTATTTGGTACACGGGAGCCAACGAGTAAAACGGCATCAAGCTCAGTGTAATAATCAAGCTGTGAGTGATTAAATTCAATACGCAGTAAGCTGAAATTATGAAAACACTTTTAAGGATATGAATCACTAAATGCAATGCCATTGTAAGCAAATCTTGTAGGTGTTACTGGCTGAAAGAATGATTCATGCTATGAAATAATCTCATAGCATTTACCTCATGCTATTAGCTTAAAAGCATTGAAACTGGACAACATATTATCATGACATACAGAGAAATCATATTCAGATTTTTTTTAATATTCAAATATACTTGTATAGTATTTAGTGATCATTAATTATTATTTAGAGATTGGGAGATGTATTTATATAATTTAAACAATGTTTATAAATCCCATGCCCTGAAGATGATCTCAATAAAGTTCAAAACATTGGCATGATAAAGAAAATGTTTTCTAAACCTACATCACACCAGACCGCATCTTACAGTCAATAAATAATCATAAAAATATACCTTGTCATAAAATCAATTGGTCTTATTTCAGGGGAAAATATTCTGGGCCTGTGCCCAACTATTTGAGGCTCCCCTTCCCAAAGAAGTTTCCAAAGACCTTCACCATCCCCAGCCCAGATGCGGACGACAGATCCAGGGTTGAAAGTCTCAAAAATGCTGACTTTTTCTGGGTATACTTCTTGCTCAAATGTTATATCTGTAATTTATTGGAAATTTAAAATTATACTTCAATATTCTTTGTGGAAAAAATAACAATACCTATGTAGTCTTCACTGACAATCTGGCTGTTTTGAGTCATTATTGGAATGGGCTTGGATGGAGCATCGTTCCACCACTTGCCATATGTTCGCTGAAAATGTTAACTTTCATTGAAATTGTGCAATAAACTGAGATTAGTTTAAAGTATGTGTTGCTAATAAATGAAGTCCATCCTTTTATATATAATAAAAGGCACAAAAAGAGAACATTTACTACAGCTAGAATGTAGAAAATACATCAAATACATTTAAGAAAACTTCTGGAAAATAATCTGTGCCATAATATCCATGATGCCAATTTATAGACTGACAGTATAAATCCAGTAGGAAATAAGCCTAGTCAAACAATCACAGTTGCCTTAACTAAAAGAAAAAAGATATACATAAAGCAGTCAATTTAAATATTGCAATTATGAAAATAAAAAACAAAGTCTTAGGGGGATTAAAATATAAATATTAGGATCAAACCACCTTGATGAGAGAAAACTAATATTCATGGTTAAGAAGGACATACCTAAGTAACAAAATGGAAATTTGGGAAATTTTGTCTGTTAAAGAAAGTACCATTGTTGAGGGTGAACTGAATTGCCAAAGTATTCAGTTGCATTCTTGGAACTCGTAGACATGTTCACCAAATTCTTTCTAGACAAATTTGAAAGATGCAAGTACTTGAGGACACAAAATAAAAGGTCATAGGCTCAGGTCAGAGAACCTAGCAATAATAGCACTGAATTGGAATATCAATCTCAAGATGGAAAACTAAATATGTTCACACTTCCTGCACAAGAATTGAGTGGAATGGACAAGTGGATATCCTTGAAAAGAATGAAGCTACCTCAACTAAGCTAAGTAGAAAAGACCCCCAATTCTTCTGTACGCACTATCAGACATTTTTAGAGTAGAAGATGAGAGGATGAGGAAAAAAATACTAAGCAATGGGCACAATCCAAAAATCTTGCAAGATATGCTGGAATAAATTTCAGAATAATTAAGAGAAAGGGGGCAAAATCCAGAATTTGAGCAGGTTTTTTTTTTAAATCTCCAGACTCAATGGACACAAGAAGTGTAAATTCAGCAAAGAAACAGAAGAAACTAATAACACTGTTGCCAACCAACTGTGGAGAAAATATTTTAGGAATTACACCACAACTGCAACTGGAAGGAATAATACAATTCATAGATGAATAGAAGTCATAAAAGTCATAATTCTACACCCTCAGAACAAAACTGGCTAAGTGAGAGAGCCAACTTTTCAGCATTGCGATTTTAAAGCTTAAACCTTTGGCACAAATAGAATTGCCAAAATCTTTTGAATTGTATCTAAAATGGCACATTGCATTTTAAAGGAAGTGATTTTGACTTAATCAATAATATACTGTCTGTCAGGTCTTAAAACTGACTGGAATATGCACTTATTTCATTTGGCCAAAATTTGACTTATCCAGTTTTGCCCCAAGAGCTCAGAATTATGACTGGTGTATACAAAACATTTAACTAACAATTTATTACCTACTTTTACTCTTAATAATGCACATTATGGAGGACTTAAATATCTCAGACATCAAGTAAATAAGTGATCAGATTTAATTTTGTGAAACAGAATCCCATTCTTCAACAAGAGTGGTTTGAAACTGTTCAACACTTGTTGGAGGTGGTAAACGATGTCTAATCCATCTCTTTATCACATCCCATAAGTGCTCTATGGGATTCATGTCAAGTGAATGTGCTAACTAATTTTTTGTAGTTATCCCTACATCTTCCAATTAATAGGTGACATTCTAGGTATACGCAGTCGAGCATTATCATGCATTAATACAAAGTTGTCCCCCAAAATTGGAGCAAATAGGACCAGTTTCCAAATGAATTCCTCAATGTAACTTAGTGCGGTGAACGATCCATTCTGTACAATAATCAATTTGGTACGGGCATTGATTGAAGTTATTTCTGTTCGTTTAACCTGATCCATCATCCTGCTTGTAACACTAACTTTTTCATCTCAACCAAAACCTTACATTAAAAAGAATTGTATGGTGATTAGTGACCGTTAATAGATAATTATTCAGAAATCGAGATGCGGTCTAGACTATAGACTGCATCTCACGATTTCTGAATAATTATTAAAAATAATAATTAATTGAAATAAGTAATTTGGTCAATTAGACCGCTGAACATAAAAGAATTATAAAAATTTTGTTTTTGGTACAACCAAAACAATTAACAAATTGTAATTCACAAATATAAATTCAATTAGTTTAGCTGTAAAATTCTAATATTCTAAGTTCCAATGTAACATACAATTCTCAAGAAATTTTTCAAAATTGAAATACTTTAGTTAAATAAAGAATAGTCTGGTGACTTTTTGTTACTGCAGAGACAATTGTCTGTGTTAATATTAGTTTATTAATTATTTATTTACCGATAGTTAATAATATTAATAAATCACCCACCATGACAAATGCCTGAGGAAAGTCACCGTAGTCGGGGAACTTGCTCGGCTTGCCAGATATGTTGTATGCCGTGTAGGATATACTGATGTCGCTTCCGTACTGGGAGCTGAAATCTTTGACATCTTGCACGTACTGTTCGACAGTGACGTCCGGGTCGTCGCACTCCCTCTCTGAGACTGGGTAGACCCACGGGAAAGACTTGACATCCACCATTTCTGCTTGTTGTCATCCGATATCAGGCTAGGGGGGCGTCGGCTCTTCACCAAGGACGAAAAGAGTTGGGTACAATGCCCGTTCCTTCCCAGTCCGAAGTACCGTCCGTCCTGACTCCTTCTGCTGTACTGGCCTAGTTGAGATGGTGCCCGACAGGCCAACGACTTCTACTGGTGGCCACCTTGAAACATCTCTCTTGAAAATATAAAATTAAAGAAAAACGAAATACCATTTCAGTTATCCAGCTGAATGTATTACATAAGCTAAAATAAAATGTTTACAATCAACACAGTTGTGATTTCAAAAGAATATATTTTAACAAAAAACCTTAAGTTCAAACTCTTGCTTTTAAAGTAGGGTCCTTCTAGAATTATATTTATGCTCCACAATGTAATAATAAAAGGAACCATTTGTGATCTAGTTAAAAAAAAAGAGAAAAATAATTTTAAAAACATTTTTTAAACTTGATCTTTTTTTCTCGTGTAAATTTTTTTCACCTAAGGCTGTTGTGTATACACAATCAATTCCTGATGTGCAAAGTGATGTGCAGACTGTTTTAAACTGTTCGAAACCTTCCATTGATATATTTTGTTATTGTTTTTCTTATCAAATGAAAAATCAAATTTTCATAAAGACGGCTTTTTCTTTTGTACGACCGTGTTTGATGGCGAAGGAGGAAAATAGAAAATAAAGATGTCGTTGTTAGCTGTGATCCCTTCTTCGCTGACGTCCGGTCTGTCCCCGTGGTATTTCTTCAAAGGGTCGCTGGTAAGGCCGTTGTATGCTGCCAACTTTTGCCTGTTAAACAGTAGAAAGCGGAATGAAGAAGTTGCCTGGCAGAGGTTCATGTCGAGCTCTAGAGCCAGGAGGAAGGCGTTGCACAATACGCTGAAGGACCGGAGCGAGCAGTTTTGGAAGACGGAGCAGAAACTTAGGACAAGGAGCCGCATCCTGCTTAACAACCTAGAGCAAAAGTACAAGATAAAAGAAAAGATGGAGAGGATAATAGAAAGGGAAAATATCTGGACTTTTCCGAACATTCTCTGTTTGATGCGCATATGTGCCTCTCCGTATCTGGGCTACCTGATAGTCAAGGAGGATTTTAACATAGCGTTTTACCTCATGATGTTTGCCGGTTTCACTGACTTGCTCGATGGTCTTATAGCAAGAAATTACCGGAGTCAGGCGTCGAAACTGGGCAGTTTCTTGGACCCCCTCGCTGACAAGATTCTCATCTCGACTATGTTCATCACCATGACTTATGTCGATTTGGTCCCGGTCGCGTTGACAAGTCTCATAATTGCTCGAGATGTATGGCTTGCTGCGATCGGGTTTTACATCCGGTACTTGTCGCTTCCTCCTCCCAAGACTTTTGCGAGATATTTTGACCTGTCTCATGCGACTGCAAAAATCAAACCTCTCTTTATTAGCAAAGTCAACACTCTGTTTCAACTCGCAACTGCTGGCATTTCTCTCACGTCCCCTGTTTTTGGCTTTAGCGACCACCCCTATTTACTTTATCTCTGGAGTGTGACTGCCTCTACTACAATTATTTCAGCTATATGTTACGTATATTTTTCAAAAGATACTTATAAAATTTTGAGAAAAGCGGGTAGTTCTTGATTTTTGTTCTTGTTATCGGTGAAACATATATAAGAATGTATATAATAATAAAGTTTTATGGACTTTAAACGGTTTTTATATTTTAAATCTAAGAGGGTCTATGCAATAGTTTATTTTGTATGTAATATAACAAATTTAAAATATATGATCAGTTAAAAGTAATTTTATTATTGCTAACTTAATCCATATTTGCTTCATGGTCATAATTAACCATGTTAATTATTCTTTTTATCTAAGGTTTTTGGTTGAGATGAAAAATTATTGTCACAAGCGGGATTTGAACCCACGATCTTCAGCAAAATACGCTGCTGCTCTAACCACTTGAGCTTCATAGCTCACGATAGTTCAAGTGTTTACAGCAACGGCGTATTGAGCCGAATGTCGCGGGTTCGAATCCCACTTGTGACAGTGACACTAATTTTTCATCTCAACCAAAAACCTTAGATAAAACGAATAATTAATTGTTATTGATTGTTTTTCTCCAAATTAACCATTTTGTAATTAGGAACTGCTGTACCCCATGCAGTATGCATAATCATACATGTCTTTTTCTTATCCAAGCGTATCCATCATACAAGATTTTACACCTTCCAAATACACTTTTTTTTTGTCGTAATCAGATTTTCTTATTTCACATACTTTATTTGAATTGTATCATCGTCCTTTAAATTTTGACCCATTCAATGTACTTCATTTCAATCAATCATTTCAATGTACTCATAACTAACTCATAATGTTGGCTAAAATGAAAAATGCAAGACTGTAAAAGAAAGATTTACTAATAGTAATTATTTTTTAAAGTTTTGAAATAAACTTGGTAAAATATATATTAAGCTGGCGCTGAGTCCATGTACACTCTTCTTCTTGATGTCACTCAAACATATTTCACCTTTGTGCCATCCAGTAAGGAATGAACAAGAAGTTCAGTATTTGTTCACGACTCATAGACCAACACCTACCATCAACTTTGATAAAATATATCAAAAAATTAAAAAACAAAAAATTATTTCAATAAGCGCTTTATTAAAGTAATTCAATATGAAGAAATTATATTAAAAAAACATAATTAATTGTTTAAACAATGAATATCACATTTTATTTATCGACTATATACAACATATTACATAACAAATAAAAATAAAACAATTTCAACAATAAGTTAGAGAGAGGAGGGAAAGCTTTAAACTGATTAAAAAAATCTGCAGAAAAATACATAATGTCGCAAATAAAGTTTATAAACAAAAATCACAATTTCCCTAAGATCAGTCTTTTATCTTTGACATCACTTTTTGCCTTTGACAAGTTCTTCTCTTGCAACCTGCGTCATCCGAAAGACAAGCACAGATAATACTTTGTCCAACGGGTCCATAAAACCCCGCTGCATCCATTTTGGTATCGTTGTACGAGCGTGTGAGAATCCTAATTTCTGAAGTATGTAATCCACACCGTACGGCTCTATCCTTTTACCTCCCCATGACAAAATCCTGGAAAAGAAAAATTTACATTGCAATACTGAGTTTGAGGTCTTGTAAGAAACTAATTTTACCTGACGGTAGGCTCAAGATGCCATGTCTTACAAACAAATGACCTCCAGTCCATGTTGAAAACATCTGTTGGTTCAAAGGCAGTTTTCTTCTTTTCTTCTTCTCCAGTATCTGAACTTCCGCTAGCACCATCGCTTTTCTTCGATTCTTTCTTCAAGATTTCAGGCGTTGGACTCTGCGCTCTAGTATTTTGGTTACCCAACTTAAAATATAAAAATAAAAATTAAAAACAAATAAAAAGATCTATTATGTATTTTACATACTAAATTGAATAACATTTTCTATATGGAGGAGTTACACCCACAGTTTTTATATAGAAAAAGCTATAGTGGAATGAAGTATCACTTTAAAATATTGAACTATATTTAAATCATTACAATTAATTAAGGTTTTTAGTTGAGATGAAAAAAAGTTAATGGCACGAGCGGGATTCGAACCCACGATCTTCGGCTAGATACTCCGCTGCTCTACCACATGAGCTATCGTGACCTCGATCCACTCGGACACCAACTTCCCATCTCAACCCCACCTTTTGAATTTTTTTTAAAAAAATTTTTTCCCTCCTTTTTGCCATTTTTCAAATGTCATGTAATCGGATTGGATTCTCGACGACAAATGAAATGGCCACGGAGAGGAGCTTTAGTGAAGTATACTTCATTTTAAATCATTAAATTCACTAATTTCGTGGTCTGCTAGACCAATTAATAAATTACAATTAATTAAGGTTTTTAGTTGAGATGAAAAAAAGTTAATGGCACGAGTGGAATCCGATTACACGACATTTGAAAAATGGCAAAAAGGAGGGAAAATTCAAAAGGTGGGGTTGAGATGGGAAGTTGGTGTCCGAGTGGATCGAGGTCACGATAGCTCATGTGGTAGAGCAGCGGAGTATCTAGCCGAAGATCGTGGGTTCGAATCCCGCTCGTGCCATTAACTTTGTTTCATCTCAACTAAAAACCTTAATTAATTGTAATGTATTAATTGGTCAAGCGGACCACAAAATTAGTGAATTTATATTTAAATCATTGAGATTAACCAAATTTTTTAACATTTGAATTTTCCTTAAAACAATATTTAGAAGTCATATTTAAAAACAAATTTGCCAGACAAAAAATGTTCAAAATCATTTCTTCAAATTTTTAAAAATTGCATTGAAATCTCCAATGACAATCTTTAACAAACACAATTACTTTTTCAATGTGTACTAACTTTTATTATGACAACAATAATTGTGATAAAATAATTATTATTTTATCACTCGGCCAACCAAAAGATATTACGATTGATCATACTAATCCATTTATGTTTAGTGGCCTAATTGACCATGTAAATTATTTCAATTAATTATTTTTTTATGTAAGGTCTTGTTTGAGATGAAAAAGTTAGTGTCACGAGAGGGATTCAAACCAGCCGAAGGTTGTCATCTCAACCAAGACCACACATAAAAAGAAAAATTAATTGAAATTGATCATATTCATGTTCATTTATAAAGATTCAGTTGTGTATTAATTTTTTTTTTTGTAGAATTTCTATATAGTAAATAATAGTGTAAAATAATAGTACCACTCGATCCTTTTCCTTCAAATAAGAAGTAATTAAATCATGGAGGAAGAAAAATGCTTCTGCATCCACTGTCACAAAAATGTGGTCTTCGAATTCTGTCACAAAACTGCACTGTACCACAGGTTTTTCTTCAGCTTCAAGAAAAAAAAAAGTTATGTTAGTTGTCATCTAGGTAAATTTGTATGTTAACCCCTATGTTTGCTGTTTTATACCTGCAACGTTTGGAGTAGTTGGTGCTTGTAGATGTTCTGTTTTAAGATGTGTTTGTAGGGAAGGAAGTGCAAAAATAACTTCTCTTGTATGTTTAGGATCTGGTGATTTTGGCGCAACCCGAACTCTTACACCTGTATTTTCAGTTTCTCTTTCCACGCATGGAAATCTATCCACAGCTGCCAAAAAATCAATCTTATTAAGTTTTAACAATAGCTATTTACATTTTTTTTAAAATTTACCATCATCTTCACTGCATGAAAATGCATAATGGAACCATTCTTGCAAAGTTCTAAACTGAGGTGGGAAAACTACGTTTCTTGATACTTTGCACACTGTTGCCATACTGTCATGCTGAGCGGTTCTTTGTTGCATCATTCCAAGACTGAATGTCAACGTTTGTACAATGTGGGAATCGATTTCTCCACTTTCTGTGTTAGGTACTCTTTGTGCTTCTGTTGCAAAAGAAATGCTCGGCTCTTTGAGTGAAAATAAAGCCCATGATTTGGATTTAAAATTTATTCCGTGAAAGCATGCTAAAGATATGTTCGTCCCTCTCAGTTCAAGAGTGCCACCAAGAACAGCAGAATTATCAGAGTTGGTGACTAAGTTCAGAACCACAGCCTGTCCTAAAGCTCGCTGCCAATGCCTATGATGTCTCGCTTCTTGAGCCCAACCTTAAAAAAATAAAAAAAATAAAATAAAATAACAAGTATCATTTTTTAGTTTTAATAATTACTTTCAGTGGTTGATATCTTTTTCCTTGGTTGACGCTTCCTAAATGAACTTCCTGCCCCAGTCCCTCCATTTCCTAGAGATGAAAACACTCTCTTGCTACTCTTAAACTGCTGGGTGAAAAACTCTTCTAATTTGTAGTGCATCTTCAAGAGATCTACTGTCGTTGATTTAGAGATCATCACTTGTAATTGATCCCATCGTAAGTCTCCGTGCATAAAGATCATAGCTGGCCTAAATCAACAGGTATAAAGATTAGAAAATATTTGAAGTGTCACTTTTAGATTTGAATACAAACCTTCGTGTAGGGCTAAATACAGAATTGGGTGCACCAGTTTTCCACTCATCTCTTAACAATACTTCCAAGGAGCTGACGCGTCCCATTAAAACTGCTGTACCCATATAATCAAGGCGACATTCGAGAGCAGACAGCTTCAAACCTACTGTGTGATCTGGTTCAGTACCAGGATCCTCTCTTATTGTTACTGAAAAGATTAAATTAGAGAAAACTGTTTTGAGCCTAAGTTCAAAAATGTTAAGAGAAAATTATAAATATTACTGAAAGTATCAATGTTGCTTAGGTCAATGGTACCACCCACAATACCGCCTTTTGCATCAAGACTTGCACCTGCTAAACCAAGACCAATGTACATGTTTTTATGCCCTGAACTTCCGATTGAGAGCCTTCCCTCTGATCGAAAATCTTTTGTAAGCCACCTGAAACATGAAAGCATAATTTTTTGTTTTGCTTTATTAAACTGTATTATCAACTTACATAACATTGCCCATGACATTTCCCATATTCATGTGCACATTTAAGCGTTTGAAATTGACGGCAAATAGGACAAGTGTTTCCCAAGCTGAATTTGGAATTTTGTCTGCAGTCACAGGACTCGACTCAGAACTTGAACTTCGATCTAAAAAATATTTTTTATCTTTAATTTTTTGTTGTTGTTATACTTTAAATAATAAGATTCCATTTAATGGCCAGTTTATAAATAAAGATTACCTCTGCGATATCTGTTGCGTAGCAAGTACTCTGAATCAAGATTCAGTCGCATATTTTCTCTTAAAATAGGACTCCTTTCAGCAAACGTTTTATCCCTAAAAATATTTTTTCAAGTAAATAACACAACAAAAGGAATAAATTTTGGACTTAGATAAATCACTTACACACAACCGGTGTCGGACTCGTCTCCATCACTGTAAGTTGCAGTACTGCTTAAATCGCCAAGGAAGAGCCTTCTCATAATGCTTCTTCTGTACCAAGCCTTGGGAAATGCTAAAATCTCTGTTAGCCTCCTCATGTCATATTTAAACGATGCAGATCCAATATCAACAATGGCTAAAAAAATTCTACTTTGAGCAACTTTTGCTTTAATATTATTTGATGGATATTATTGGTAATGTTAACTTACTCGAAAAACGAATGATAGCTTGATGGTCCGATGTACTTTTAGGTTCGACATTTAGTTTGCGAGAGCGTGAAAGATGGAATTTTACAAATTCAACATTCACGCTGAGAGAATCCTTTCTTTCACTGTCAGATAAAGGGCTCCATTGAGCTTCTTTTACACCTAATTACAACATACAATAAAGGAAAATAACAGGCAATAAAAAAAAAGTTTAGAAAAAATATATTGACTATATACATACCAGTCTTTTTCCCACCATAAGGATGAAATATATACAAGGAAAAATCAGAAAGACAACTTGTGACACTAATCCCACCCATAGCTCCATGAACTCCAGTTCTAAATAAAGATATTTTAATGTATTATTAAATTTTATTGATCATATAGAAATTATCACTCACATAGGTGATTGGGGATCTGCTCGTTTTGAGGAGAACACTATATCCAAGGAAGGAAGTTGAAGCATGCATTCGACCCTTGAAACTGGAAGGCATGAAAATCTGAAAGTAGATGGCTGCATGTGGAAATAAACAATAACATCCACAGGAAAAGATGCGTAGTACTGAACAGTGTTGTTCGTCATGTTTCCATTGTTAGCGAACATTCCTCCTTGTGTAGACGGGGAACTTTTATCATTTGTGGGGATAGGCTCAAGGGTCTGTTCCAAAAATTCAAGAATGTGGGGAGAAATAATCGTCTCTTCTGGAATACTCTGAAGTGTCATCCAGGCAAACAGGGCGGCTTTTTTTGTCCCACCGGAACCAGTTCTTCTTGGACCGGCTGGAGATTCAGACTTACCACATTCAGGTGCTGTCTTGGATTCATAGTGAACCTTAGCAATTTATTGTATATTAAAAATAATATCTTTCTTTTATTGTTATTCAAAGGTAGTAATATACCTTGACATCGAGTCCAGGAATATGAAAAACTGTGACATCCCCAAGAGGAGCAGCTTGCAATTGTCTCAATCTGTTTCCAGGAGTTGAACTATGATGCCTACTGTGTGTCTTGCGGCTGAGACTAGGTGAAGAAGGTGGAAACTCAAACATTCCACCAGAACAACTTCGCTCTTTTTTCATCCTTGACAACCTGGGAAACAAACTTTATACACATTTTTCAAGGAATTGAAATAAAAATATCAAATTAGTACATTTTCAGTTCATCATCTCTCGCCTGGTCCTTAGTGTGGAGGACGCATTTTCCTCTGTTTATCAAAACTTTGACGTCAAGTTCAAAATCAATATTAGGCTCTGTCGGCTTCTGCTGAGCGGGTGCTGTACTTGGGCTGGAACCAGTAGTACTGCTCTCAATATCTCCAAGCAGAAGAGTTCTGTAATATTTAAATTTGTCCGAAAATTGTCCTAGCAATAAGCTAATTTATTAAATACTATTTACCCATGATCAACATCCGTATGAGGTGGTATGTTATCAGTTGAATGTCTCCCAGCTTTCCAATCCATCAATTCACCCTCTACAGGCAAACTAAGTTCAGAAGAAGCACTTGGCAATGAAGATTGTCTAAAAGTAAAAAGAAAAAATATTATATTAGATATAAAGAAACCTTACTTCTTGGAATGAAGCAAGAAGACTATCACCTAGTGAAATTGTGTGGTTCTCCACTAAATGTTACTCTTGTGGTTGGTGTAATATTGCTTCTAGGGAATAATGTTGTGTTTGGTGAACTTCCAAAACTACCTGCTACTACGTCTGGACTGTGAATTTCAAAGTTTAACAAAATTAACTCATGCTAGAAGCTCTTGATATAATAAAAATAGGCATCTGTGATGAACATTAGTGTTCATGCTTGCATAATGTATACAAAAGTTACCTTTCTATTTCTATTTGGTGTTCAGGTGTAGGAGAGGGTACGATGAATGACCTCGACCGGAATGTTGCAGATTTTGATCCCATAAGTCTCTTTTTAATGTTTGAAGCTTTGACGCTCTGCCGTCTCAGTTTTTGTATCATGTCTCGCCTGAAATCCTTGAATATCAACGCTTCCAACTCCCTTAACCTCTTCATCTCCTGCTCAATAGTACTTTGAGACGCTCCTAGTGTTCTGAGGTCATTAATTATTTTTGCCTGTTCGTTCATTTCCTTTTCAATTAGTTTGGAACGTTTCTTTGAATCGATGGATGGATCAAGGAAAGAAGGAATGGTTTCATATGTCAGTCGTGATTTTTTCAAAAGTGGACTTTCCTATAAAAAACAAAAACAAAAAAAAACAGCATTTTTTATCTTCTAATAATTATTTTGTATCTAACTTACAACTGAGTTGTCTATATTATCAGCATTGTCACCATCATCACTATCATAACTTCTATTAGGCAGGTCATCTTCCTGATAACTTGTAAGTGTTGTAAGCGTATGCCCTAATGCTGATAACTGTTTACCAATATTTACATCTAAGTGAATATCAACACCTTGCATTGCCCACTGAACATTCAAAAACCATTTGGCATTATCTGAAAATTTTGAAAACAACCACTAATTTATAAATTCGTGATTTAACAGTTTATAGAATACAAAGATTTTTTATGCTTATGATTTGGAATTTTTGTATAGGCTCTAATCTGCATGTGTAAGAACATACAAATTGCCGAGTGAGTGTATTTACTTCTTGTAGTCCACCGGCAATTCAAGCTTTTGGTATTTACAGTAAATTGCCAGCAGACTCAAGAATCACCCACCCCTGGGTGTAGACCTTAACCATGCAGCCATTGAGGTCGAGCTCTGGGGGGGGGAAGCACACCGTGGTATGCGAGGTCAACAGGTAGACCCTGTGTTGGGGGAATCAATAAGCCTGTGGCCTAGTTGATCTTTTACTCAATGAATCAGAAATCTCTGTTGATATCTCTTTTAAGGGTAGGAAAATCAATGTTGCAGAGAAAAGTGGCCATTTCTTATGAATTTAACAGGCTTTAATTTTTAATTAACCAAATCAATGTTGAAGTAAAACAATCAAAGATAAATGTTAATTGCTAAATTAACTAAATTCACTATTTTTCGTGGTCCGCTTGACCAATTAATAACATTCAATTAATTAAGGTTTTAAGTTGAGATAAAAAAGTCAGTGTCACGAGCGGGATTCGAACCCACGACCTTTGGCTTGATACGCCGCTACTCTACCACTTGAGCTATCGTGACTTCGATCCACTCAGAGACCAACTTCCCATTTCAATCACACCTTTTGAATTTTCCCTCCTTTTTGCCATTTTTCAAATGTTCTGTAATCAGATTGGATTCTCGGCGACAAATGAAATGGCCACGGAGGGCTTTAGTGAAGTGTACTTCATTTTAATTCATTAAATTCGCTATTTTTCGTGGCCTGATTGACCAATTAATAACATTTAATTAATTAAGGTTTTAAGTTGAGATAAAAGTGTCACGAGCCAAAAATGGCAAAAAGGAGGGAAAATTCAAAAGGTGTGGTTGAGATGGGAAGTTAGTGCCCGAGTGGATCGAAGTCACGACAGCTCAAGTGGTAGAGCAGCGGCGTATTTAGCCGAAGGTCGTGGGTTCGAATCCCGCTTGTGACACTGACTTTTTTTATCTCAATTTAAAACCTTAATTAATTGAATGCTAAATTAAGTTTGCACTTTAGAAAATGATAATATTGTACAGTTTCAAGTATTTTTAGTACCTGAGTCTATTTTTTGAGCTGCTACAGTTCTTGAGCAAACTTCATACGTGCCTTCTGACACAACACAGAGATTCATTGCTGGTTCAGAAGGATCTGGCTTCCAGTCATCTAAAGAGGTTTCAAAATCGTCGGCGAATCTTAGGCACAAACCGACAAACCGTCCTTTGCTCACAAGGGAGCCCCAGCTGCAAGCTGAAATACTCGTCGATTCCAAGGTAACTACGACTGCTGCACAAGAATCTTCAGCAAACATGTGACGTCCCAAAGTGGGCTACAATAGAAATAATACATTTAAAAAAGGGTTAAAAACATTTTAATTGAAATGTTTACCGGTGGAAGAGGGTTGAGAGGAATGCAGATTCCCATATCTTCAACAGTAAGTTGTAAAAACAAAGTTCCCAATATGGGAGGCCCTGTGAGTTTTTCAAAAGGCATTTTCTCAAAGACTTGCTGTGTTGCTGTGAGTACTTCTTTATTTAGAGAGGATCTTTGCTCATTCCAATATTCATAAGCATTTTTATAATTAAGCCAAACAAGAATGGCTTTGTCCACAGCCATAGGTTGAATGTAAACCAAAGGTCTCCTTAAAGTTATAAGAATCACTTCTTTTCCTTCACTACCAGTACCGATCATTTCTCCTTGGAATGCATTTCTTAAACCTAAAATTCAACATTAATGCCAGAAAAAAATGGTGAATTTATAATAAATATAATCACATACCAATTCTTGTTCTGAAGAAAGCGAATTGCTGGTATTCTGGATCAGCTTCTTCAAACAGTGCATGCTTTATTATTTGACCCAAAGACAGATTCACGTCTACAGTTGCCTTTATGAAAAGCTTCATATTTGTGTTTGGAGGAACAGGTCCAGATATATTCTGAACTCTATTTGAAAGCTGAAGATCGACACTGCCAGTTTCAAGCCTCACAGCACAATTCGTCGGGGTAACGGCTGTCAATTGGATTCGCTGAAAATGAATTTAAATAGGTACATCTAGCAAACTGGCACATCTTAAAAAAATTGTACCTGAAGTCTTATAACAAGAGTGAAAAGCATTCTATTAATATTTCCATCAGCCTGTGGGTCGTCCTCCCAAAGGGGAACTGGCTTTTCTCCACCGTATACTTTCTGTACAACTTCATTGACTTCCTAAAATTAAACTGTTCATTAATGACTAATTAAATTAAAGAGTTAAGTTTATTTTTTCTACAAATATAAGGTAAAATAAGTGAATAACAAAATATTATAAGAATCACACAAATCAATTTGTTTTTAAACTAAGAAAATTTAATGCTAAGTTCATACTTTCATAAACACTTTCTGGACAAAAACAAGATGGTTGAGCAAGTCTGTAGTTAAAGAATGTTCAAAAACACCAATATCTGCTAAAGCACTTAAGTAGTTGCCATGCCGGAGGACAACGCCATCTAAGAAACAAAGTAGATATGAGTATACATATTCAAAATTAAGACAGACAAAAAATTAAATTGGATTTTTAGATTTACCTCCAAATTGGCCTTCAATAGAAGTATGCTCATCTTGGATGTATTCTGCTGATACATGCACCTGTGGTAATGCTATGCTTGCTTCTGATGGAAGATTAGCCTCAGTTACCTGAAAAAAGGTAGTGTAAGTCAACCAATGAACAGAACATATATATTTATAGCAAACCTGTACTTTTGTTGAAAAAGAAAGTGAATGCCTTGGAAGATCCACAACAAATTTAACCTTGCTTGCAGTAATCCCAGTGCTTGTGACCTGTTCCATTTTATACTGCGCTTGTAACGAGGGTAAGAGAGCTGCAGTGATGCTTAAACTCTACAAAATAAAGAAAAAAGTGAGAATTTTATAAAATACAATCTTTACAAATTTAATTATTATTCAATAAAAAGTTTTGTAAAGTCACTAACCTGTAAGACTATTGAGAATTGAATAACTAACGGATGGAGTAGAGGAGTAGTTTCTGATGTGTTCTGCTGACTGGAAGAATAATTTGGTATAGCTGTACGACTGTGGCAAGGTGAATGCGGTGGGTGAGAAGAATCCACCTCGTCAATTGTAGGTGCCCTGCCTATTCTGCTTGATGTTCGTGTGACTCGCAATTCCTAAACCACAACAAAATTTTGAAGTTTTTAGATTCAGATCTGTGATAGTTGAATTCTAGGTATACCTGAAGGGTTGATGATAGGTGCTTGCTTCCTCTTGCCATCATGCCGTGTAAAGCGACTGGATGTTGAGGAATTGTAATTGCCACTGAACCGACAGTGAGCAGGGCTGAGTTTTTGTCTTTTCCTGGGACGTTCATGCTTGAGAACAAGGCTTGGGATTTTCCAATCATCACTTTTACCACAGTCCTTTAAAAAAATAAATAAATAAATAAAAATAATTTTTTTAAACAAACAAACTCAATCACGAACGTTTAAAATGTGAATAAAGTTTCATTTTATTCAATTAATTAAGGTTTTAAGTTGAGATAAAAAAAAGTCTCGATCCACTCGGACACCAACTTCCCATCTCAACCCCACCTTTTGAATTTTTCCTCCTTTTTGCCATTTTTCAAATGTCGTGTAATCGGACTGGATTCTCGGCGACAAATGAAATGGCCTCGGAGAGCTTTAGTGAAGTGTACTTCATTTTAACCAATTAAATTCACTATTTTTCGTGGTCCGCTTGAGCAAGTGGTTTTAAGTTGAGATAAAATCTAAGTCACGATAGCTCAAGTGGTAGAGTAGCGGCGTATCGGCCGAAGGTCGTGGGTTCGAATCCCGCTCGTGACACTGACTTTTTTATCTCAACTTAAAACCTTAATTAATTGAATATTATTCATTGGTCAAGCGGACCATGAAAAATAGTGAGTTTCATTTTATTTTATGCGTTTCAATTATTTTTAAGACTTATTTTATAAAAAGCAGATTCCCCAGAAATGACAAGAGCACTTGTTCTTGATGGGGTTCTTCATTCTCACAATAATTTATTTTATTATAATTCTCTTAAATTGGTTGGTGATAAGCACTAGTCTGAACGTAATAATTAAAATACTTACTGCTGATTTGGTGGGACTCCTTCGAGTAAGACAATCATTGTTCTACCGACATGGCCCGTAATTGAGCATTCCAGACTTGTTGGCCTCGTCTTTTTCTTAACAGTCAGACTTGAATGTAGATTTGTCATTTCCGCTTCCAATTTAAGGCCACTCAGCGTTGCTAAAAGTCTCGTTCTGTGAATTTTTGCTACTGCAAAAACAATCAGCCGTGTTCTCTCCCCTGTTACGCCTAAAAAATCATAACATGTATATACAGGAAAAAGATATTTTGACTTTATAAAATTACTGGAATCTTTTTGATTGACAGGGTTGTGTGTGGTGGTCTGTGATTCTCCTTTTTCAACATCAGTCGACTTAGAATCTTTGGATTCTGTTTTCTTGCGGAAACTATCTGATAAATCTCCTCCAACAGAAAAACGACTGAAACAGAATTTTATGATTAAATTCTTTAAAAAAAAGAAAAAAAAATTTGTTTGAAAATAATTATTTTAAAAGAATACAAAAAATTATAAAATATCATGCTTCCATGTTTTTCCTCTAAAATGCACTAATTTTATTTCTATTAGAATATTCTATACTCTTCTGTACCTGAAGATATCAACACCGACCAAACCGGCTGTACAACTTAAAAAATAGAAAACACAAGAAGTAGTAAATTTTTAAATGTTTTACACTAATTAGTAGTTATTATTAATAACTGTAATAATAATTAAGACTTCTTACCTGTGCGCAATGGTCTTTGTGTGGGGCATTGTTGCATAAAGTTCAAGAAGATGATACACCGTTTTCCAGCACCTAGGAGTTACATTAATAGACCCTTCTTTGCTTTTAACAGAAACTCTCCTATCAACAATTGATGTGGGAGAGGTCAACTGGCTAGTATCTGATAAATTCATGTAACCTGAATAACAAGTCTTTATGAAAATTCTGTGATAATAAAATTGGGTAGTTGTTGAAATTCAATCTGACCTCTAACACTTTTGCCCGTTGATCTTATTCTATTGGCAAGTGATTGAGCCCTCATAGAAGAAGAAGGTGAAACTAGAACTTTATTATCAGAGAATTTTGACCTCTGAAAAACCTTTGGTTTTTCTGTTTCTGTTGGTATAGGCAATACAAATTCCTGAAGGTCTAGTCCTAAAAGAAAAAAAAAAACAATTGAAAAATTAAATTAAAGATAAACCGTAAATAAAATCTCTTACTTGAAGCTGTAGCAGGAGGAGTTTTCGCTACATTCTTGTTTTCAGCAGGCTGCTGCTCTTTCAGTTCTGATTGTGTCTCTTTAACATTCTGGTACATATTGCTTATTTGGAGCAAAAGTCTCAACAGTGGCATATTAACCTAGACACATTTGATAAGTTCATATTTAAAATCACAAACAAGCATGTAAAATACTCACTTGTTGGGAGATGTATCTTATTCCTATACTGACATTCAAGACAGTACTAGAATGCTTCTTCAATTGTCCTCTAGACACATATAACATATTTCTCCTCTGCCTACTCAAGTCCTCTACTATAGTCATATCTGCCAGCCTACACAGTTCTAGTTCCACACCAACCCTCTCACACACAAAAGCAGGAGTTTCAGGGGGCATTTCAAGCCAGAATTTATCTGTAATTTATAAATAATTAGTCGTTATGTGACTTTAATCCTATACAGACTCTAATATTTCAAATTCATGTAATATACTCCACTCCACAAATAGAACATCAGTCAGCACAAATAGCTACGGGATATGTGTTTTTCATTCCAGAAATACCATGAAAGCTTCTGTTTAATCATCACTATACTTTTTTGATTGATGTGGAAAACACAAAGCCATAAAAGAAGTTTTGTTGTGTTCTTGCGTATTAGCAAGAGTACTGTACTATGTAATATATCATAGTAATTTATTGGGGGAAGGGTAGCAGGAAAAAAGATTAGGGTGATGGTGGGAAGTAAACCCACAACTGCTAGGTTTATCAGGCGAAAGTCTGTCAACTGACCACTCAACTACCGCATCCCCCCCCCCCCAAGAATGAATTGAAATAATAAAAAAACCAGTGAGAAAATTCTTTTGGAAGTGACAATGTTTACATGTGTTGAAATTAAAGTTATTAAATAATTACGGAAAAAACGCAACTATATGTTTCATATGTGGAGCAGAGCATTAAAATTTTGAACATTGACCATAACCTTTTTTATCCTGAACTTTCCCATATTCACTAACTACGATATCAATCCTCATTGAATCCACTCCTCCTATTAATGAAAGGTTTGAACCCCATGTTTCTAGAGTGTTGCTGCTAGTACCTAAAAATTTGATTAATATGTATTAAAAAAAAGTATTTAGAACTGAAAAAAAAAAAAAAAAAAAAAATCTTACCGGCACTACTGATCATTTGTGTAGGCATAACACCGAGACTTGACAAAAGTGGTTCAAATATGAGGTGAGCATCAAGAAGCCTTAATGAATCATGCATTGGGTACAGACTATATCCTGACGTTAGTAGGAGGTAATCTGGATTCATCAAAGGTGCATCAGGGGCTGATGTAGGTTTTGTCTGTACCTAAAAATAATGATAATTATTTAGTAAAAATATTATTTAAAAAAACACAAAACAAAAGACAAAAAAAGAAATATAATCATGCTAATTAATAAAAATAAGGTTATATAACTGCAAAACAAAATAATATAAAGAACTACAGCAATAAGCAACTAAAACATATAAAAATGTGTGCAATTAATGATTATAAACCATGAAATAAACATATATAAAAAAAAGGACAAAAAAAGCTTTGTTTTGTTTACTTAAAAGCAAAGCCTAAAATGCTTTAACATTTACTAGTAGTACAAAACAAAGGGGGTAAAAAAACAAACGCCCAACTACAAATTAACTACATTCACAAAGACACAGATTATTTTGCAGTTACAAACCACCGTTGGATGTGTGATTGGTGGGGGCAAGACCTTCTCTTTTTCTTTCTTCGCCTCTGTAAATTCTTGTTGCTTCGCCATCCAGGTGTAAAGGTCATCATTATCAGTATCTCTCGGAGGAGACAGGGTACGATCCAGACTTGGGATGGATGTTTCCTGACCATCTGGCTCGCCCCTGCCACCCGAGCAAAGAGACGGATTTGAACCATTTGTCACTAGACTTCTTGTTTGGTCTTTTTTAAGAGTAGAATAACCTAGAATAGAATCTTTAAAATGAGAACTACCAGTAGTCAAGTTCGTGCATAATATGAGACTCACCAATTCCTTTAGAATCGCTTTCGTTTCGATGATGCCCAAGAAAAGGGTTGTTGTTCAGTAAGGGGAAAACAATACTAGCTCTCGATGATGATGGTATTTGTGTTGGTAGTAAAGATTTTTTTTTCCCCAACTTGAAACATTAATTTATCATTTAAATTTTTAAATTTTTTTTACAGTTAATAAATTTTATTTTACAAACTTAAAGCAACTATGATTTGTTCAGTGTTGCGTGGATCATACATACATTTTTTTAAAATTATTTTAATTTTATGGGACTTCTAAAAATTAATCTTGTTTCAAAAAATTTAAAATTAGAATTACTTAATAGAAAATTGTATATTTAATTATATAAGATTTTTTTTGACTGTTTGTAAAACTTATTGCATAACTACAGACTTTATGTCCCAAATGAGTGAAATCACAGATTTCTTATTAATTAAACTCACTGGGTTATAGAAAATGTTTGGTTTTATTTTTGGGCGTTTTAAAAAAAGTTAAAAAGAGTTTGAACAAAGCCTATAGAAGGTTGATGACAGATATGGCCGCAAGCCAAGTTAAGATTTTACCAAAACTATCCCATCCCAATTTCAGTAATACTTACAATATTCTTTTCCATGTACGCATTGTCTTCTAAGAGTATTTAACACCCAACCATAAAACTAATCTACAATTCACTAGCACGGTAAATTGCACATCATTTATCAAATTACAAAAATATTCGTAGCTCTAGTTAGAAAAATAAAAAACTTACAGATATACAGGCTGTAATTAAACTAAAACAAGCAACAATTCTAATATTTTACTTTGAACAAATCACAATTTAGACACAAAGATATACATAAAAAGCACAAAAATTCAATAAAATGAAGGATTTTAATAAGAGACTTAAAAGGAACTTCTTTATTAAGGAGGAAATAATACCTGATGAACAGATCCAGGTGAAGTCGGAGAGCTGAACTGAAGACTGTCCAATGTGATGTGCCCAGTTTGCGGTGACTGCATGTTGATTGTAGGCCCGTCAATACTAGTAGTTGGAACATCTACAGAGACATTAATAACGTTTATGTTGACATTCTGAGTCACATATACAAAATTTTATATGAATAATTCCATATAAATTTAATGTATGTAATTAACTGAAGCAACATTTTTTCTGATCAGAAAGACACAGACACTACACTAACATGCATTAATGATGTGCTATCAGGAGTGTATAAAAACAAAAATATGTGAAGTTTGTGCTAGTGCAAAAATAATTTCAATTAAAACAAAATCAGCAAACAAAGTAGGTGATATTCTTAATAAGCAATCATAAAACTGAAGCTGGAAGTGCTGAAAACAAAAACTGCACAGCTGAAATTGATATTTTCTGTAAAAGGAATGGGGTTTTAAATCTACAAAAGGGAAGAAAGTACAACATGAATCAAAATAAGAAACAAAGACTAAGTGATGTCTTTTGATAAATAATATTTAAATTATTTAAAGAAGTTTTGTATTTTACCATGTTTCTGTGTTGCCTTGAGCACTTTTCTTAAATTGGTTCCAGCCTCAGTGTTAAGCAACATTGCGCATTCATCTGTGATTTCGCAGTCCTCATATGAAAATTCGCCATCAGTCAGGACATTTTCCTACGCCCAACACCATAATTTTTGACCTTCTAAGCTTTTATCTACATATTTGTAATTTATAGGTCTTTGAAACATGAAATTTAATCATAAAAATAAATGCCTTTATCTTTATATACAAAGTCGATCATTATAACACTTAAAATAGCCTAAAAATTTAAATTTTTTGTTTATAGCTGGAAGAACAAAATTAGACTCTCAAAGAAGTCAAACACGTTCATCATTAAATCAAATTTCCACTGTAATTCACAATAAAAGGACTGAATTTCAAAATTGCTTCCCAAAATGCAATCGGTCAAAGTTCAAAACTCAAGACAACTACACTTTAATAAATTCCAAGAGCCTATTAAAGTTGAAAATTATAAAATAAAACAAATTAATCAGAAAACATAATTAAATTAGAAAAATAAAAATCCAATACTTTTTGATAAATTAATATTTAAATAATGTTTCTTTAAAATGTATTCAAAAATTAAATTTTTTTAAATTTATAATTATTCTTATTAAATTTCTTTAATAGTCTCTTTAATTACCCCAGAATCTCATTTATTGGTATAGTAGTAATGCCATAAGTCTACTTTATGTTGATAATTGCTATTTATTTAAAAACAGTCAGAATTGAAATTTAAAATGTAAAAATTCTCTAGGAACAACCTTTTTCAAAAACCTAACAAAACAACACTTACAATTGCGACAAATTGTCACTTAAAGTTTAAGAAACCCTTAACATTTTAAAATGTACATATAACAATCTGACAAAATCTTTGTCAAGCCAAACAGCACAAGCATGCAGTTTATGCATAGTTCAGTCAAATGTTGCTTCATTTGGCACTGTTTAAGTCAGTTGTTTAAGCACATTAAACTATCCTAATTAAATTTGTTGTATAAATCCTCTATTTTTTTAATTTGCAATCGTGATAAGTAAAGAAATTCATGGTTCTAGAAATGATGACAGTTGAATGTATTCATCAAAACTTTAGTACAATGTTTGCACTGATTATAGTTTGAAGCACCCAATAAACTCTCCCGTACAACAATTACTTTAACTTTGAAGCACCCCTATTGAATATTGAAACTTTTTCACCTTTATGTACACATTTTTCAAATACCACTAGCAACAATGACTTTTTAAGATAAAATGCTTTGAAAAACATTTGTAATAAATGAGATTCTGGTCTACTAGCCCCTCACCATACAACTTCCATTTAGTGGCGACCGTTACTCATGCAAGACAATTTATATAATTGTTTTTCTTTTTTAATGGCGTTTTAAAATTTTGTTTAAGCGTTAAAAATTTAAGACAAATTGAATTCTAACATATTTAATTATATTTAGTGGCTGGATTCTCTACTTAACACCTAACCAAATCATAAAACTAAGTGACCAAAGAAAGCCAATTTTAATAGTCAAACCAGAAATAAAAACGAGGAAAAGGCATTTACTTTCTGGCAGGCACGTGTTCTTAATATTTGTGAGTGTAGTTATTACGGAACATAAATTTGTTACTCTGGCGTTATACATAGTACAATATTTGTTATTTAGTTAGTAAAAGGAGGGCAAATTAAACACTACGGGTTTTTAAAACAAGTTGTGCATGCCCCATGTTACAAAAGCAAAAAAGGGATAAAGCCTTTCGGAATATTATGTGTGGAATTAAAAACATATCCATTCCCAAAATCATAGCAAGGGTTACTCGCAACAAAGAGCTAACACCAACACGAATAAAGCATTTAAAATTCAGCTCTTTTTTAAATTCAACTTTCATTTAATTCAGTTCCTTACAAAATTGCCGACATTCATGATCTAGTTGCTCATCCGGGATGTAACACAATGAAACCTGTGGTATATTAACAAAGGTTTGAGTTAAATGAAGTATCAAATACTGTATTACTACATAATTAAAAACAATGGAATCCATTTTCAATGAAAAGACTGAAAAGTAAATCAAAACACGAATTAAAGAATTAGAAAAAAAAAAAAAAAAAACTGCCGGCGGCATCAGATTTTATTATAATGGATTTATCCTCAAATTTTAAATATCTTACGTCTTCAGCATCTGGGACTGCAAAAGTGACATTAAATGGTTTAACATTATGCCTTGCTTTAAAATTATGCTCCAAGAGCAAAGGTGTGTACAAGATGTTCTTCCACTGCCTACTGAGTACTATCACACCCTAGAAAGAAAGCACAAGTAAAGTATTTTTTGCATTAAAAACCCTTTTATGTCTATTTTTTAAGTCACTTGGCTTGTTAATAATAAAATACACAATAATTTTTACATTATGTGTCATTGTGAGTACATTTAAATTGATTACATTTCACACATGAAAAATGTAATTACAGTAGAAATCCGTTTATCCAGACTTGAAAGGACCGGGACTTGTCTGGATGATCGAAAGTCCAGATAATCCAAAAATTTGTGATTTTATTAGTATCGTGTCATAAAAACGGAAAAAACACATATGAAAGTGAACACTTTTATTCATATATCACGAAACATTTAAAGTGATAGATAGTTTTTATTAGTTTTATTTTTGTTTAAGCCCGGACAAAATTTATACATAAAAAATATCTAATAAAAATATATGTAATAAAACACTTTGAGTGAGTAGAAATACTTGATTGAATATAAAAAAATATTTTTTTGCATTGCATAAATTCACTTTTTTTCTGCATCCTACATGTTTTTGTTAAATTTAAACAATGTTTGTAAATCCCAGGCCCTGAAGATGACCTCAATAAAGACCGAAATGTTGGCACGATAAAGAAAGTGTTTTTCTGAAACCTACGTCACACCAGACCACATCTCACGATTTCTGAATAATCATACATAATAAAAAAAACCTTTTCAATGGAAGCCAACATATGAACAACACTACGACAATTTCTAGTCTTTTAAAATAGGATATACCTTTTTTTAAATTTATTTTTACCAAAAACGTGACCGTTGGCCTCTCCGGCCTCTTTGATCATGTGACTAGTGGAAGGGCCTTGATTTGGTGGCCTTTACGATTTTGAACGACAAATTAAAAAGCCCATAGTTGAATTATAAATTTAAAAAAATTAATATACATGCATTGAGAAATATGAAAAATTTATAAAAAAATATTTTAACAAACGGGTCCAGATAATCGGGGTCTGGATAAACAGGTTTCCACTGTTCCAATTTATTTAAAAATAAAACTTTTTTTATAATGCACATAATCTTTATAGATTATCTATGTATATATTCATTTTTTTACCTGTCTTAATGTAGAAAGATGTGGAAGGTCAGCCTCCTTCAAGTTTTCTTCTATATTTGCTGTCGTTTGTAAAAGGTATCTTCGTAAAACACAGCATAACTGGCATGAAGGGTCTTCTTGAAGAGTTTTGCTTAAGGGAGTAAATCTTCCATGTCGACTCTACTTAGGCAGACATAAAATTGTTTACAATTATTTATGATTTATTGGATTGTACTGTCAAACCTTAATTGGCAAATGAATTTTTTGGACGTCGAGTGCTTCAGCCATGAGGCAAGTCACAATAGCTGTACTTCTTCTGTATTTGCAGCGCAACATGTGAACAACCCTTATTGCAAATCTGTTGTTAGGATTCATCCAAGCATTTATTGCTGGTGAGGCTGTGCTGAGTAAATTCCAGTCCAGTCTAAATTGCAAAGAATATTTTAAATATAATATTAACATTATTCAAAACCTAGATAGCAAAATAATCTTTTGTAAAACCTTGTATAATCAATTTTCCTTGTGATTGGTATTCTAGGAGGTGCAGCGAAATTAAACCAGACCTGCTTAACATCAATAACGCAAGATGATGCATTTCCGTCCTTCCCATGAAGCGATAGAGTATTGTTGGCTCTGGAAAATTGCTCATTTAATATCTATTCACTATTTAATAAATATATTAACTTTAATTACGTTGGTTCTGAATGGCATTCTTGTTGGCTTGAATCTTGTTGAGCTGGCGCTGGGGCTTTTACACTTGTTGGAGTCATGTTTACAGGCTCTGGCTGAGTTGCAGTACTGCTCTGTTGCTGTTGTTGATCAACGATGACAGATTCAAGCTCATCCTTTGAACGAACAGAATCTGTATAATTGGTCTCGTTTTCCCCAGGAGGTGCCAGCGATGCTTTGCTATCATCTGTTTCCTCAATATCAAATTTGGACCTATTCACAACCTGCATGGGAAAAAATATATTCATAAATAATTGATATAAATTATCAATTTAATGTAAAAAATAAAATAAAAACCTTAAATGAAACCCCTTCAAGACCACTTTCACACATTATAAAACCAATTTTTTCATCTGACAATCCAACAAGGGATAAATCTTCTGTTCCTGAGTATCTTATCTGAAAAACAATCATTATAAATATTACTTTAATAAAGTATAAATAAAATAAAACATTAACATACTGTTGCACTCTCTTCATGGGATTTAGTAGCCAATTTTGTAGTAAAAATTACTTTAGAGCAATGGCTAGGTATAGCGGTGATTTCTGCATCTTTTAAAAGTGAACATTCATTGTGTAATCTTCTCAACTGGGCATGTATTTTATCTAAAAAGGACATGTTAATACGTCATAAAATTATGTGAGTATTAAGAGAATGGCATACTTATATTTAGTGTTATGACAGTCTCTTCTTGTTGTTTTTGCGATGTCTCAATATAAACTGACTCCCCAGTCAAATCATGTTTCGCCGTGCTTGTTCTCAAACCAAGAAATAAAGCTTTTCCTGTTTTCCCAAAGCCACTCTTTTTTACACCGCTTGGTAATACAGCAGGCCTTTCAAACGTTTCTACAATTTCTCTCGTCTATAATAACAAAAAGTAGCCAACGATATCAAGTATGTCTGTAATATAAATATTAAAATTAAGCAAAATGGCAATTACTTGTTTTCCACAATGAAAACTGGCCGTTAGGTTATTGAAAGACACTGCCAACAGGGAAACACATGTTAGATCCCTGATGTTATCAAGGGCAGAAAATGAAATAACTTCTTCCACGACCGACGCTTGTAAAAGTGCTATATTCACCTAGAAATAAATTTGAATAATACAATTTCCTTTTTCTTATAAATATTTACAAAGAGTCTTACTTTAGGGAGAATCACTGTTGCTTGTATTTGAGTAGCGATACATTGTTCAATAACACAATGGGGCTGGCCTTTTACTTTTCCTTCTCTTTCAGCAGTACTTCTTTTACTGCCACCTCCTTGCAATTGGCTAAGATATTGGTCCCTTTTGAGTACATTGCTAGCTTCCACGCGACCCATGCAACTCAAACCTAATTTGTTTATTACACTGAGAGGGTGCATTGTTGATAAGGTTGGTGTAAGAGCATCTATAAATCTTTAGACAAAGAAAAAAAATTAAAACAAAAAATATATATAAACAAAAACTGGTAAATTTAGTTTTTACCTTTGTAAAGATTCTAAAACAAGTGGGCTAACCATTATATCAACATCGCCTTTCATTTTAACCACCACTGTAGTTCTTGTGCCCATTTCATTTCTTGAAGAAAGCAATTCCTCTTGGGTAACTGGAAGAAAAGATGATTACAATTTTATGTAAACGACTATGTTTAATTATATAATTTTTAAAATTTTGAATGGGAGAAGGTAGGTTAATTGAAACGCCAACTCAGTAATAAGAAAGAGGAGATGAATGCCAGACATTGGCATAGAAAATGGGATGGATCACCCTCAGTAGAACTACCAAAACTTGGATACTGTCACTGCATAGGAGTTGTAAATGGGTCCAAGATCCCAATAGTATTGGAAAGCGATAAAAAATAATTCTTGGAAAAATATGGACCGGATCACAATTCTCATGCTGAGGACCCAACCTAGCACTTCCTCAGGTCATGAACTATCTTCACCATATCAAACACGTTTACCTAACACAAGAATAATTGGATTATGATTTCTCTTCTGCCTTACTTTTACTGATATAAAAGGAAAAGAAAACAAACATTCAAATTGAGCAAGGTGAAAAGTAAGACAGAGCCTATTGTGAGGGGTTGAAGAAACTTGAACAGAAGAATGCTGGTGAAAACTATTGTATTTAACCTTGAGGATTAGTTTCATAGTAGGTTAGTTTCATTTTTACAAATAATTTATTTCTAGAGGCTTACTTTGACTGTTTATACCAAATATTAATTTATTGCTGTATTATGAGAATACCTCATCTATTACCCATATGTATAATAGATAATTACTACTAAAATTACTTTCAAATATCAAATTAGTCCCATTAGGATGTACAGATTTGTTGATTTGTCATCTATAGATTTTATAATATGTCTTCTAACAAATCCAGTTTGAAAACCACGTAAAATCGAACAACTACAGAAACAAAAAATATTACATACCAGTATCAGTTTCAGAATCATTTTTTGGATTTTCTGGAGGTAAAATATCCCATGGGTAAGGATGTGTCGGTGTTTTTCCAAGGCTTGGAGGAGGTGAGAAACCATCTCTGTTTCTATTGATCATTTTCAGAGATGTAAACCCTTCTGTTAGATGTTCAAATCGTGGTGTAAAGCGGCTCCCTTGAATCACATATAAATGAATTTTCACCTCATAAAGTGCACAATTATGCTTTTACTTACCAACATATACCAATCTTCCATCATCGGTCTTTTGGAACAAAGGCACTGTGAAAACATCCGAGCCATTTGGAAAAGAACACAATGCCCAGTTCAAGCAAGTAACCTAAAATTATAAGCATATATATTTATATGTACAAATGATAATCGAACTAGTAAACATCACATAATAATTTTTAATCAGCCAAATAAATTACCTGTGATAAATGATTAACATAACTAGACATCAACAAAGGAGAATCTACAATGGGTTTATTGACTTGCATATGTAGGTTGACCAGAGTCAAATCTTCCTGAGATGAAACTGCAGATATAAAAGATGTGCTTGATATTGAGTGGGTGTCTGAAGAATCAAGCAAAACTGTAATTCCATCCTAAACACAATTAATCACTTAAGTATTAAGCACTTTTTCAAAACAATGCAATAAGTTTAAATGAACATGAGATGTTAAAAATAATAAGATCTATCTACACTACGTAAACTATCTAAACGAGGCTATCTAGCAGTGAAGATTTTATAGAAGAAAGAAGCTTGAAGAAGATTAATTAAGCAAAGAGTCTTCTCTATTGTTGAGTATATCCTCGAGCCCAGGGGTTAGGCCGTTAGGGTATTATGCAGCATTTCTTTTTTAGGGTAAATATTTACTTACTTGATGTTCGGAATTTAAAGATCTGGGGCTCATTCCGCCATGACGGAAAAGAGGTGTGACAAGGCTGTGTTTGGTATTTTCGGTTTCTGTTCCGTTTTTAATGTAACTGGCCTGAAATTACAGATACGTTGTATCCTATTTTCTTGGGGTAGAGAATATTGAAAAAGCTGGCAATTGGCTTCTTTTTCAAGTTTTTTTATAGTAAAAACTTAAGCTGTTAGGACCAAAGAATAAGAATTTCAAAGTTAAACTTGGCTGGAACTTCCAGATCAATGTTTGCTCACTTTCTCATATGTTCTCAGAATAAAATGAAATATAAACATGCAAATGTGACATTGTATATTAGACATACAATATTTCTATTACATATACCCAATTTGCAAAATAAATCAATAATTTCAGATATTTTAGTGATAACATTAACCAGTTATATTAAATTATTTGTTTCAATAATAAAATACCTGATCTGTTCGATGTTGTGGTGTGTGGATTTCATGATCGCTTCTGTGGGAGCATAATCTCGAAACTTGGGCACCAATTGTGGGTGGCATGTTTCCAACAATGCTCATATCACTTCCATAAGGTTTCCTAAAAATTATGAACAGTATTAGATAATTGCTAGCATTTAAATTGATTTTGTAATAATTTTACCTTGATAAAGTTATAGAGTGTCTAAGTGAAGAAGATCTACTTCCTCCAGGTAACAACCCCTGGCTTATGTCTTCTTCGGCTGAAAAAAATGCTTCAGATTGGTTTTCGCTGCACATGGAGATCGTCCTCTGGACGAGCTGCTCTTGTAGTGAATGTTCAGATTCAGAAGGATCAATTGTGCACTAAAATTTCAATAATTTGAGTCAACACTTCAACAGAAAAACCGGGTTACTACCTGAGCGAGGGCGCTGTTAACAAGAGCGTTGTACTGTTGAGCTGTTGAATTGAAATAATCAACTGCGAGCTTTGAATCTGAGATACTCGATTTTGGCTGAATTTCACTTTCAGGTACACTTAAGATACTTCTAGCTTTATCACTTGCATGTAGCCTTGAATCAGAATCTAGCTTTGGTGGCAAAAGACTTGTCGGGCTTGAATCTACGAGCCTTGAATATGGAACATCTTTTCCATGACCATTTGTTGAACTCCTAAGTGCATATGAAATTTAAAATCATAACATTTGTACAAAAAAGGGATAAATATTTTCAACCCAACAATTGTAACATTAATAATCAGTTATTCAGAAATCGTGAGATGCGGTCTGGTGTGATGTAGGTTTCAGAAAAACATTTTCTTTATCGTGCCAACGTTTTTTTATTGAGCCCTAAAGATGATCTCAATAAAGATCGAAACGTTGGCACGATAAAGAAAATGTTTTTCTGATACCTACATCACGCCAGACCGCATCTCACGATTTCTGAATAATTATCAATTAACGGTCACTAACCAACACACATTAATAATTAGCTACAATACAAACTATTTTTTAATTTTTTTAATGAAAAAATTATTATAACTGCTTCTAGTAATTAGTTGTATTAACATGCATTTCTAACTAAACTGTAACAGATTTGTACTGTACTGTTTACCCCCTACTTTTTCAAGCAACTCATTTTATCTCATATATATAATTATATCTACGATCAAGTTAAACTGCATCTACCACGTTGATAGAATTGTAACCATACCTAACAAGGTGGAAATACTTCTGTTTACAGCTATAATATATTAATATTGTTACACTCTGTTCATAATTATATATTAAAATTAAAATGCATCACACACTTATTGTCAATAGTGCGATAATATTAATTAATTTGTAAAAGAGATAAAACATGAATACTACAATGTAGATGAACTAAACACAGAAATTTTTATGAAAAACTATGTATAGGTACTTTCTCTTTACTGTTAGACAACTTGACAGAGTAGATTATGCTTTGAATGTGTGAGATATGACTGACTCAGTACACTTTACAGGTGTGCATTTTGGAGTAGAAACGTATAAGAGATTTTTCTCTATGCTGCAGTTTGGGGAGTAAAGGTAAAAACATGGTTCAGTAATAATTCATTCTAAAATATAGTCTCTAGTACATTTAAAAAAATTATTATATTAGTATGTATATTGATTTTTTCCTATATCAGAAAATTAATTCTACAAAGAGACAAACTTAAAATGTAAATATTTAAGTACATAAAGAAATCCCAAAGTAAAGAATAGCCAATCAACTCTAGAACCTTTGGTTCTATGAAATATGTTATTTTATTCTCATTATAAAATATGCAATATGCTACATAATGAATACATTTTTAATATTAAAAACAAATATTAAACTTTTATGCTAGGTATATGTAAAGAAAGTGCTTTAACAGAAGAAATTGCCAGTTTAAAGTTTATTGGTTGTGTAATTTTAGTTATAGTTTAAAGTGTTAGATGTATCAACCACTTTTTTACTTGCAAATAATCTATATCTTGATATGGTCTGGGTGAAAAAACCACATTACTATACATTTTTAAATTATTTTTCAATTAAAAAAACAAGGGTTCTACCAGGATCCGAACCCAGAACCGTCAGTGGGGCAATGAGTCAGATACTCTAACCACTCTGCCACTGCGGTCCTCTTGATGAAACCATCTATTAAAACCTTGATTATGTCAATTTTTACACATCTTTAAGATTGTTTGTCCTGCTGATGACCTTAAAATAGCTAAAGCTTGCCAGATAACAGCTGAATTTGTTTTTTCATCCAGACAATACCAAGATACAGATTATTCGTGAAGGCAAACGGTTCGAAAACTCATTATATTTCCGGTCACTGACTATTTCCGAAATGATGTATTTTAGAGTGATCATATGTTTGATGAGCAGCACTTGAATTGAACACCAACATCATTAGTTCTTATTTTTTACTTTAATTTATAATTTAAATGATGCACCATCCAAGAGGTTAAAAATGAACACAAAGAATTATTTATGTAATTTGTAATGTAAACTTTTAATCACAAATTTTAATAAACTGCACTGTATGAAGATCATTAACATTTATATTTGTAATTCATAAAATTGATATATCACAACAATAATTTTGAATATATAATTTCAAGATAATCTTGTTATTACATACTTTCATTAGATTGTAATTCAATTATGAATTAAAATTCAAAGAAAAAGAGAAAAAAGAATCACAATAAATAAAAGCTATCTCAGATTAATTTTAAAGATTTTGATTTATCTGAGTAATAAAAAAAGTACCTGTTAGGTGTAGTAGATGTATAAGAAAATCTACGTGGCTGACTAGATTTAATACTTGCTACCGGACTAGGTGTGTCTACTTTTCGCCTATCCCTGTGATGATCAGTTACAGACCTTGAACGTTCTACTTTGATTTCACTGTGCGGGCTATCTGATGGTTCCAAACCGCTGTTCAACTGTAAATTAGTTGAAATTAGACTATTCAATCAAATGTACATCGAATCCGTGTACCTTAAAGGCGGAAGGTCTGGTGAGAGTGTCAGTCCAAACACCGACAGTGTCATAAATGTTAACATTATTCGAATTGTACGGTGGAGTGTGAAATACAAGCTGAGATTCATGTAGTATGCTCTGCCCAAAGCCTGGGTCCTTTCCATTTTCATTTATCCTGTAAAAAAAATTGATTAATTTTACAGTTTAAAATTATGGAGATTTAATTTACCTAAAAGCAGCAATGTTGATTCCATCTGCAGCATCTTGCCGACTTGGCCTGAAGAATTTGGCACCGTTCGCATTACTACCGAAGAAAGAACAACCTCCAATACAGCCACATTTTCCTGTTTTTTCACCCGGCCAGAGGAGCCATAATCTTCTTGTCCTTTCATCATGTGTCTTCAGAAATCTACAATTAAATTACAATACAATGCATGTATCAGTTTCAATCAGGCCTAAATAAAATACCTGTGTTGAACGAGATGTAAATTGTGGTCTGTATTCGACAGGGATACAGCTGCTTCTAAAATGAGGGGGCCGAGGGAAATGGATCCTACTTCAAGCCAAACATCTGGCTCATTATTACACCTAAGGCATAAACAATTAATAATTATTTTTATTATTGTTAAATTAAATTTACAAAACACTTTATTTTATTACTTATGTTGTGATCTCCCACTTCCAGTTGTGTTTGTTGCTGATAGTTGATTGGTAATAATCATTTGTCTTACTTTAATGGAAGGGATGACACCGGTGAGACCCGATTTTACTTTATTTCCATGTAGGTTGCAAGTTGAAAATCTAATAGGTGCAGCCTAAAAATTATACAATTTTATCGCAGTCCTTAAAAAATCACCAATACAGTAGACTCTCGTTATCCATGCTTTCACTTATCCGCGGTTGCCCCCATAGTTGACTTCTAGTGGAAAGTGGGAATGAGGAGAGTGTGGGAACATGGTGAATCACAGGAAAAGTAAAACCTGTACGTAAAACCTAAACTATGTGTACATAAGTTCATACATAACATTGACAATAGGCATACGCAATACAGAAAATGTCTGGTATGCAGATAGAAGAAAAACTTCGAAGCCTGAGATTTGAGGTTTTCCTATTATTTGCGGTGATGCTTGGTATGTATAACGAGAGTCTATTGTACTTTTACATACCCAGAAATGAATTGCTGTTCCTGACTCGACTACATAAAGGTCTAAGGCATCAACTGCGACACGAACTAAACGATATTTGATCTGGTCTGGTGGTGGGCACCTGTATGTGCCAGAAGGTTCACTTTCTGGGCACTGTACAGGTATTAGACCATGATGGCACGGAGGAGGTGCTCTAGGTGGCACTAAGCGGTTCTCATCATCCATTGTCAAAAGAAAAAGTGCTTCCAATGATGTCATCAAATTATAAATCTTAACAAATTTTACAAAATATTATAAATTGTTTTATTTTAAATTACTGTATTTTATAGTTAATTACTTGAGGAGTTGTCATTTTTCCACTAAGCTTTCCTAATTGCAATTCAAGAAGCCATGCATATTCTAAAGTTTCTTGCTCCAGGCTCCTTCCTTCATCGCTGAACATCGCTTGACCTCGAAGCTGCCGATACAAAACGATCAAAATTACATATTGTAATTATTTTATTAAATGCAACAATTACCTGGAACCCTGATAGCATTAGATGTCCTTGGTTTAAATGTTTCTCTTTGGATGTCCTGCTTGAGAGTTTGTCACAACTCAAAAGTATTGCTGGAGACAACAATAACTGCAGCTGAGTCTCTTTGTAACCTTTCTTCATTTCAAAGCCAAACCTTTCTAATAAAATTATAGGGCAAGGTGGATCTTTTTCAGTGCAGTTCTAAACAATATAAAAATAATAAAGTACATCAATTATAAAGTTTCAATAAGATCTTAATACCTTAACTAGATGAGCTTGTATATCATGCATAGTTATTGAGACTGTAACTTCTAAAGGTCGATAAATTCTAGGATCAAAGTCAACCATCATAGAATCATCAATTATTGATGTTGGCGTTTCAGGTACTGTAGGAGCTTTAGGTGTTAAATAAAATTGAGGTGCTTCATTCATGTCTGTAAATACTTGGTCATCCCCAAAAATATTTTCCTTAAAAAGCCGAAATATTAAATTTTCAGAAATAAATTATTTATTTTAATGAGTTACCTTAAGATTGATAAAGCCCTTGATCCATGAGCCATAAATAAGCAACATTGAAGGCCCAATCTCGAGTTCAAGACTAACTTTATCAGGTGGCAATGTTGTAGGATCAAACCTAGGTCCATCCTGTCTCCAATTTCTTATTATAGGTCTTTTTCTTGTATGCGGTATCCTCATGGGAGAAAGTAGAATTTCTTCTTTCTCAGGAGTAGTTATATCTGCTTGAGGTGGAGGGCCAAACGGAGGCATAGGGTGATAAATGTAATTTATGGAGAGTGCAACAATAGGTACCGACCAACAGTCTAACCAACCATCCCTAAAATTAATTTCAGTGTTAAGCTGTTATAAATTTAAAAAAGATGATATGTTGCTTACTTTCTCTTGCAAATATTTCTCCATTTTCTGTTTGTATCAGTTGTCCTAGGAGCCATGATATTACCATCTCGGCCAAGTAATTTAGCAGTTTGATCTAAGGAAAGAAGTGTACACCTTGAAGTGTAAACTTCGGGCAGGTAAAGTGCCAAGTCCATACTCTCACCCTTAGCAAAAAATAAATATAAGCTAATATCGATCTATAATTTGTAAATCTATTTAGTAATTTTTTAAGGAGGAAACTTACCTGAATCCAAAATTTCAAGGGAAGGTTAGGCGGAAGGAAGTCCGTGAATGGTAGGTCAAATGAGAAATCAAAAAGATCCCCACAAAATGCGATAAACACTAAAAATACATAATAGTAAGAAAAAATGTTGCAGCCTCATTAATTAAAAGGCTTGTATTTTTTTTTTTACTGTTTTCATGGCTCTGGGAGGAACAATCAATCCAGTTATATTCATTTGCAGGCATAATAAATTCAAATTCTTTCATTAATAGAGTGAATTTCCATGTGTAGGGTATAAAGTGTAGAAGGTCAGGTCTAGCTTTAGAAGCCCAGTCATTAATCATAGCTTGAAAAAATTCTTTATGTGCATAAATAAACCAGACTGATGCCTTGCAGCCTGTCAGGTTTAATGACCAATCTTGATGATCGTTCCATTTAACTGGAAAGTGCGCTTTGACAGTGAATTCTAGAGTTTCACTTTCGACTAAACTTCGATACTGAAGAAACAATATATTATCAAACGATTGTTAAATGTAAAGATAAATTAGATAAAATAAATTACCTGTAAACTTGTTGTAGCTTCTAAATGAAGCAACTGCCCTGTTACTTTTGTTGTATAACCATCATTACTGACAACCCAGGGCATTGTAACTTCAAGATACGATCCAGGGCCAACATTTATATGAACTGCATTTGTTTCTTTATTTTTTGAAAATAGAATGTCAATTGTGGCATCATAGAGTGTGCTGAGTCTAATATCAAATGATTGCATTTGTCGTTTCTCACCAGGAATGGGTGGTTTTGTTATCTAACGCAAAAATGAATAAATATTTTATACTTTTAAATGTAATAATAATGAATACCTTCAGTGGCTGGTAATCTTGTGGAAAGAAAAATGTAAACAGATGCTCTCTTTGTTTGTCTGCCCAAGGACCGTAACTGAAATCCGTGCCTTTTCCACACTGTCCAATATAATTATTAATTAAACTTTTGAGCTATTTGCAAATGAGGGGTAGAGTATAAAAAAAAATTACTTTAATGTCCATTCCCCACATAGGTGGCTGAGATTCTACTATATCACCATTGGCAAGTTCGTGCATTAATGGTTCAGGAGGGACTAGACCAGGTTCATCCATATAAAAATATAAATCTACATTATTTGAGGAAAGGACGACGAACCCTTCACCCATGTATCTTGGAGGATCATCTACCAAACCAGTGAATTTTGGACTAGGGGCTAACATGACCTATTGCACATAGAAAAAACAAACCAAATTAAAAAAAAAGTAATGGCACAAAAAAAGCTTTATTTATTTCTTACCTTGAAGTTTTCAGCTTTGCACTTTGCAAAATGCATGAAGTAATCAAGTTTAGATGCTGCTGGTTTAGTTGAATACACTACATGAGCTTCTTCTACTTGGATTGATAAAGTAGACTGCACTAGCCTATTTCCCAAAACAACTCGACCCTAAAATAAAATTATTAATAAATGTATAAACAAAGTTAGATTGAGTGTTAGAAAACAAATTATTACAGAAGACAAGTCAAATTTTATGACAGGAATTAAGTCACGCCAGCTTTTCCCAAGAGATCTAGGCGCAGATTGTGGTGTGTCTCTTGGGCTTAGTTCTAAATTATCCTGATTTCTTGAAGCTAGTAGAGAAAAAAACATTAGTAAATATATAGAACAAAAATACCTTAGTAAATATAAATTATATACCTTCTGTTTTGGCTTCTTTTGGAGGAATGATTCCAGATTCGAGTCCAAAAGCTGCTTCAAGCCCGCTGTATACACTGGACCGATTGTACACATGTAATTCGAATCCATTTAGCAAAACTGAAAGCCTTGTGTCTGAATGTGATAAATCTTAAACAAAATAGATAATATTATTTTGGGGTAAATTAACATTTTAATTAAATTCATATACCTTCAGAAACATCTTTTGGCACATAAGACCTCCACCATCTGAAAATCATCCAACCATCCTGAACCCTCAAGCTATAATCATGTGTAATGTACACAACGTCCCTGAACATTATCTTTCCAGATAGACAGCAGAGAGTAAACGACCCTTAAAAATTAAAGTAATTAATGTACTACAACTTCTTTCAATAAATCCACAAGAAATAAAGTATCACAAGCTAAAATTGAAGAATGTAAGGATAAAATTATCACTTACAATTTAAATGAACTAATTTAACTAAAAATTTAATGCTGACATAATTTCTGAATATTTATTAATGAGGGAAATAAACTAAGAAAAAATAATAAAAATATTTGTCTTTATTTTAATGTGTGTGTATGGAATGCTGATCTTTAATTTAATTTAATTTTTTCATTTCAGAAATTCCTTTCGATTCCTTCGATCAACAAGAGATCAAAAAATGCTTAAAATTGTAGAAGACTTAAACATTAAGTTTGTGGATATAAATATAATTATTGAAATCTTGGTGTTAAGATAAGAGACAAATTAATTTAGCTTGAGTTAATCAATTTTTTTTGTATATACTTTGTTGTAACAAAATTACATTCTAGTTTAGCTGAATTTGCTTGCTAATAGCAGTGCTTATGTTAAGGCCCTAATTCACGTGTGAAATGATGTCGGATTTATGGTGACAGGCCCACCTTTTGTATACAGTATAGGAGCACATACATATTAATTTACAAATAATAAATATAATAGAGAAATGAATTTTTGCAGTTTAACAAATAGTAGGGACTAAAACAAAAGGAATGCAATTTCAGAAACAAATTTCAGAAATACATAAATGGTGTCAGGTATAACATTTTGAAAGTTATACTTTATAGATGAATTATTATCTTTGATTAATTTTCAATACAATTATAGAAATAGAGCATTAAAAAGCATTATTATTATTAAATTATTCAAACTGTACTTAATAAACTGGGTGTATGTATGGGCACAAAATTTTGTTACACACAACATACACACAAATACAAGATAGCTGATGTACTATACACTTTGAAATATACTATCATTATTATAAAAAGAGATGAGTCAATTTTTTAAAATAAAAAACGACATTGAAAATTAGTTTAAAAAAATTATATGCACATACTATTTAAATGCTTTCTTGCCTGAAATAACAGAAATGAAATGAAAGACTGAAGGGTTTACTCACCGACTTTGAAATATCCCTCGGTGATGTAAAGCTTGTTCAACGCCCTCGTCATGATGTATCCAATCACTCTCGAGTTGTAGTATGTGATATATATGACCCACATCATGGCTGTAACAAGTGAACAGAGCAACAGGGCAAAGTTGCTGTCCATCTTCAAGTTGTCCAAATTCAGACTCGTGGAGTTCCATGACGAAGGCTCTGGAATTGTCGTCTCAACGATCGTCTCCATCTTGAATTGTTTTGTTTATCCCTTTCAAGTGATCATTTTCTCTTGCTACAACAATTAAAGAGATTAGTCATAACACTTACTTTTAAAACCGAGATTGATAACGAAAATTAAACCTTTTTATAATTTTTATTATATAACATGGATTTTTTGTTTTTCTTAACATGTCTCTTTTATGTTTATAGTTTTTGATTTTTATTAAAAAAAATTGCTACAGTTTTTTTTTGCTTTATTTTTACATTAAATTTTTTGGATGTTTCAGTAATTCACACCCACATATTTAAAAAATATAAGATGCTAATTCTCAAAATGTTGAAAAAAGTTAATGTAAAAATAAAGCAGAATATTAAAAAAAACTTTTCAATATTGCTGTGTACAATACACAGAAAACAATATAAATGTATGTACACAGACACATATATTTTATTATAAACAGTAAACCAATCAATAAAAGTGTGACCAACAATCAAAGAATTTAGTAGTCGCTCAGTTTTAAAAATAGATGTGTGAAAAATGTGTACAGTCAATTCATTAATAAAAACTCACACGGTATACTAACAAACATAAACAAGCCATATTTTTGAAATGTATTTTGACAATCAATAAATAAGAGATATGAATAATTTATGAATGTGACAGTGTAGAATAGGAAACAATTAAAAAAAAATAGTGTCTACAAGGTGAAGAACACGTAGCCGGATCACTTTGTCTAATTTCGCTTTTTTCCCATAAACAGGAAATAGTTCATTTTTGTTTTTGTTTGTATTCACGACTTGAGAAAAAAAAAAAAACCATGGAAAGACAAACAAACCTAAAAAAAATATATATATATACTATAAACAAGAACGTTTTTGTAGATTTTAGATAAGAAATAGAATTACGAGACCTCCTAGGAGGCCCTTGGCCTCTCCCTGATAGATCAGGGGGAGTCACCCACCTTGGTGCCTGAGCGACTCGAGGTTGAACTATAGTTAGGCGCTGTCGACTTCTTTGGTCATTTTGGCGCCTAAAACTAGTCATTCTCAACCAAATCACACATGCATATCCTCTGTCTAGAATCCAGGTCATAGGGTACTCAATATTCCGCCCCGACCCGGCTTTTTAGATAAGAAACGCATGAATCTACCATTACATGACTATAAATGTTAAAAACTTTTTAACTTAAGATTGTTGGACAGACTTTAGACTAATAAATTGAAGGGCAGACAAATAAAACAGCCAATATATTTGACAATATAGTGAAGTTGTACAACTTAATTGTTGGTTCTTTGTTAATTTATAGTAGTATACGATTAGACAAAAAATATGGTGGTATCAATTATGTAAACTAAAGGCTGAAACAAATAAGAGCTAACCAAAACAAAACAGCAAATTTCAAAGTTAAGCTGGTAAAGATAACTATTACAACTTTTATTTTGCATTTAACAATCAAATTTTATGTTAATAAAAGGTGTGTTTAGTATACGGTTACAGGAACAATTCAGATAAGTTTTAAAAGGTACTTTCATCCTATCTCTGATGAATGCCAACGCTGCTAATGCATTTCTTAATGATAACAATTCATAATTATCTCAAAATAAATACTTGAATTGATAAATTTAAAGAAATCAAAAAAAGACTTGAATAATAATGCTATAAAGCGTTCAACTGGATGAATGTCCTCAAATAAACTGTATACCTATGTATGACATAAACAGGAAACTCGTTTTGTGTAATTTTTGATAAAGAATGCACAATTTTATCTCTTATTAAAACCTTTAAGATTGTTGGGCAGACTTTGGGCGAACAAATACTGTACAAAATAGCAAAGATTAGAAAGCAGTCTGACCAAGTAATTTTTATCAAATTTTTAATTAAATGGTTACTTAATGAATGGAAAGTTTGATTGTAATAAAAAGATAATTCTAAGTTTTAAAGATACTTTCATTTTCACCTACGTTGTCAATGTTATTCATAATGATACACATATTTCTCATAAATTTCTTTAAGTAAAATAATCTAAGGTAATTATAATTATATTGTTTCATTTTAATTATAAATAGTATTAATATTATTAGAAAAAACCTCAAGGCAATCCCGCTTGTCATTGATAATAATTGCTATGGGAAAATAGACAAAGCCTTGAATCTTTACACCACAGTTACCTGAGAACATCCACCTCAGATCAGAGAACACCCCAAAAACAAGGAGCCCTCTAGGTAGGTAAAGGGCTCAAGGCAGGCACCAAAATTTTCAAACAAATCAATTTCAAAATATTTACATGCGAAAGCTGAACAAAAAGTCAAATAAACAATTGATCCACATCTCTAAGCAGCCGCAAGAGCGGTCAAACCAAAGAAAGCACACACAAACAGAATGATGTTTATTAACTATTGACTAACTTGGCACAGGCAGTCAATTTACTTCTGCCCTGTCCGACGTTCAGAGATAAACTTATCAAACTTTTGGTCGTCTTCAGGGACATATGAACCACAGCTGTTTGTTTGGTGAATGTCAATGACGCACTTTTCCCTCTTTTATTATGAATTCACCAATCCTGGGGAATGTTATTATTGACCATAAAGCCAAGTTGGTCAATAGCTAGTAAAACCTTTTAGAATTTTATAAATTCACTTTTATTTGTTATTAAATGACTCGTATTACCTGGCCATTAATGAGTTAAATATTAGTCTCCATCTATTAATATACTCATAAAATATTCTGAAACAAATCTTAATGATCAATGAGTATGAATTCACCAATTCTTGGGAATAATTATTGACCATCTAAACGCCAAGTTGGTCAATAGCTAGTAAAACCTTTTAGAATTTTATAAATTCACTTTTATTTGTTATTAAATGACTCGTATTACAGGGCATTAATGAGTTAAATATTATTCTCCATCTATTCATATGCTGATAAAATATTCTGAAACAGATCTCAATGATCAATGAGTATGAATTCACCAATTCTGGGGAATAATTATTGACCATCTAAATGCCAAGTTGGTCAATAGCTAGTCAAGCTTTTTACAATTTTATAAATTGAATTTTTTTTTATTAGATGACTTACATTATTGTGAGCATTGATGAGTTAATATTATTCTCCATCTATAAAAATTTTTAATAAAATATTCTGAAACAGATCTTAATGATCAATGTGTATGAATTCACCAATTCTGGAGAATTATTATTGACTATCTAAATACCAAGTTGGTCAATAGCTAGTCAAGCTTTTTACAATTTTATGAATTAATTTTTTTTTTATTAGATGACTTACATTATTGTGAGCATTGATGAGTTAATATTATTCTCCATCTATAAAATTTTTTAATAAAATATTCTGAAACAGATCTTAATGATCAATGTGTATGAATTCACCAATTCTGGAGAATTATTATTGACTATCTAAATACCAAGTTGGTCAATAGCTAGTCAAGTTTTTTTTTACGATTTTATAAATTGACATCTTTTAGTTATTACAACTTGTATTATCGTGGGCATTGAAGAGTTAAATATTATTCTCCATCTGAAAAACAATCTTAATAGTCAATGAGTATGAATTCACCAATTCTGGGGAATAATATTATAGACCATCTAAACAGTTGGTCAGTAGCTACTCAAGCTTTTTACTTTTTTTTTGCCTTTATCTACATTATTATCATTTATTTATTATTTTCAACCTTGTTTATGTCTTAGGTACACTAGTTATAATAATTTTAATATAATGAGCAAACATTACAATTTTTAAATCAAATTTTAATTGGTATTAAGCATCTGAAAAACCTAATGAAACGAACAACAATCTTGTTCTTTTAAAACAGTTGGTATAACTTCTAATGTTAAACATTCGTTCTTTTGTAATTTTAACTAGAGATTTAAAGTTGAATCATTTATTTATCACCATCCAAGAAATCAATTTTACTGTTTTACACTGTTTTATTCATAGTTTGCAGTTTATAAATTGGAATTTATAACACCGTAAACAAGTTACTAGTTAAAAAGTTATATTGTTCCTCAGCTTCATCCTAAGATTACATTTTTACATATTTGTAAATTTACAAAGAATTTGCTTATAAGGTTTTTGTTCAAAATTTTTATTTAGAATTTCATTGTTTGTTGCTTCTTATCATTCTACAGAATAGTAGTAATATTTTATGTATGTTGCAAATGTAATAAGCTTAAAACTTCCTTAATGAATACAACCAAATTCTATGATCATCAAATGTCATTTAAAAGATATCTTAATAATTAGAATATTTTTAAACTTCATATTCTCAATGTGTTAAAACATTAAAATATACTAGGAAAGTATGATTTTCCATGACCATATGTATTGTACTTTGCATTGTTTATAAAGCTGTTATTGTTTTTTTTTTTATCTTCAACAGAGATTCAAGAATTTGACTTTTTCAATAAACAATAAGGAGCCAATGAAAACTTCAGTATAGCAGTGAATTCTATTGCAAAAATGCCTTTTGTCATAATTGTACCAATGGTTGGGATTGTACCAGCACCGAAGTATTGGGAAGAGTACATCGAAGACTCCCGTGGAAATAAATATAAAATGAGTGAACTTCAAAGCATAAATTTAGAAGACATAAGAGAACATTGCTCAGGGCTGAGGATAAAGTTGTCTGATCATATAAAAGAAACACTAAGTAGGTCGCTCCAGAAAAAGCTCATTTGGCTTGGGCAATTTCATAATCTTTCTTTGGCATACGGGCCGTTTGCTTTGAAGTACGGAGGATTAGATTTGGTTCACTTGTGGAACCAGAAATTTCAGTATCTCATGAATTTATCTCTTATTGATATAAAACTTGAGCAAGAACAAAAAAATTGCTTAAGAAGAACTGGGTGAGACAATTTATTTGAATAAATGAATGATATATTAATGATCAGTGTTGTGCAAATGTAATTTTAGATAATATTTATGAAAGAACAGCTAAATTTGATTTTAAATGAATGAACCTTGAAGTCTATAATTGTAATTTTGAAATTAAATAACTACATAATGTTAAGAGTATAACTTTGATTAAAAAGTATTAGTTTTATAAATGTAATATATAAAAAAAATTATTTACCCCCATTTTTTCTTCTACTACTCCATTGCTTCTAGTGTCTACTTTTGTCAGTGAAATGCTAATAATTAAAAGTAATCAATATTACTAAAAATAACTTAAAAGTATTTTTCAATATTTGTTTTTAGATTTTAAAAATCAGAATCAAGCCTACACAATTTAGACGGGTTTAAATCATTCACTATTGGAAACAAGTGTGTAAGTTGTGCAATAGTTCAACTCTAATCGTATTTATTTACAGATAAGACAGTACTGATGCCAATTAACTTTTAATTTATTTTTCAGAAGAACAGAAGAATGTTGATAATCCATTGTCTAACTGAAAAGTCAATTTATTATTCTGAATAAAGTAATAGATGTTTAAACTGTTTGAACAATATAAATAAAACTTGGTGCTGTCTTCTCTGTTAGTGTACTGTTATAATTTCCTAAACCAATAGAGTATATATTATTCTTATTGGATTTGGATTTATGTAAGTTCAAATCTACATATGTATGTAATACATACACACTATCATCTACTGCAGGCCACTGCAATTTCAGTTTTTGTAACATACAAAAATTACCAACAAGCCTTGAGAATCCCCCACCTTGGGTTTTGGCAGTCTAGGGGCAGACCTCAGTCTTCTCCATCCGGCCACAGGTAAGCTTTGGGGAGGGGGGTGTTGCCAACAGCTAGGTCAATTGAGCATCCAACAGTTCCAAACCCATTCGTACTCACTTACATTCTTAAATACATTCACTCCTATTTACATATCACTCGTTCAATTAGTGCATTGGAGTACTCGATATTCTCCATCATCCTCTACACATATTATATAACTAACCTAATTGAGGGTTGTTGGGTACTCAATATTCCGCCTTCAACCCTCACACTACACATTCATGCTAATAAATATGTTCACTCTCAACACTCTCTAGGGGCACAAAATTATCAGTACTATATTCAATAAAACAGCCCAGTTTCCTCAGGGGACCCAATCAGGAGGTGCTCTAGCACAATTCTCAGGTGGCATTGCTTCACGCTCTCTATATAAAGCCAAGGGTTAAACCCTTCAATTAGAGTGGGACACATTGGGCAACCTTTACATGCTGGGCACATACGCGAGCTTTGGCTCAAAAGAAAGTGTTCGTATGTCAATCTTGCATGGCCTATCCTTAATCAGATGAGGATGTCCCTGTGAGGCAGATCCTCTGAGAAACTCCCATTGACAGAGCTCTTGATACATGAGAGCTTCTCTGTTGAATACAAAATTATTCTTATTGTTTTGTACGATCATGGAATAATATAAGGAAAGTAGTAAATTTAAAATTATTACGATGGTCCAAGTCAGATATATTTATAACATATTTCAAACATATCAAGGCATAAAAGTTGAAATACTATCTAGAGAAAAACTGGAAAAATAAAATAAATTACTTAAAAAAGTTATATTTAAAAAATAAACAGAGTTATGTACAGTTATTAAGAAATTTTTAACAATTACCTTATATAAACTAAAATTAAGAGCAAGTTGCTTGAAGATTTTTCATATTCCATTTTGAGCAGGAAATTGCATCACAAAAAAGGGCAGAATTAGTAGAAAGTAAAAAAGTCAAATTAAATTTAAAAACTAATTTTGGGTATGTTTTCCTTTATGAAGAATCCCTTTTTTAGGTGGGGTAATGTCCAATGCTGGATTGGTAGTGCTAACACTTGCCGGAGCACTCTGAGGTTTCACTGGTAAGGGTGATTCTACTTGTATCACTTCACATTCCTCTCCCAAGTCAAAGCCTATTGTAGCACCCAGTTTCGCACTAGCTTGTGCAAATGTTGAAGATAATTTTTCCTGTAATTTTATATGTAAATAATAATTAATACAAACATATTATTACAAAAGTGTACAGTTAACTCACTTGAACAACATTGATGCACATAGAGGTGAGTGCTAGGCCAAAAACAAGATAAACTATTGACAGCATCATGTAAATTTGATTCTAAAATGACAATTTATAATTAAAATATTTATTTATGGCTAATATTCATGATTTGAAGAATGAATACCTCAGGCACAAAATCACCGAACCCAATTGTTGCCATTGAGATGAAGACAAAGTAGAATGATTCAAAGAAACTCCATTCTTCCCAGAGGTAAAAAATTATTGCCCCAATAAATAAATAAGCAAGAAAAACTATCAAGGCTATGGTGATTGGAAGATTGAATTCGTCATCTATTGTGTAACCAGTTGATGAAGCGACATCAGGGGAACCTTCATCTTGCTTCTAAAATACCATTTTCAAAAATTTTATAATATATAATTTAATGAAAAGAAAAATATTAGGTACCATTTTTGGAAATTTGCGAGGAGAGCCAGTATAGTAAAGACGTCTCACATAGACCCACATCAGTTTGATCATCCTTGTGAACATTTTACCAAAGTCGGCAAGCAACGTGAGGAAAAGTGGGACTCCAATGATTGCATATGCAATAGTAAGTGCCCTTCCTGCAGTTGTTATCGGAACAATATGACCATACCCTATAATTTAAAAAATAAAACCTGTAATTTTAAAAATGGCAATTCATCAGTTTTGTCATCCTGTGGTAATGAAAATCTTTGAAGAAAACATTGGTAGATTTTCCAAGGAAAAATGTTATCAACAAGAACTATTGTATAAAATAGTTAACAGAAAATTAATAAAACGCTAAACAAACAGATAAATAAAAGTAAAATAAGAAAATTAAAATCAGCAGATTAAGTAATTTTATAAATATACTTCTGGTTTTGAAATATTCCAGAGAAAAATAAGGAAGTGTGTTGTTTGACTACATGCCAAGTTAGTCAATGACACAACATTACACTGCACTATATAAAAATAAATAAAATTGACAAGGAAAATTTCTAAAAGAATTACTTTGAAAACATTTAAAAAAATGGACAATTATTAGATGTATATAAAGATGATACTAATTAAGTTTAGAACTTACATTATTATAACAGATAAAATAATTACTGATTATACATCAAGTTAGTTGTTGCAATTTGGTGTCTAGAACAAATACAAAACGCCAAAGCATGTTAAAAAATCTAAGAGAGTTTGATGGATCAAAGCGAATTGCAGGCCAAAGACAATGATTTTTTTCTTCAATAATTCCTATTTACTGAGAACAAATAAATATAATGCTTAAAAAATTATCTTTTTAGCCACTCATTAAGCCAGTTTAATTAATATTTTCTATTAAACTTGCGGATGGCATGGCACTACAAGTACAATGCATACAAATTTAAATAAAATAACAACAAGTGCATTGTTAGATTTTTCAGCTATTTGTGCTGTCTATAATGTAGTGTCTAAATTCATATTTATTTTAGAAAACTTTAAAGAGACTTCAATAATCTCGATTAAGAAAAAGTAGATTTTTCAAAAGAAAATTAACTTTAGTCAAGAAAAACGAGGCTTTTTTTCCAATTTATGTGAAATTCAAATTCAGGAACCTACCTATAGTTGAAATTACAGTTAAGACGTAAATAATCCCATTTAGGAAACTCCACGATTTTTGCCCGCTGTAGGTTGTCATTCCGGCTTCGAATGCGTCCTGAAGTTGATTTTCAAAGTCCATCAACTTCCGCCTGGCCTTAGATTTCCACTCATCTTCCCTCATGAAATGACTCCCGCGCCAGAGTTCGTCTATAAAATCTCTTTTGACCCTTTTCACCCCGCACTTGTAAAATGACTCGAAAGCCCCTTCCGTGAACTTGAATGAAACCGAGCCAACACCACAAAGTATAAGGATGATGAAAAGTTTGCAGGTGCATCTGTTCCACATTTTCCTCAAAGTCGCCATCTCTTCAGGCATTTCTGCCTTCATTTTTTGAAATTCTGCTCTGGAATTTCTAATGCAATGGAAGAAAATTTCTTTATTGGACGGTCCTTCGTCTTTCTGCGTTGTTTCTTCTTTTTTTATTTCAACTAGTGCTACCATTTTGGCGAAGTCAGAAGAGAAATCGTTATCATGTCCAACCTCGTCTTCCGGGTTTTCATCGCTGTTTTCACATTCTGAAACTTGCGTCTCCGATTTGTCTATAATTTCGTAAGCTTCTTCTTCACTCTCAGTCTCTGTCTTTTTAGAGGTGATACTTGTCCAGGGATTCCAGCTAAACTTGGACGAAAACCAACTAGAAAGGCTCGGTGCAGTATTTTCTTCACATTTTTCTTTTTCCTGTGATGGTTTTTCGGTTTCAACATTTTCCAATTGTCCTATCACGCTGAAATCGTCCACTTCATGAGTCTTCTCTTCTTGCTCGATGTCTTTCAAAATGGAGGTTTCAATTTCCGAAATTTTTGGAACTTCTGGTTTAGTGATTTCTTTGAAATCTTTTTTAACATCTTCTGCTAATTTCTGTTTGAGCTTGTGCTTTTTTCTAATTGTCTTCTTCGGCTCACCCCTGTCAGGGGTGAGAGATTTACGCCGTGGGTGCAAAATCTGCGCGTCATCGTCCGAACTCGTGGGTACGATCGTCTCTCTCGGCGTCGATTGGCTCCTTTTAATTTCGATTTTCTTTTTTCGATGGCCCGTCGTCGGACTTCTTCTCGCCGGCCTCCTGATGACCGGGGACGGCGCTTTTTCCGATCCCAATGCAAAATCGCGGTCGGACATCATCCTCCGAGCTGTCCCTGTACCGAACTACGACATCTCCCATGTAAATTTAGCCACTGGGTTGCATGAACCGTCCACTTCTCCTTACGAGTTAAAAATAAGGCGTGTTGCAGCGAGAATGCGCAAAATCGATTTTTAAACTTTTCTCATTCACCAATAGGTATCTCTGCTTTGTATTCTGTATTGTATGCTATTTATCACTTGTTGCACCCGTATTTACGCTGCATATTGCTTTAGGGGATAAAATTTAAATCCAAATATCTTATTTAGTCAGTTATAAATCAAATATTCATGTTAGCCTAAAATAGTATTGTGCATCCAAAAACTAATTTTGACTAAATAAATCACTTCTTGTACCCTATAGAGAATACTATTTTTGAAAAAGTACTTATTTATTTATGTAAATGATATTAAAGTTGTACGTTTGCTTTTTTATGTAATGCAAAACAAACCAATTAAACGTTAAAAATATTTAAAACAGCGAACACAGTTTGGGTGGTAACAAACGATTGGCCAGTAGCATAGACGAAAATATACTAAAATTGTCAATATTTTAAGGGGACTGTCGCTTATTCGAGACCCTAAGCCATTTTGCGGTCAACGAGGTTGACAAAGTGTAGCTATTTTGAGACTTCGGTTCAAATGGCGATTTGCCGCTTGAGTAAAGCAAATACTCGTTGAAAGAAAAGCTCAAAGAACTTTGAACGGCGCAACAGTTAATCATTGTACGCAATTTCGTTGTGCTTTGCAAATCTGTATCCTTCCGCCGGCTGGTACTGTATAAAAAAAGGTTTAAATAAATGAAAAGAAGTGTTTTGTGAAGTGACGTACATTTGATTGAAACACAAAATCAACATTTTTCTCACAAAATAACATACAAGGATTGCAACAGTACAAGCACAAGATACATACTCAACCAAACCCACACAAAAAGCTTTGAAACAGCAGAGCCAAAAAAATCAATACAATACAAACATACAAAGCAACAGAACAAACAAGAACATAAAACACACAGAAATCAACACAAAATATCCAAACAGCACTAAACAAAAAGGGTCCAGACATATACAAAATATTATAAGCTTTCTAAATTTCCTCATCTAACCTAGAGTTGTGTAAATTGTTCCACAGAAGAACGCAGCGCTCCAGAAATTCCAGTTAAGCTCATTATCCCCTTTCATCAGCAGTCTGCTGTTTTCTTGATAGTGACCGACCAGCTGGCTTTCGTACTTGCGGATTAGCTGGGTCACTTTTGCGTCCAGCCCCGTGTCTTTGTCTATGGCCAACTGACAGAAAGTTTAACCCTTGGAGTTTTTTTTATTTGAAAATACTCTTACCTGCTGTATTTGTTCTATGACATCCCTCCGTGTGCCGAGTAGCTGTTTGGCCTGCGCTTCTTCAGACCGACCCTCGAGAATACTGTACAGCAAAGCTCCGATCAAGGTGTAACCGACGACTGCCACCAGAAGGAATATGTGTGTGAACCACTTTTGGGACAATTGAGAAAGTTTGCCGTGTAGGAAGAACGTCATCCGCTCCCCAACACTTAGCCCAGAGGAAAGAGCAAATTTCCCAAAATCTGAAAGTTTTCCGTTTTATTTAAAACATTACCAGTTGATTTTACCACTGTTATATGAGTTAAGAACATGTCCAAAAAAATGTAGATAGGAACATTATTTTATGCTTATGAAGTTTTACATTTGACACAATGATCATTCCATGATATATAATTGTGTTAAATCGTGCTAATGTTTTATATCTACTTGTTAAATTTAGTTCGAAACTTTAAAAGAATTTAAATGGAGTTTTTCTCAACTTAATCTAATCAGATTCGGTAACTTGTTAAAGTTTGAAAACATTTCAATTTGAGCTTTCGTGAGTCTGAATTTGAGAAAATCACGTATAAGCCTGGTCTCGTCTCTCGGTTTAAATTAGCCAGGATTTTGTGCAAGTGGTCACGAAACCCCTGTCGGTGTTCCGCAGTTAAATCTGCATTATATTGCTGAATTTTCTATTCTCTTTGACTTTTTAAAGCCAGCCTTTGGAAAATTTAAACTGTTTTGTTCTATTTTACGCTTACAAGAAGTATACAAAGTTTTGCACTTAAAAAGGTTGTCCTAAGCAGGGGTTAGAGTTTTACCCATTTTGAACTTACCTTGGAATTTTTGGCTCACTGCTGGTCCACCCTTTTCCGACGGGCTCTTCGGCATTTTTGCTAAATCACTATCACTGAAACCAATTTAATAGATTATTTATTATACAGTAAATAATTTTATGGATTGAAAAATGGCACATTTTTGCAAAAAATCGCTTGTTATTGAATGCTAATAAATAAATTCTACATAATTTTGCACTTAGACACTCTGACATTATTATTGTTTTTTTCAAATACTTTCATCAAGAAAAAGCCTGACATCACATAGAAATGAAAAAAAGGGAGAGCAAAAATGAGCGAGAGAGAGAAATTACATACGTGCACATAAGTAGTTAACAGGATAAATAAAACATTGTTGTTAAAGAGGATAGCCAAACAGCCAAATTGGCTAACAAAGAGCTCAATGGAGCTTGAAAAGGTCTTCCCAAAAAATAAAAATATAATACAAAACAAGCTGTAAAGTTCAATGAGAATTGAATGAAAATAATATAAAAGCCACAAGAAGAAATTAGTAAAGATAAATTAGTAAGTAGAAGGTAGAAAAAGTAAATAATTTAACAATTATTTAGTGAACAAGTATCGAAGTAACAGTACATAGGCAGATAGAAAATAGATAGGTAAAGAAAGATGTATATAGAGCTATAGAGCGAGAGAGAGAGAGAGAGAGAGAGAGAGAGAGAGAGAGAGAGAGAGAGAGAGAGAGAGAGAGAGAGAGAGAGAGAGAGAGAGAGAGCGAGAGAGAGCGCGCGCGCGCGAGAGAGAGAGAGAGAGAGAGAGAGAGAGAGAGAGAGAGAGCGCGAGAGAGAGAGAGAGAGAGAGAGAGAGAGAGAGAGAGAGAGAGAGAAGAGAAAGAAAGGTCGAGAAATACGGCGCAGTGTGCGACACTTCCGCAAGACCATAATGTGTTACTGGTTTAACATAGTCACTTATTAAATAATACTATTCCGAGATTTTTCGCGTGCAGACACTACAAAAATCATTCAAAATAATACCAAAAATACAAGATATATACTCAATTTTAAAGCGCAGAAATTTTGTAGTATTAAAGCAATGCCTGATTGTCGAACCTTACAAAGATAGATGTGGATTATAGACCACAAACGTAGATAATGCCCAAAAATAGAAGACATACAAACAAAATAGATTTTATAGTTAGATAGTGACAGAGCAAATACAAAAAAAAAATCAAGTGGTATATCTTATTTGTAGACATACACTTGCACACAGTTCATTTGCTTTACTCGAAAATATATGGTTATTACTTGTTCTTCCTGTTCCCAGAATTAAACTTGACTGACCAATTACAACAACAATAAGCTATTCTACACTAAGGGTTATTGATCGAATATAATTATCTAGGGATTTATAAATAAAAGAATAAAAGATGATCTATCGTTTTTGGACTCCTGAAATTTCTTTCATAAATTATTTTCTTTTGGTCAGAGTTCGATGTAATAGGGAAAAAGCAAACATGACGTTTGCCCGTCTTCTTGCTCATTTAAAACCAATTGCCATTGACAATCGTCTCGTTGTGGAGTTTGATTGTTCAGGATTGACTTCATTGAACATCACGCTCCCTATGAGATCTCAATTATTTTCAAAAGCTTGACAAATTTTAATATACGAAAGTAAAAAATGGTATGATTCATTTTTCAGGATTTAGTTAGTATATGTACTTTACCATATTGCTAGAGCATGAGAAATAAACAAGGTTATAATCAACTCTTAGTCTGTTTAAAAATTCAATTGTGTTTTATAAATCATATAAAAATACAATGAATAATTGTCATTATGTCTGCTAAATAGATAAACTATTTTCACATTCTTAGAACAACAAAAATAAAAAGTTATTTTTTTATAAAAGTTAAGCAGTTACTTGAAACTTGGACCATTTATAAAGTTTCTATATTTGGATGTATACTTAAAGGTTGCATTCAATCAAGATTTGAATCAGCAATGCTTACTGTTCGATGCCAAATGTTACTGTCAAGAATAACTTTTCAGGTTAAAAACGATAGGCTTGGCCTGTAAACCATCAGCAGTGTCCAATCAAACAGTTGATTCAGGTAAGTTCACTATTTTTCATAACGGTAAAATTGTAAAATATAATATATAAACCGCTGTCGGAATAAATTGAAATATCTGTTGTAAGAGTCCAGCAGTGTAAAAGCTTCTCTCTCTTTATTGGCGTACAAATTGCTGGCTGCTGTCAATCACAGAAACACATCTTTCTTGGCGGCTATTTTTCGACTCCGGCCCAGCCTAAATGTTTTTGAACAACGTCACTCGTAGCCAATTTGGTTGTGCTTAGGAAAAATACATTTAAAAAAATTTGACTTCACTGAAACTTTGTCTAAAAATGACTGAAAAATTTCACATAGAACATAAAAAAATATATATAAATGAAATATTTCTCAATCAAAAACTTATTTAAATATAAGTATTCAAACCTACATATTGTTATTATTAATTATAACTATATAATAAATCATAAAAGCACTTAGAACTAAATAAATTTATGTTGGTTGTTTTTTGAACTTTCTACACGGAGAAAAATTAGATTCTTCTTTCTCAATGGCCTTTATTCAAATAACTTTTCATTACTAAACTATGCATAAATTAAAATTTTCTCAGTAAAGCATATACCTATGTAAACTATCAGATGAGAGATTCTCATATTAATGCAAAAAATAATTAACAAACTTGTCAGTTGCTCTTTGCTAATTCGCCGATTTAATTTATTTTTAATTAATTAATTTAAATATAAATAAAAACTGCTCTTACGTCGGGAAGAAAACTTCAGTGAGCGACACAGGCGAGTAGGAAGACCTGCTGCGAGACAAGTTGGGAGATTGCGGAGTGAAAATGTAGGGGGATCTCGGCCTCCGGGCGTTCCGGGCAGGCAGCGCCCTCCTCTGGTGGGGAGAAGACGGGAGTTGAG